TCAAATCAGTTATGTTCGGCAAAATACCCAGAAGTCTCAATGGAATAGTAATCTCTAGCGTCTGGTTATTCCAGTCTACACTGATAGTATTTATTGCTCATGCTCTCCAGATAAGAATATGTCGTCACCGTTTGACATGGCTTGTGGAATATGTCTAGCCTCTTTCTTCGAGTCTCTTGTTACAAATGCATTATGGTACACGAATGGTAAAATGTTTTTTTTGTCTTAAATATTGGATATCAGAAGCTCATCTTTTTCTGTTAAGATCACATCATCAATGTTATTTAAACTGACAAATAATTAATATTTTAAATGTCAAAGACTTTGGATGATTTCGAGTTAGAGACTTAGCTACTTTAACTGCCTACTTACTGGTACTAGTAGTAGTATTTCTTACTGACCAGCAAAGATCTCCATAGTTCTAGATCTAATGCCAGATATCTTCTAAATACAAGGATAAACCCTTGCATTCAAGAGCCAATATTTTTGTTTTAAGATGAAACACCCTCTTGAATCCATGTCATTAATAAAATCGTTGATTTTATTGATTTTATTTGTTTGTACATTTGTTGATACATGTACTCTGATTTTGTTCAAATTAAATTGTAGATAAAGTCAATGTTGAGATATAGCCTTAGCTATATTTGTATTCCTCTTGATCTTTTGAAACAAAATCTAATCGAAAAGAGCTAATTCAATACCCCCCTTCTTTTTTTAAACGAAATCAAAGAGACATACATGTAACCCCAGATTGTCTGACAAGTCCAGCATGTTAGCCAATGAAAGTTTACAGTAAAACTGATCATGGTAAATATGCTGCACATTAATGACATTGTTTACTTTTAATGTATTAAAATAGACCCAATAAAAAGTATCTGCTATTGTGGCATCTTTAACCATTGTAAAGACAGAACAATCTTGGCTCCCCAATAAGATCCATATAAGATATAAGGACAGGATTACACAATACTGTACAATACATGTATTTCAGCATCCCTGCTGCTACAAGTAAAATGTTACACGCAAGCCATATATTAGCTTCAGCTTCTGAAATCCAAGTCCATTTAGGTTCAAGTAGTGCTGGATAATATCAATACAGAAAATCTGATGCCATTATACTTGATAACATAGCTACCAGTAACAGACTTTTGTTGTATTCATATATTCACAAATTATCACTCCATATTCATACATTGTACCTTTGCGGAGTTTCATGTTTCATCAATATTCAATATTACTGTTCAGGACGTGAAAGAATTAACTAAATTCTTATCCAATATTCCAAATTCTTTTCACATCAACAGAATTTTACTAAATAACACTTTAAATCAATTTTTTACCTTTTTTGTTTAGTTTAAACTGAAGTCAAGATTGATTTAAAGCTGTAAAACACAACTGATCAATTCTATACTACTAATTTATTGGGATGCTTAAAGATATATTCACTATCAAGCATAATTATTTCCTCTGTTTGGCCCACTAAACTTACTTTTATCTGAAAGTATACATGTATTTCTAACAGACAATGTCTAAATTTTGTTTTGTAATACTGATCCAGTAATACATGTAAATACTTAACTGAATGTGGCACTAAAAACCTATATTATTAACACACTTGAAAGTAATGAAAGGCTGCCCCCTCCATGATACCTTTACTGCATTAATCTGACTTTGGTACATGTAGTAAAGATGTTTTTAGAATAATGCTTGTTACTTATAACATACGATGCTAAAGAATGACACAAATCCCAGCTCTTTGTTACGAAATAATGCATCCCAGCAACTACGGTCAATATATAGAGAATCTCCTACTCGTTTTTTTTGATAGATTTTATTTATCACCCAACCCTTTCTTATGCGCACAAAAAAGTAGATATAATTCTTCTGTATAGATCTAATTGTAATGAACTTGATTACATTATGACGTAATGATACATTATTTTTGACCGCAATTCATCCGTTGCAAATTCCTATATATTGACCTGGTGTCTCCTAGGTTATGGGGAGTATTATAATTTTTTTATGGTAATTGAGAACTTTTCTCCAACAATATATATTACTGGATCCAAAAAGTAGTTCCTTTTTAATAAAAAAGTAGTTCCTTTTTAATTGACCAATCAAATTCATGTAAAGCGATATCCAGTAGATTATGAAAGTTCACCAGTGAAGTCAAGGTAACAACCAGAATTATGTTGCAATACCTTGCCATCGTGGGTAGTTTGGGCTACGTGTAATTACCTAAACTTTTGCGATGTTTCATTAACTCTAATATAATCATACATCTATTAATTATGTTCACCACAGTTATACCACGCTGCAAGTTTCAATCCCTCAACATTGTGAAGATACAGCAAAAATGTTAACTGGGGTTTTACAATGCATTTATTCCTATCTGTAACTTCAATTCTCAGTTTCATTTCTTTTGTCTAACATTCCTGAGTATTGTTTTATTGATTATTTTTCTCAATCTCTGTTTAATTTCATGTAAAAAGTGCACTGAGCCGACGACAACACTACTTTTCCATAGACTGTGTTACTTTCAACTCATAAACCTGTCTTTAATTTGACAGAGAGGTTAGCGGTTAGATCAGGACTGTCGAGTGACTCACGAATACATCAAAATACGAATCAATCCAATTGGAATGTTTTCTCTTCCAAGTAAATTCCCTCCACACACATGATATGAACAATGAGTAGCGTTGACTAGAAGAACACTAAGCTGATGTATTTACAAGTTCACTTTCCATTCAAAGTCGGCACTATATCAACAGACCTCGCCTCTTATACATAGCTTCACTTTATAACATCAAAACATAAAAGAACTAAACTGGACAATCAAATTCTGTAGTTTTCTTTGTTTTTATCCAATATTGATTACTGTAGCATCATTTTGGTAATAATTTGCTAAATGATGATTTAATTTTGGGAGAAAATTCAATAAATTCTAACATCAAATTATGAAAAGAATTGATGCGTCAAAATCATCACTTTCCTATAGCCACATATCATTGTAGTAACAGGTATGTACATGTACTGTGTGTAATTCAGTCTACTTTCTAGAACAACTGACATTTCTTGTTTTATACCGTTTATTTTACTTTAGGTAAATTGTCTAAGAGCTGACATAATGTGTGTTCAATTACGTGAATACTATATACCACTAAAAATTAAACCATAAATCAATTGTTAAGAGATATTTATATAATGCTAACACATTTACATCATGAATTTTTTTTTACAGTATGACTGAATATTATTCTTCATTAAGAACATGGAGTACGTCATACAGTTTATTTCTTCATAAAGAAAGCATCACAGAGGGTGTGCACATACATAAAGGAGTGTTGAAATCAATAAGCAACATGCACATATGCAACAGTTGGCCAAATTATTTGCTGCAAAAGATAACCAAGCATTCTGGGAGGCCTGCTGAAGCAATACCTGCTCCCTACCAGCCGTAACAAATTCTACAATGCATGTATTTATAAAAGGCGGTATACATGTACTGGAATACATTTCTGTGTAAATAGAATCGAAATATGTGAATTCTGTAAAATAAACTTTTCATTTATTATCTGTAAATAGTGCACTAAAAGTCCAATCAAATACCTCAAATTGTAAATAAAATATTCAAAAAAATATATAAACAGAATTTCATAAAACGTGAACATGATCTGTTACTCTGAAATACAGCCGTGAACACCTTCAAACACTTACCCTAAAATAATTCCAGAAAATAGAATTTTGAGACAAGAGTACCCCGTACAAACATTGAAAGTTGCATGCTTATAAACCAGTAATTATTATAATTTAAATACTTCTAGAAAACAGAATTTCATTGATGTTAGTTTAACAAAGGGCCATAATTCAGTAAAAAAAAAACTGTAACTCTGCTACATGTATATACAGCAGTGTACCAACCTTCAATCAAATACTATAAAGTATCTAGTCCGCTGCTTTTCATAATTGAATTTGAAAGTGCCTACATGCACATCATGTCCTTACTACAAGTATAAATACAAATAGAACTTGTACAACGTACAGGCAGTCATCTTTGTTTACATGCATAATAGTAGACAGCAGTCTGTTCTATATACGTTTAAATATACAGTCTGTCTCAAAGACATGTATCAAAAAATCACAACATCAAAAGCCATACAGTGCATCACCACCATATTACATTTAATGCTCTAATGAATATTACAATTTGGATAGTTTTTAAAGGACATTTGAACCAATTGGTATTATTAGTCCAATAACTATTAAAACAATCCGAATTGCCATTATTTTCTACCATGATTTCATGTCCCAATCTCTATGGGTATTTAATCATTTGTAATACAATGTATTTTTTTTTTGTATCCACTAGCATCCTGTTCTAATAGTAAGTGCAGGTGGACAGCACCACACACAATTACACAAAACAAATCTATGGAAAAGACACAATAATCATAAATCACAAACAGACATACATTAATACATGTATGTACATACATGTATGTAAACTAGATTTTATTTTCATTTGCCCACATATTCATGTGGATTTATTATGCCATTGCCCCTGTCCATCCGGATGTCTGGAGGTCCGTTCACATTTGTTTGTGGACACTTTACAGGTCACAATTTTTATCTGTTTATATCCCAAAGATCTCACATTCGTTCAGTATTGGTGCATATCTGACCATAACTTCCTGGATTATGGCCTGATTGTACGAATAATCTTGAAATCTAATTTTGGTCGAAAAACTTCAAATAATAATTATTATCTTATCAGCGTAAAATTCAAACAATAATAACTTGGCTCAGAATAAAGTAATTTGAATAAAATTTTCAATATATTCATTTTGCATTATCTATTTTTGAACTATTAGTATTATGGGAAGAACAGCCAGCTCTTTATCTAAATCTTACATAATGCATCTTTAAAATAAAACTATAGTCTTCTGATGCATTGTGGTTTTAAACACTAAAAATTTCCCTAAATTTCTCTTCTATTTCAGTTAATTTGAAAGAACATCATCCTTATGGGCATGAAGAACATAATCATTATGGGCATGGCAATGTGTACACAGGACTTCGGTTTTCGTACCATCCGAACGACCCAACATTTACCTTGCCAGGCCCTCTCTGTCCAATACCACTGACAGCGGAATCCATGCCGAAACATAACAGACCAAAGCACGAACATGAACAGGAAGAATAAATAATTCCACAAGTACCTCAATAAGATTGACGATCTTAGATCACATGCACATATATGCCTATGCCTTCAGAATTTTATAGGTACAGCTTCGTGTAAACACATGAATTTGTTCATATACATAATACAGGAGGTATACATGCATGTAATTTGGTAAGTCTTTATCAAAAGGTATGTTAATTTAATAATTAAGAGAAAAAAACAACATATATTTACATGGAAACAGATACTTGTATTATAAGGGTCTGCAGAGCACCAGACTTTAGCCTATATACATGTAGTACATATACATGTAAGTATAGTGTCACTCAAACTTGAGGATCACATCCATCCTCCAACCTTTTTTGACAATGTAATTTGTAAACACAAATTATGTTAAAAGGTATAGATCAAAAAAGTTTTGATAACTGTAAATAACCAGGACAGAGTAAATACATGTACTAGTATGTAGATGATACTGACTGGTGCCATACATGTACATGTACTTCAAAATCTTAGATGAATTTATAGCTCATTTAATCTAAACAGCAAGGTATAAGTAAATTGTAGTTGTAGCAAGATTCATGTAGAATCAAGATATGGCTGTTGCAGGGCTATGAAATCAGTTGACTATTGATTTTGCTGTCATCTAATTAAAAGATTGTAGTTTATTAATTCATTCATTCAGTAAGCAACTTTAAGCCCAAGAGATGAATCACAAATTTATATGAAAAATGACAAAAACTATTCCTTTCCATAGCCAGGGTACATTTTTATAATTATGCATGCAGTTATTGGATTTTTCTCAGTAAGGGGAGCTAAAAATTTAATGGAATGGGTCAACACTATTAGATCTCATTTTGAGACTAACATCTGTTAAAGATTCATATATACATGTATATATATATATATTTCACCCATATGGGACTAAAAATTAATCTCTGATCATGTTGGGATAAATGAATCTTAGTAACACTATAGCCCAGGGCTTGACAAAGAGCTCTTATAAATAAACTTGACAGTCTGATAAGAGAAACATAAACTCATCAGATAAAAGGTAAATCTATGATTTTCTTGCCAGACTGGCTACCCTAGTCTTAACCTAGTGCAATTAGTCATTTGGTCTTGTTGATTTATTACTGGGCATCAACTATCATAATCTAGGCCAGCTTTGTCTTAACATAAATATACAGAATTTTTTCGATACAAAAGTAGCAGGCAAAATGGTTCGCCAGACATTGTTTGGTGGGTCTTACATTTAAGGTTGATACTTGTATTCAGTAACACATTGGCTCGCAAACCTGGAGGTCACGTGTTCAATCCCTGCGTTGACCTGAAAGTTCACTGGGATTTTCCGGCGTGACTCCCCCAAACCAGTGATGCAGGTCGGAGGGCCTAGCAAGGGACAGCGTATAGACGTTCGAATGGGATGAAAAACCGAGGTCCCGTGTATACATTGGCATGCAAATAAAGGATCCCTTGGTAGTTGGAATTCATAAAAGAGTAGGCTGTAACGATGCCCGTCTTCATTAGCCCAGGTTAGGAGCAGAACAGTAGGACGTTAAACTCCATTTCATTTCATTTCATTTCATTTCCGCTGTCCGTGCAAAATTTATCTCATAGCACACGGTATGGAGTACGCCCATCTTCATTAGTCCAGTCAAAGTAGAACAGTAGGACGTTACATCCCATTTCATTTACAGGTTGTATCTTTCATCAGCCAAAAGGGTATTGAAAAGTGATAGCAATGAAGTTCAATGATTGGGATTCAACAGATAGGATTTATTTTTCGGTTGTCCTTTTAAAAAATAAGACATCAAACATTTTCAAAACTATCATTACATGTATATGTATATTATACATGTAGCGATATACATTATATCCTATCGAAAATAAATATAATGTAGGGTATATTTATTTCTTTGAGGTTTAATTGGGAAAAGTCTGACACAAGCAGTTCCGTTTTCTAAATATATGATACCGGTAGGTAAGAAATACATCATACATGTAATCTGTGAATCCCATCTTTTTTCATTTTTTCCCTCGTACAATAATCAAGCAAGGAATGCGAGATGGTGGGTTTGATTCAAGCCAACAAAGAGAAGGGTCACCCATTATTTTTTGCACGTTAATTTAAAATCACCTTTGTTTAGTTCCAAATTGAATTAATATGATTTGACTTGTTTTGAATATACATGTAGGCCTACGTACATTGGTCATTTTCAAATAATATTGTATGCAAGATTTCAAACAAAACTGTCAATCCCTCGCTACAGTATGGACATTCTAAGATTCTGTACGAATCATACTCATAGTTCAACAGATGCTAATCATTCTCGGGCATATTGCTTTGATCTCAAGAAAGTATGCAAGTTCTTGGATTTTTGATGATTTAGCGGAGTATAGGGTTATTTTTCATTGTTAGGCCTATATAAATTTAATTACTTTCATTTTCTTGTTGAAAGTTCTGATGCCTCTTCCGTTCTCTGAATAATAAAACCTCTCATTCGTAGGGTGTGGTTATTTGAGCTATTACAATCTACTATGGGTCAAGATCGCTGTTCCAATAACAAAATGATGAAATGCTGATAATTCTAATATGGCTATAATTCCTGCCCAATATCAGGAAATTATAATACAGTCACATAATTATAGAGTTAATCAAAATAGGACACATACTCCAGTAATCTACAGTAGTAACTGGTATTAAAAATACCAGTTGATAAAGATAATACAGGTAGGCCCTACATATGCATATCTGGCAGTGTTCAAATTTGGTTGTATGCAAAGTCTGTTAAGCCATAATCCTGTAACTGAGATACATGTAATTAAGCTTATAGGCCCTATGTTTTTGAACTTTCAAATTACGAGTCATAGGCCTACAGAAGTTTTAAAACTCATGAAAAACACCTCACAATATTACTAGGCTACTTGGATTTGCGATCATTCTTGGTGAATTAAAGGTCAATCTGAAAATTATAGGCCTATTTTTCAAAATTAATTTTTCTTTAATAAGAGTTGATTAATATGCCTCTTTAATTTTTTAGGCCTATTTAATAAGGACTGAATAAATAGAAATAACACAACTCGATCTGACCTGGATCGATAAAAAACAAAAAACAAAAAAAAATTGGGAAAAATTTGACAACCAGAAAGAGCCACGTGACCCGGTTGAAGACATTTCGGTAAGATCAAAGAAATACACACCTGGAGAATAACCCCACTGTGCTAATTAGATAATAGTCAACAAGAAGTATGCAATACACAGAATATCCAGCTCTAATTGCTACTTGACAAATAGCTTCCGATTGCTAATAAGTAGCCTTTATAATTACAAGTGACACAAACTATATTTTAGAGCAGTTCGACCAGTCAATGATGGCGGAGGAGTAAGCCAGGGGTTTCGCATGTAAAAAAAAAAAGAAAAGAAAAACATCGACGGTATCTGGTCAGACATGACAAGCTAAATTACTGTAGCCGGCACGTATTATTTAGACACACATTTATAATTACCTGTCTAATACAGTTATCCAAGATTTAAATGTCCATTTCGGCTTCTGTTTTTCAGATATTGAAAGGGGACACACGTCAATTTCAGTCACACCCAAACACCCCAAACCTGTCTGAGATTTAACGAGTTATTCAATGGACTTCCCACAGTGCGCGCAGAATGATGACGTCATTTTCAATCTTCGCACCTGAGCAATGTTGTCATCGTAACACGGATCTTTTAGAGATCACATATCTATGTCGTATCAAAAAAGATGTGAAAAATAGTATAAGGGATGAAACGAGGTTTTTTATTTTAAAAATATAATGCAGGTTCTGGATTTTAAAGCCGTTTACTACGTAGTCAGAATTATCCAGTGACAAGAAATATCCAAAAAATGTTTAAACTTTAAGACTTGACGAAACAAGACTACGGTATATAAATAAATAATCATGAGGTAAACTGTGTTGGGGAGGAGGCAGCATTTAATGTGTATTTTTTCGTATACCTTTATATTAGGAATAAATGCCAACACAGTCAATTAATTATGGGTATTTGCCCACTCTACTGTCCATTTTTAACGCCAACATATCCAATTCTTTATATTCGATAGTAGATAGATAGCCTAATAATTTTATAATTATAATAGATATAGAGATTTCATGAAACACCCATTTCGGGCAGCATGTAAATTATACATTACAGTCAGTATCATAAATCTATATATATATTTGTGACTGTCGTTTGTCTGTCTGTTCGGGGTTGGCGGCTACACTAGGTCTGCCCTGAGTCTGAAATTTAGGGTAGGCCTAGGCTATAGGGGTAGGGAACAATCAGGGGTAGCTCGGACCGGGGAGTAACATAGGCCAGGTGGCGTTAGTCTACCACTTCTGGTTTCGGAGTTATGACCCCCGAGCGAAGCCGGTCTGTTCGGGGTTGGCGGCTACACTAGGTCTGCCCCGAGTCTGAAATTTAGGGTATAGGGGTAGCTCGGACCGGGGAGTAACATAGGCCAGGTGGCGTTAGTCTACCACTTCCGGTTTCGGAGTTATGATCCCCCGATCGAAGCCAGGTATGTGTCTGTCTGTTCGGGGTTGGCGGCTACACTAGGTCTACCCTGAGTCTGAAATTTGGGGTATAGGGGTAGCCCGGACCGGGGAGTAACATAGGCCAGGTGGCGTTAGTCTACCACTTCCGGTTTCGGAGTTATGACCCCAGAGCGAAACCGGTCTGTTCGGGGTTGGCGGCTACACTAAGTCTGCCCCGAGTCCGAAATTTGGGATATAGGGGTAGCTCGGACCGGGGAGTAATATAGGCTAGGTGGCGTTAGTCTACCACGTCCGGTTTCGGAGTTATGACCCCCGAGCGAAGCGGGGTTGGCGGCTACACTAGGTCTGCCCCGAGTCTGAAATTTCGGGAATAGGGGTAGCTCCGACCAGGGAGTAACATAGGCCAGGTGGCGTTAGTCTACCACTTCCGGTTTCGGAGTTATGACCCCAGAGCAAAACCGGGTATCCTGCAAGTACATTATAAAAGTGGATGAAAATACATAAAAAAAAAAATGGATGACAAATATATAAAAAGTGGATGAAAATTACATAAAACTGGATGAAATGAAGGCTACAGATACTGAGAGTGCATGAGATATGCCTAGGCCTACTGTCTGTCTGTTATTTAATTCATAATTGTGACCTGATAGTGATGCAAAACAGAATAAAACATAAAATGTAAAATTAGAAACAGAAATTTTGGCACTAGGTCTCAATTTAACATCAAATATAAATGAATAACCTGAAATAACAGTAGAGGATCTAGAAGATGTGAAAGGGGGGAATCTTGGGCGCCATATCCACAATCCCATCCCACTGCAATGAAGGCAGGAAAAAAACGTAATATAATGCATAAAATATCACTAAGCTCGACTGTAGAACATAGATCATATTGCCTATATAGTTGTTCGCCAATCAGTATCTCCCCAGAAAGCAGTTTTATTCAAGTTGACATAAAAGTTCATGCCTAAATTATGATAATTGTTATAGATTTTGTTATTGGTTGTTTTTTTATTTTTTGTGAACCTTGGGGGCGCTTACTTGGTCCAAAGGGCACTTATTTCCCCCCCCCCCCACTCTATATAATTTAAGGTAAACGCATTTACTCTTTGGTATTAAAGTTACAATTTCATATTTTTTAGTTATATTTTTAAAATGTATTAAAATAAAGCCCTAGATGGTATCTATAAACAGTCCTACCTTGTTAAAGAATAATCCTATTAATCCTATAATTCACTACTGCCAGTTGAGAAATTGGCAAAAATATCATTTTCAACTTCAAATTCAAACGTTTGAAGATAGCTATACCATGGTGGGGAATAGGAAAACAAGGGAGGTAATTGTGTTGTTATTTCCGGTGTGAAGATTTTTAAGTGTGAGAAAGATAACCTATGATCATATAATAGGGAGTTGACAACCTATTGAGCAAAAGACATAGAAATAATTATGTTTTGACTTTCTTAGAAAATATGAAATAGTAACTTTAAGGAAAAAAATATATAGGATCATTTAGTGAAGCATACAATGATTGTGGGTTATATATAGGATTTTTGAAAACCACAGACTTTCAGATTGTTATTCTACCTGTGAAACGTGAATCAAGAGACAGCCCACTGGTCAATAACTTCTTGTTATATTTTACTTCTAGCAGCAGTACAGGTAGCTGGCAGCATTCAATCTTGCCGATGTTGTCATTATTGTCAAGGCGTTGCTGTCCACTTCTGTTCCCATAGAACTGACAGACTATGTTTGCTGGAAACGATGAACTAATCTCAGGATGAAAGTGTAAAGGCATCCAAACCTTTGGGTGACACTCTGTTACTGATTTTACTGTACTCAGAAGAGATTTGATTGGACGATGAGACACACTCTGTCAAAAACTCATGTTTTCAGTCTCAGTACAGCAATGGCTCAAGAGGGATTACTTTTTACGGTAATGAAACATTCATAATACACTAAAATCTGATTAAGAGTAACAACTCATGAAGTAATTATCAGAAAACCATTAGAATTTGTTTGGTTTTTATAAAGTTCTGCCCCATGCTAACGCTTAGTATACAAAACTCTTAATATCATGGATTTGGTTGTTCAAGTCATAAAAATTTACTTGTTCGTATCAAGATCTTAAACTCTGTGTATCAATCGGAAGTCAAACAGATGATAACTTTAGCCTCTAGAGCGTCACAAGATTTTTCAAAGTGATCAAGGGCCATAACTTTGGCAGTAATTATCGGAAATCTTTGAATATCAATAGGATTCTTCGTCTCATGACCTCAAACACTGTTTAAAGTCAATCAGATATTAACTTTGGCCTCTAGAGCGTCCACAAGATTTTTTGAAGTGATCAAGGGCCATAACTCTGGCAGTAATTATCGAAAATCGCTGAAAATGAATAGACTTTTTCGTCTCATGACCTTAAACACTGTGTATAAATTTAAAGTCAATCGGATATTAACTTTGGCATCTAGAGCGTCCACAAGATTTTTCAAAGTGATCAAGGGCTATAACTCTGGCAGTAATTATCGGAAATCGCTGAAAATCAATAGGCTTCTTTGTCTCATGGCCTTAAACACTGTATATAAATTAAAGTCAATCGGATATTAACTTTAGCCTATAGACAGACGGACGGGGGCGAAGACAATATACGACCACATTTCAATGTGGGCGTATAAAAAAATTGGTCTCAGAATACACCATTTCTACTTAAATTATATTTTTTTGAGGCTCTGGGGTATGAGATTGCCAGGGATTATGAACTCTTCCATACAATTACTCAAAGTTACATACGGTATAGTTCAAGACAGCTTCAATTACATTGATAAGAGACCTTTTAATCTTTTATGACACTTATCCAATGCCCAATTTCTGTTGGAAATAGCCAGTAACACATTTAAACAAGCCAACAGCGAGGCTCAATCACAAAATAAATAGATGACAAAGTTATGTTTTTTAGGAAGCATGTATTAATCAAATTGTTTATCATTCTGCATAAGCTAAGCAGAAAATGTTCAATGTTGGACTTTTGTCAAGATATAACATAACTACACACCCCTTTAATTAGAAACTTGAAAATGATAAGACAACACTTGCTTTGTATGTGTACAAAACAGTGATTATTTTCCATATAAGTTGTCATATTTTTTTTTTAATCAGAGTTATTGTTTTCTAAACTTTCATTCGATCATATTACTTATGCTATGCTTTGCTTAAGTAGAAAATGATCATCATCGAACTTGATCAAGACATTAACATAACCAACATCTACACTAAGTTTGAACATTCTGCCTCAATTATAAGCATTGTGACCCGAAGTCTTAACTCATGAAATTTCTTATCTCGGTTTAGCGTAAGCAGAAAATGCTCATCAATGAACACAGTCAAGACATTTACCTAATGAACAAGCCAACTGTGAGGCTTTCTTCAAAAGGTAGAGGACAAAAAGTGTGACGATGGACGGAAGAATCCATTTTTATAGGCTGTGATTGGTCGAAAATATCTCCAATCAGACCAAAATCAATTTGCCTGCAAACTGATAATAGCCATTTGGCATGGTAGTATTACATATCACAGCATATTATTAATAGTAAATTTTCAGACTAGCATATGGTAACATTCATTTCTATGGTTATGAATTGTTTCAATGGCATTTAGTAATTTAACTGGAATAAACAGGTCACAATTCTATGGAATACTATTACTTCTTATTACTGAGCGACGTTTCAACTAGGCTTCTCTAGTCATTATCAAACAAGAATATAGTAAACAGTACAAACCAGAACTATCATGGGGCTGTCTTTGATCATTCACTCAAATTTGACTAATCATGTAACAAATCAGTTTTGTTTCATCAATTTATTCAATTGTAATTTCAATCATCCAAGAAGCACTTATTGTCTTTCAACATAATGCCAACACATTATTTTTGTAACATGTCAGTTATCAGCCTTATATAGCATAAAACTGTAAATGTTATCCATAGACTGGAGCATTTAACATAAGACATACATTTTTTATGACATTGTCTTATCTGATGGGTCCTTTCGTTGGTTTTATATTCAATCCTTTATACTAATAACGCACATCGCTCTAGCAGTCTGGACTTATAAAATGCGATAATAACTGTATATATTACATGACTGGTTTGATTTCATTTATGGAATAAAATTTCAACTCTTAATAACACTTTCTCATCGTAAAATTTTACGCACAAACTCCTGTACAAGTTTAAGATAACTCTGTTCCTGATTGTTAGTAAAAGCTGTTTGTGAAATCGAACGATTGAGTGTAGTAGATTTTGGACTCGACTGATTACTGGACCCTGGAGACACAGGTCCACCTCTTCTCATGTATCGTACCATGCTTGATAAGAAGGAGTTCTGGAATAGATTAAAAAATAAAATAATTAATTGTCATATTTTTTCTCATTCCTTATTCTTTTCATAATAGAATTTCTTTCTTTCAAGGTTGTAATTGAAATCTCATTGCTGTTGGTATATAGCGTAAAATATTACTGTCACTTTTTGATAAGCCTATTAGCATAGACAACTTTGCTTATGGGATTTTATATATGCTTCAACATAGATTTCATCTCCAGTCAATCACAGTTCAGCTTTCACATTAGTATAAAATAGCAAGTTTACGTTTTTATTGAACGTGTGATTACTTTCGATCATTTTCAGCTTCTTTTCATAATACAAGAATGACTGCGCATTCACTTTCAGTGCAAATGAACTCATTTGACCTTTGACCCCAAATATCTTGAAAACACCCCAACGGCAGACTGATTACCACTCGGCATCGTATTCTATGCAAAATTTTACTCTAGAAAAGTTGGGTCTGGTTTTGTGCCCATTTGATGGACACCCCCCCCGCGCTGAGCCTCCGGTTTATTTGGTTCAATTTTTACGAAACTTGATCTCAATCGTCATTAGGTTGTAACACTGATATATTTAAACGTTTTTTAAAATCAGGTAAAAATCGTGACCTCTAAGTCTAAATGGTCCACAAGCTAAAAACTGGATTTTTTTGGTACACATAAGCTAAAAACAGGATTTTTTTTGCACACACAAGCTAAAAACTGGATTTTTTTGTACAATCAGAGGCTATAATCCAGGAACTTACGGCCAGATATGTATGAATATCGAAAGGAACCAAGCTCTTTGGATTATAATCATACATTTCAAGTTTCATCAAATTGGATAAAAATTGTGACTTCTAGAGTGTCCACAACCTTGGTATTACATACTTTTACACTACCAGGAGCGGCCATTTTGACTAGCTGTTTGGGTCAGATTTTTTAAGAAATTCGAACTCAACCTTCATTGATATGTAACGGTGATAAATTTAACCAATTTTTGAAATTGAAAACAAACTGTTACTTCAAACGTGTCCACAAGCTAAAAATGCGATTTTTCGAACAATCAAGGGCCATAATTCAGGAAGTTACGATCAGACATGCACGAATATCAAAAGAAACCATATTAGAAGGTTTTTTTAAATCGGATAATAATTGTGACCTATAGAGGGACCACAAGCTAAAAACGCAATTTTTCGTACAATCACGGACCGTAATTCATGTAGTTACGATCCGATATATGTGCGAATATCAACAGGAACCAAGATCTCTGGATTATAAACATGCTTTTCAATTTTCATCAATATCAGATGAAAATTGTGACCTCTAGAATGTCCACAAGCTAAAAACTTGATTTTTTTGTACAATCAGGGGCCATAATCCATGAAGTTATGGTCTGATACATGCGAATAACAAAGGAAAGCAAGATCTTTGAGAAATAGACCTATATTTCAAGTTTCGGCAAAATCGGATAAAAATTGTGACCTGTAAAGTGTCCACAAATAGTGGACGGGCAGACAGGGGCGACAGCATAATACGTTCAAATGAAAATGTGGGTGTATAAAACACAGAAATCTGCCAGAAATCTCATATGTGGGAAGAATACAGATACTTCTGGACATCAGTATAGCTTGGATTCTTGCCATAAATGCAGAAATAGTTCTAATATTAGTTATTATATATGACAAACCAATCAAGGGGGGTTGGATGGCTGTATGGTTAGCACGCTCACGCTGTATCATAAGGCCTGTCATTGAGTCAACTGGCATGGTTTCGAATCCCCGGTTGTACGTGACAAGGAGTAGGGTTGCCTGTCCAGCCTCATGGGTTTTCTTCGGGTCCTCTGATTTCCTCCCACTGCTAAAGACACTGCAAGCGAATTATTGAAATAAAATTAAACCATGTGTTAGTCCCAAAATGACCCAGTCTGTGTCGAGTGGACTTAAACTCCATTTTTCTCTCTCTCTCTCTCTCAAACCAATCAAGAAGGGTCTGGTCATGTCAATGAACAACAACATCAGTGAAATAGTGAAGCTCAGGCGAATAATGAAGCACTTACTAATTCGGTCCCAAGTTCCCGTTTTAACAGCTGTTTTTCACGTGAGGATAAATTTGGATCTTTTAAATATCGACAGGATTGGGACATCAGTATATATAGGGAATTCTCCATCACAAATATCACATGATTTCTGTAAATACACACAATATTCAAATAAATAATACAACCTTATTTTCACATTTACAAAAAATACATGTAGATAAATCTCTAGTTTTTATGCCATTCGATATTAAGACAACCATTGGTTTACCTTATCAGTTTTTATCACCCAGTTACACATTCTTTTGTATATATCGCTTGTGTGATAACTTTCATATTCTACTAAGCGATATCTCCTAGGAGATATCGCTTTATATGAATTTGATTGGTCAATTAAAAAGGATGGAAAGGGTTGGGTGATAAACAAACGGTAGCCTAGCAAGATACGGCCATATTTTGCAAGAGATGGACACAGAACAAGCTAAAAAACGATAAGGGGCAATAATCCAGGAAGTTACGGTGGGATATGTGTGAATATTGAAAGGAACCAAGATCTTTTGGATATACATTTTAAGTTTCATCAAAATTGGATAAAAATTGTGACCTGTAGTGGTCCACAAACTTGGTATTACATGCTTTGACACTATTTGAGAAAAGGGGGGCGTACACTTTGACGGGAAGTTTTTGTCCGATTTTCACAACATTCATACTCAACTGTAATTACGGTGTAACTGTGATAAATTTAAAGGATCCCTAAGTTAAAAATAAGATTTTTTTTTATATACCAGTACTCTTGTTTAAGCCTAAATCGTAAACTGTCTCTGCTTTTCACTATAATGAATATTGGTCTTGACAAAATAGAATCAATTGTGTATGTATTAACTTGAGTTTCATTTTGATTATCTGTCAATACACATTTCATGCAAAACTGCTGAAAATGTTTACTTTCAGATGGAAACTTTCCAACAAAATCAATCAAAACCTTCTAATAAACATCTGCCAGAAGAGGGTAATTTTTGTCACGAAGAATGATATTAAGCAGATTACTTACTTAGATATGAATTGAAGAGTGTCTGAGTCAGGTGATTTATGTGGGGATCCACCTTTCGGGTCAATCTGAAATTAAATTATTTCCATCTTAACTTATGGAAACTATGGCAGAATCAAACATCCTTAAACAGATTATGTCATTTCAATGTTCACAGAGGTTCTCAAAATATGTTTTTTATCATTCTAAAGATTCAATTAAGAGTGGTTTGCCTTGTTACAAAACTCCTAATAATTTACTTCATTTATTAGAACCTCACTTAGTTACCAAGCATTGATTTTGAGTTAACAATTTGCCAGAAAAATATAGCTTTCCTGATGTCTAATGGGCCAGTCTAGATAATTATTGTATGTTCTAGAATGTTTCTAACATCTTTTACATAATCATTAAATGTCAATTTTCTCATTACAATCTGATTAAAACACAGATCCTATTTCGTTTCAATATTTCGTTTTACTTGTCTTTACTACACTAGAATCTGGAAGAGTTGTTATATTACCAGCGTTTTGGTTGAATTGAGGGATAAGGCAATGAAACAGTTTGTTATGGCGACTTCTTGGCATGCCATGCAGGGAACTGTGGGTAAACCACTAGAAACGCCAACGCTGATTGATTAATCAATGTTTGAGTACAACTTGTCAGATCTTCATGTAGTGTAGGCCATTGAAAGTATAAAAAAGAAACGAAACGAAATATAGATCTGTATTTTAATCAGATTGTTCTCATTAAATACTTTGTAAAAAACTGGTTACTATGAAGTTATTTTAAAATTATCAGTTCAACCATTTGGTTTCCTATAGTAAGCAAACTTTCTCTTTTATATATAGATTTGGAGTAATCTGATTTTAGAGAAAAATAAAGAAATTGTGTCAGTTTAATTGAAAATAAAGAAAGAAAAAGTAAAAAATTATTTGCATAATGCTATATATTTTTGCCTTTAATCATAATCAAAATCAAGTCGGAGAGAGATATTTTTACCTTAGTAAGAAGTCTAAAACAGGAAGTTATACAGGATATTAACATTCCGAATGTTGGAGCTGTTTCTTGATCTATAGATGGTGTACAGAAACCCATTCCTAATAATGGCTCATATTCACTTATATCCATACTCTTAAAAAAAACAATAACCACAGTCATTTACACTGATTTAAAAAAACAAGCCAACAGTAAAATAGATCACATCATTAAATACTTGCACATTGGCTTTCTTAAACCATCTAGCAAATCTAATTTCCTATAACTCTTAATCTGAGACGAAAATGCTCATTATCAAACTTAGTCAAGGTATTAACGCAATGAAACTATACACCAAGTTTCATCACTCTCACTCAATTAGAACCAGAGTTATCATATCCCAAAGCATTGCCAAATCAAATTGCTTTTCTCTGCTTACCTAAGCAGGAAATGCTCATCTTCAAACTCCATCAAGGCATTCACCTAACAAACACCTACACCAAGTTTGAACATCTCAGCACAATTAGAAGCAGAATGATTGTGTCCAGAACCATTTTAATAGTCCCCTGCTTTCTTGGAAAGGCATTGATCAATAAAATCTCTTATCTATTTTCTAATTACCTGATCTAATAAAACTTCGCATAAATCTGGTGTAAATTGCTTTAATGCTGCTAAACTTCTACCAATTATATCCAACATCCTGTATAAGTATTATATTGTATATCAAATTTACGTAAAGGTTCATATGCACTACATTTTGTCTAGCTGCAAGTCCAACCGTGTCCATTTTTCATTTCTCAGTTTTGACTATTCACTTTGTTAAATTATCTAATACTACTTATTATCTAGAACGCCTTTTTAAAAAAGATAGGTTGCTAAGCAATGAAACATACACCCACAGCAGTGAAGTATTAATAATTTGATTATTGTTGAAGCAGTAATAACTGTGAACTTGACACATTATAGTGTTGAACATGAACTAATTGTGGACTTGACCCTTACTGTTTACTGTATGGGCAAAGTTGAATGAAACAACAGTTATGCACAGAACATGTAGAATGTAGCTATACCATAAAATTTTTTATTTTTTTAAAAATAGTTCAATTAAACTATTTAATAATTTAAAACAACGGTTTTTCGCAAAACATGCAGCATGAAAAATGTTACTATACTACATTAATTTAGCACTCAGTAATTATTATTTTTTTCAAATACCGGTAGTTTATTGTAAAGGCCTACTGCATGAAACATTTTGCCATCCAAGTGCTATTATAATATAATATTTAACTTGATCTTACCTTTGTTGAACCTGCACTAATTGTGTACTAGGGTGATCAACATCTTCTGTTGATGTTTGTTGCTGTAGCAAGGGAGATGACTGAAGAGATGTTTGCATTTTATTCTTTCTTTCACTTGTTCCTCTTTGTGCCTTTAGTAATTGCATGTATACATTAAATAAGTTTAAGTCCTCAAAACTAAAATTTGAAATACATCAAGAAAAGTAGGCCCACCCATAGTATTAATTTGAAAATCAAATTACATAATCAGTAAGAATATGGGTTTAATGTCCACTCAACACAAACTAGATCATTATGGGACTAACATATGGTTTTTTAATTTTATTTCAATAATTCGCTTGCGCGTAGGGGTCTTTTGCAGTGGGAGGAAACTGGAGGACCTGGAGAAAACCCACGAGGTTGGACAGGCGACCCTACTCCTTGCCACATACAAAAGGGGATTCGAAACCACGCCAGTCGAGTCAATGACAGACTTAATGATACAGCGCGCCATGCTAACCATTCAGCCATTCAACCCCCCTCTTTAATAAAGAATGTTTGTCTAAAGACTGAACAATCAAAATGTAAATGACACTAGTAAAAATCAGTTATTCTGAATTATGCAGTTCCTACTTTAATAAACAACATCACGAATTTCAAAAACTTAAATCGAGAACTTTGTTCTGCATTGTTTTTACAAGCTCTGTCAAAATGAGAATAGAAAGAAAACTCTGCAAAACGAATTCAACAAGATATTTCCTTATGCTATACGAATGGTACATGAACAATCCCACCAAGAACTCTATTCTGCATAGCATTCCAGGATTTGCTATCAAAAAATTTGATAGGGTTCTTCTCATTGAACAAACCCAGCAAATTTGGAAAAAATCTATTAAAAAAAGCTCTGAAATGTGGACGATTCACATGAAATTGTGGATAATTCACATGAAATTGTGGACAGACTGACAACCATATACAGTGGACTCTGTCACTTCCTACATCTGAATACTACGGCATGTCCCGATTCATTTCCTTATTACTTCAACCCAAAAAGTTTTGAGTAGTCCGGATTCTGAATATTGCAAATTACGACATCAATCAGCAGACCTGTCACACGATTTGCGTCCAATTAACATTGGATTTAGATGATTATATATTCGAAGGTACAATAATATTTCCGGTATTAAGGCAATTGAGTATTCCGACATGCTGTGTAATCCTGCATATTGTATCGATCCCGATACAGAGTCCCCTGTATATAGCTACAGTAAAATGTGCTTGTATAAAAATGTGTTACCTCTAGTATATGTGACAAATATCTGGGTCGAATTAACAGAGAAACGAATGTCTGTGTCATATACACCATACATGTCTAAAATTAAAAATCAAACATGTCATTTGTACACAAGACAGCTTATACATTTATCATCACATACAATAGAAGCAAGTACTAATACTAATAGAAGGTGAACTAAGCAAAAAGCTAACAGGTCCCCAAAATATTTATCTTATATTTAACTTTTAGGATTTTTCTCTACAAGTAATCAACAGCTAAACAACTCATGCAAAAATTTATCAGAAGAAGTAATATTTTTAAACGAAATTTAGATAGTAAGGTGATATAAATATCACTATTTCCAGTTTACAGTGTATGGCCTGAAATCAATGAACAACAAATCTACCAATGACTTGAAGAATGTTACTCACCAATAATCTATTAAGAACATCAGGTAGATGAAATCTCCATTCTCGACTAAAGAAAGACAACTGGTGGAGGAAATTACACGTAACTTCTGCTTCCTTCATAGCTTGATTAGATAAAGTGGTACAACCTATCTCTAAGGACTGAAACAAATGGAATGGATTTAATTAAAGATATATTAAAGAATTGGGATTGTAATTATGTTATTATCTGTCAAATAATATATTTAAACTATATTTGGATATAGACTTATCATTCACAGTTGTTTGTCCATGATGGATTGCTTACCACTAGCAAACAAATAGATGAAGAAATGTCAAGGACAATCTATTGGTCCTCCCAGATCTTTAAATAATTGCTAGTCCTATACGTATTCCATTTAGTACACTCATTTAGGTGAAGTACAAACAAGTCAAGTTTTAATACAGTCACACCTGGTGACTTTGGTAATGGACATTCCAAATGTTTTATTTAATTGGCCCATACAGTTTAGATTTGGGATGCCTCCTCTTTAATACTTATCAGTCTCCTAATAAAAGCAGTATGGTCAATTACTACCCAGTTTATGACTGGATAAGAAAAAGTGTTCTCCAAAAGCAGTCAACATTTTACCTGTTGTAATCTGTCTTGATGAGCTCCAACAAAGTTAAAACAATCTTCTAAAAATGAGTAACGTAAGGTAGACAACATGGTAGCATACAGTTGTGTACATAAACAATATATACCATTCCATGTTATACTGTTACTTTCATATCCTTTACTACCCTACAATATACAGATAATACAACAAAACTATAAAGTTTACATTATACACTCTACAACCTACAATCCATTATACAACTTACAAGTATAAAATATACAATGAATATAATTATACTAATATACATAATAAAATATACATAAAATATTATAGAATTTAGAATGGATAGTAATGTTTATGCCTACTGTTCTTCAAATTCTAACTGCAAAGGGTTCTTTTACGTGTAATTTGTACATGGCATCTTGATTTTCAATTCCATCCAAATGACCAGCTACACATTCTTTGTTCACCCCTCAAGTGAAAAATCCTAAAGGTTCTTGTTGGTCAGTACCAAGCCCAGTTGCAGACTGAGCACTTGCATTTCTTGTATATCTGAGAAGGCTTCTTTCAAACAATAAAGGATTTAACAAAACAATTAAACAGAATTACCTTTTGAGCAATTTGTCTTGTGACTTTATCAACTTCACTGTAACATTTAGATATCACTAAACATGTATGGTCTGCTAAATTACTTAATGCTAAAACACTGGCTCCCTGTAAACGAAACCATTTGTTTTAATGTTAAATCATTTAATGATAAAATGTCACAAGCCATGATTCCATCATGTATTCATTGCAAACAATACCATGATCAATTCATTACGTTTTCGACTTCGTATCCGTGAATTGTAGGCGAAATCTCGGTTATCGGACCCATCTTTTCTACATTCTATCAACCACCTAGCACTAAAATTAGACACACAAACCATTTTGTTGCTGAATCCCAATTGAGACACAAGTTGGCAAGACCAATGGCTTATGCCTCTCGTGTACACATTAGTCTATATGATTATCAGACTACAAAAAAAGAAATAGCCTAAAGAAAAGCTGTGACGAATAACTTTATTTCAAGTAAACTTTTAAATTGTATAGAAAACAAACATTTCACCAAACTATTGCAAAATCGTAGAATGGGTTGTGATTTGATTGCATGTAGGCCTAAGTCATTAATGGGAACAACCTTTGTGTATCAAACATTCCATACGAATAGCTGAAAATAAAATCAAACAAGGAGGAAATTATCAATATTTATCAAGGAATATGCAACTGGCTGGAAGTGTGACTTTAATTGAAAAGATTCCAACTACAAGAAAGAAGTAAAATGATTCAAACCCTACCTTTTCTGTTTCAGCAATAGTTAACATTAACAGAAACACTGAATGAACATATGTTAAACCTTGTTGGGCCTGAAATGAAATACACACAAATGTCAGTCATAATTAAACTCCATCATTTTTTTTACCTTTAATACATGTATCTATACCATATACTACACACACATGCAATTATTTCATTAATACAAGACATTAATGCACAAAATAGAAAAGTGCCAGTTTAGATTACTGAACAAGGGTGTACATTAGAATTTGATTAGTAGCAAAACTCCTCAAAGTTTTGATGATTTCACAACAATGTCTCAATAGCAAAAACACTCACAGTGGCCATAAATTAGAGAGACATAACCAAATTTGCTCGCATTTGATGTGCCTTAAATTTACAAAGGTTCAATGAAAATTAGTTCACTACATGTATATTGTGAATTACCCAAATTTTTGAGAAATGGTATTACTTGTGTTAGAAACTATAAGTATACCCTGCCTCATCTGTGACAGCTGCCACTATTTATAGCTAAACCATATTGGTGTACTTATTAGATCTCTGCATTAAAAGTTCACATAATGGTTGGGGTATGGCATTATAATATTTTAACTAATGACATTTTACATAGTGAATGTGATCAAAGATGTGTTTGTTTCCTAGTCAACTGCAGTTGAAAAGAGGGGTTGCAAGGCAACAAAACATACGCCCACAGCAGCTAAATCGTCCAAGCAGTCGACAAGGGTTGTCACATTGGGGGTATTTACAAGACAATTTCATACAGATGAGATAATAATTTTCGTCATTTGAAGGTTCTAAAGGTTCTACAAACTGAAACAAGGGCCTTAACAATGGAAGTAATTTACAGAAATTGTTGAAATTTGACAGGCTTTTCTGTTTTACTAATATAAATAATGCATATAAATTTCATACAGATCGGATAAGTTTTGTCGTTTGAATGGGCATAAGGTTCAACAAAATAAAACAAGGGTCATAACTCTAGAAGTACCGGTAATTGACTGAAACTTCTGATATTCAATAGGTTTCTTTGTGTCACTAATTTAAACGATACATATAAATTTCAAACAGATCGGATGATGAATTTTATTGTTTGAGCATTCACAAGGGCCAACAAAGTGAAACGAGGACCATAACTCTAGAAGTAATTAACTGAAATACAATAGGCTTCTTCGTTTCACTAATTTAAATGATGCATATAAATTTCACACAGATCGGATGCTAACTCTAGAAGTAATTAACTAAATCCAATAGGCTTCTTCGTTTCACTAATTCAAATGATGCATATAAATTTCATACAGATCGGTTGAACAAAGTGAAACAAGAGCCATAACTCTAGAAGTAATTAACGGAAATTGCTGAAATTCAACAGGCTTCTTCCTTGTTTCACTAATTTACATAATGCATACACATTTCATACAGATTGGATGATAATTTTTGTTGCTAGAGCATTCATAAGGTGCAACAAAGTGAAACAAGGGTCATAACTCCAGAAAAAAATCAACGGAATATATTGAAATTCAATAGGCTTCTTCATCTCACTAATGTAAACAATCAGATGATTAATGTAGCATGTAGGGTGTTCACAAGAAATTTTGGATGACGGACATGCATACGGACGGATGCAGCGGCAATATACGACCACATTTTCATTTGGCGTATAACAAACACTATTTGACAGCGAGTGGTTCTTAAACAAATAAATCAGTTGTCAATAAATCAAGGAAGATGAGTGAAAATATCCTCTATTATACCAAATTTCTGTTACTGAAGTGATAGGCTACTCTACTTAGTTTGTCTAAAAGAAGGGTATTCCAAAGAATGCAACTGCTCGACAAATAACTGCTAATTATCCAGTAAATGTCACCACATAACACATTTGATTGTCATTTCAGTTGTTAACATCAACAAGTTTCTACAAAAATGCCTTTTAATACAAATATTACGTAGAAACCAAAGAAATTGGACTGCATTTGTGTTAGCTCAGATCTTGATGTAAACCACCTCAATGACAGGGTCCAAGATATACATTATTGTGATCAGACCTCAACCCACATGACTTCAAAACAAATATACAGATAGATAATCAATAATTCATTTTGATAGAAATATGTACCTTTTAGAATTGGATATTTCTTACCTTAATATAAGTTTCCATAGAGATAAGTAAAGTAGGTAGAATAGAGTTCTGTTGTAAAATGGTTAGCCATATTGTTGAATCTCCGATGCATCGAATTAACTCTTCTAATAAACAGCAACATGTTATCTGTAACTATATAAAAATTATATGTTTAACAAGAGGTTGCCAAGAAAGATACGCCCACATTAATAAATGTCTATAAAATTTTTAACACAAAAGCATTTATGATTAAATCTCTATATCAAAAGATTTAAGCACAAGTCAGGTATTTTTCGACTTGTAGTTTAAATTTTTAGCTTACTGTGGACACATAATCAGTTATATATCAACACTAGCTCTATGTGGAGATGTAAAAATTTTAAGAAAGACAAAACATAAAAATCCAATGAAATACATAATTTAATCTTTAATTTAAATCAAAGACGTCCAGCCATTTTAAAGGAGGCAAGTCACTAACTCAATATCATCCACAGTCTTCTACATTGCCAACATGACTTATTGGTCAATTTAAATCAATAATTCATATTTACAAAATGTAAATTTAAAAATTGGCACACGAATCGAGTGCCAGAATGCTTTCGAGCACCATTTGTAATAAAGTGACTTGATGAATAAGGCTAAACATATCCCACAGGAGAAAACTACCAGTGTAGACTGAAATAACCAGACGCCACAGACTGCCAATCAATTTGGACTCTTCATGTATTTCGTCGAACATAACTGATTAGAAATTACAGTAAAAATATAAACGATTAAATGTAAATCAGTTTATATACATTTGTAATACATTATTATATGCATGGTGACCCATTTGTGTCCATTTCTAGGTGCCAAAGAATAGCGATTTAGCTCCTTTAATTAATGCTATTTGTGACAATAAATCATCTTTTTCCTGAACTAATATTCTTAAAATCTGATTAACCACCCCAATTCAATTTATTTGATTTGATCTGTAAGTCTAAATATTTATAATGGTTATATGAAAATTATTTTCATTCATTTGACCTTTAGGCCTAGAACAATTTTTACCATGAATATACATATAAATCAAAACATGTTTTTTATTACATTCCAAAGCAGAGGATAAAATACGACCTTCTAAAGGTTTTAAATACACACTGTGGTGAGAAAATCATTTTTAAAATACCAAAATAATCAGACACCAAATAGAGTTATCTCCCCTTTAAATTCAACAGATGACGTCTGCTAGCTTGTCATTTGCCTAGTCATCTGTGTAATGAAAAGATGCTTTTTGTTTTTAATGAAAAAGAAAAGGTTGAAAAATAGTCTAAGCAAAGAGGAAACATTGAAAGCTATGTCAAGGTAGATGTTGTTTGCTTTGTCCAACTTATTAATAAACACTTGTCAATGTCTTAGTCAAAATAACATTATCAATTCAAACCCATGTCTTCTATGTTTAGTAGGCCCTTAATTGTATGAGATAAACAATTCTTTTAGCAACAACAGACACATTTTGGGTCCCCAGAAAAAACTTCACAAAAAATTTAAAAATAAATCAAAAGACCCACCCTTTATTTGTAACTGGTCAAGAATTAAAAAGATAATGTCCCTACACATACACGCAAAAGTAAAACCCTAAACTTTACTTTCAATGAAAACAATAACCAAGAGAAGGGCATAGATATAGAGAACAATCAATGTAACTTATGAAAAAAAAGTAAGTTTATATAGACTCAATAATCTTTTAACTTGTAAAAATTGAACTCACCCTACTCAAAATTCATATAGGCTCAATAATCTTATAAAATTGAAATCACTAGGCCTATATAGGCCTACTCAAACTTATATAGGTTCAATAATCTTTTTATCAGTAAAATTGAAATCACTGTGTAGCAAGCTGACTGACTCAAAATTTATATAGGCTTAAAAGAGGCAAGTCGCTAACTTATTGGTTAATTTAAATCAACATTGATGTTGTTATCTTACCGTGAAAGATGGACTTCCAATATCCAATATTTAAGACAAAATGAATTTTTTTAAATTGACACAAGCATCGCGTGCCAGAATGCATTCGTGTGCCATTTGTAATGAAGCAACTTGATGAACGAGGCTAAACATATCCTACATGAGAATACCACCGGTATAAACTGGAATAACCAGATGCCAAAGACGGTTATTCAATTTGGACTCTTCGCATATTTCGCTGAACATAACTGATTAGAAATAACAGTAAAAACAAAATTGATTATATACATTCATATTACATTATTATATAAACTTACGTGGCGACCCAATTAGCTCCTTTAATAATCTCTTTTAACTTGTAAAAACTGAATTCACAATAGGCCTACTCAAATTTATATAGTCTCAATAATCTTTAACTTTTAAAAATTGAAATCTCTATTGGCCTATTTAAAATTTAGGAAAACATAAGCTTAAATACATTATGTCTATATATACTATTTTAGATTACGCTATTTACCATTTTAGATTTTGAATGCAAACTCAGTCTTGTATAATTAACATTGATTAATTTAAGAATTTTATGGTATGTGAAATCCGGGGGTTAAGATTCCACGTATATGTTCAGTGAGTCGCATCTTAGGGATTCTGATCACCCAGTCATTTGGCGGGTGTATGATGTATGAGGTGATCTGTCCCCGCTATGGATGCTAGTTACACCCGATCCTATGCATGTACGGCTTTCTAGACAGAAAGGGAGGCCATGAGTGGTCAGCGTGAGTCTTCCTTGTATCTCTCAATCACAGTGATAGATCGAGATATGTAGGGTTTCAAGTACCATCAAATGGAAGTTTCCTAAACTTGATTACTTTCACTTTTAAATAAAAGTATTAGATTAAAATATGCAATTCTTGGTACTAATTGGCTAGTGTATACTCTTGAAAATTTAAGTTGACCAATAGAAAGATAACTAATCACAAAATTACAAAACAATGGTATTGTAGTTTTATTTCCCACCATACAAAGTGCATTCATGACTTGAGTAAAATTAATATTGTCTGTAGTTCTACTATAAAGCTCTACTGAATGTCTGTACATAATTTTAAGTCGGCTTCATGCAATATATAACTGATTCAATACGACGCTAGTTTTGTTTGTGTCAAACTATTACTATGTTTGTAATTTATATTAAATCATGTTTCTGTTTTTAATGTTTGTTTTATATTTTATATTGGTTAATGTTTTATCGTTGCTGTAGTTATTTATCTTTGAAGTTGTATTTATGTAAATGCCTGATAAATTACTTATTAGTATAATATGGACTGAAAACATGCATTTTATAGGTAAGAATATTTAAATTATTTGATAACAATAATTAATAAGTACATTTTTACATAAATCAAACCCTCACACTCAATCAAAGAAACATAAGTTTTAGTTTTTCTTGGATTTGCTAACATAACCCATACATGTATAATATGCTTAACAAGCCTATCCATAGGGACAATACATGGGATATTGTGCAAGAAAATCGATTTAAACAAGCTGGGTCATGCCATATGCTTCAATATGAACTCGCTTGAATTTTATTGTTTTATGGTATACTTAATAACAGACAATTGATGTGTGTGTTTTGAAAATTTATAAAACATGATGTATATTTTTAAAAGATGTGATGTTTTATGAACTAAACAGATATGAGCTTATTGGTTATATCTTTTTACAAATAATCATAACCCCAAAACTACACAAGAGTGAATACTTTCCATATATCATAGTTCTGAGTGTTATGTATTGTAGGCCTTTAGACCTTCTAATACCCAGACAATGACCATTATAAACCGTTGTACAGGAAGATATTTACAATAAATATTTCTATCCATGACATTTGGTATGACATGAGCCTCCAGAGGGACCACAAGCTAAAAATGTGATTTTTTGTACAGTCAGGGGATATAATCCTGGAAGTTGCAGTCCGATATATGCCACTATCGAAAGGAGCCAAGATCTTTGGGTTATAAACATACATTTTAAGTTTCATCAAAATCGAGATCCTCTTTTTCATAATTTCATGTAAAAGATCCATTGATTTTTATACTTACTTTTAATTTGGAATCAATATCTGTTTCCACAACAACTATGTCAGACATCTTGTCTTGTGATAAGGTTTGTTGAGACTTATGAATCAGTTCCTTTAAACCAGGAAGCTGGCGAGTACTCTGTAGTAGGACTGCACAGACTGTTGGTAGTAGTGCTGACAGGTTGTCAAGAGGTATATCTATTAATGAATGAGAATTTGAATGATATACATTGTGTAAACATAATGTTCCTTTTAAGATTTTGAATATGTTATAAAGAAGAGACAAAAAAACAAAATGTGTATCACTGAATAAGCCCAAAACAGACAAGATGTAGTAAACACACAAAAAAACGAAATTTTGGTATATATTTCTAATTTGAAATTTTGGTATATATTTCTAATTTAACTATCACTTCCAATAGAGGCACACACAATGTTTTTAGATAAAGTTCTTTGACAATTAATATACTTTATTGATCTATAAAAACAGGTTAAAAAAAGGATGACGATTATCCAAAAACACATGGTGTTACTGTATTCAAACTTAAGAAACACAGTTTTAATCAAATAAAAATTAGACAAAAGGTGTTGAAATGAATAAGAAAATATCTCCACCATTCACCAAAGATGAAACATAAAACATGATTTCTTGTTACTCGAATGCAATTCTCTCAATTTGGAGTTTACACCCTCTACAAGTACCTAATGTCAAATTAGAAAGAAAGTTATTCATACTGTGAGAATCTTGTTTATAAGTTGATTGTAAAATGGATGTTATGGAAGCTAGTAGACCAATCTGTACAGAGGGTATCAACATCTGACTATTGGCACATGTCTGTAGAATTATATTCTGTAATTTCTGTAGAGTAGCCCTTGGTTTTAATATAGAACTACAAAAAAATAATTGGGTCACATTTAATGAATGACTTTTTAGATGTATAGCACAAGGTTTCTGTTTCAAATTTTGACTGTCAGACAGAGGCCAGAATTAGGTCACCAGAAGTCATTGTCAGCTTCAATGCAGAAAATTCTCACCATCGAACTTAGTCAAGGTAATGATATAATGAATCTATACTCGGAGTTTCATCACTCTCACTTAATTATAAACAAAGTTATTGTGCCCCAAAGCATCAACCAATCAAATTACTTATCTCTGCTTATCCTAAGCAGAAAATGCTCACATTCGAACTCCATCAAGGCATTGACCTAATAAACACCTACACCAAGTTTGAACATTCTAACTCAATTAGAATGGGAGTTATTGTGTTCCAAAGTCTCGACCAATCAAATTGCTTATCGCTCTGCTTACCCTGAGCAGAACATGCTCATTATCGAACTTAGTCAAGGTACTGATGTAATGAAATTATACACTAAGTTTCATCACCCTCACTTAACCCTTCCTGAGCTAAACCTGACGATTGTCGGGATAGTTTTATAGTCTGTCAGAGCGGCACCCGACGATAGTCGGGAAGTTTATTTAACTTGGTTTACTCCCCTGTAAAAGCATGGTTTTAACCTTAGATGGTGTATAACAAGAGTTTTTATTACAAGTTTTTATTCTTCGAAAGGTGGGGGACAATTAATTAGTAGGGTTGTATACATACCTAGTATTATTTCTAATAATGGTGAAATATAAAGCACTGGAAACAGATGCTAACTTCATATTTAATACTGATAAATCACCACTAAACTGTAATGATGCACATAGAATTACCATATATTTGGATACTAGCAGATATCATCTACTGCTTCTAGGTTTACAGTTAATTGAAAGAAAGTAATTTGGGTTTTAAATACTAATTTTACAATGAATGGTAAGTTCAAGTCAGAGATGTTTGTTTTACTGTGTCCTTTTTAGATCTATCAGTGTTTTATGTAAAATTTTACCTGTTCTTGAATTCCTATCAACAAATCTTCTAAAATCTTCTCTTTTACCCTATCTGTTAATTGTAATTCATCTACCTGTAAATATAAAAACAAGTACTTTTTTTAAAGGCAGGATAGATATTATTAACCGCATTTTATCCCTGTGAGAATTACAAGAATAGAATGAGGTTTACAGAGCGTATCCACTGAAAACACTGGGGTTAAATGTAAAGTAACTTGTCTGAAATTCTCAGTTCAAATATTGAGCATTTCAGAAGGGTTTGCCAATTATTTTAAAAACCGGTTACATAACTTAGATAAAGAATTTTTGACTGTTAACGTGTAATAAATAACCTGATAAACACATCTACGATTTGCATAAAGATGGGTTGCCAAGCAACGAAACATACACCCACAGCAGCTAAATCATCCATGAGGTCGGCAAGGGATGTCGCATATTTATTCTTTTGTAGGTAATAGGGGGCATTTACAAGACAATTTCATACAAATCAGGTTATAATTTTCATTGTTTGAGGGTTTACAAGATTCTATAAACTGAAACAAGGGCCTTAACTCTAGAAGTAATAAAATAAATTATTTTGTATATAATTGGGTGCATGTACAAGACAATTTCATACAGATCAGGTTACGGTATAATTTTCATTGTTTGAGGGTTTTGGCTGAACAAACAACATCAATAACATGGTCATCAAATGAGAAAGTATATTTTAATAATGTGAAACATCTGACCAACAGATTACTAGTTATAAACAGTTCATGACACACATGATATATACGATAAAGGCAGACAAACGGCGAGACACGACGAACGCTGTCTTAACTAGTATTCCGCCATAGGTGTCCCACAAGGCAACGTCACACATGCAGCTTATCATATTACTGTAAAATTATAAAAGAGATGTACAATGCATAACTGTATAAAGCAATACCCACAGACCTTAACTCTAGAAGTAATAACAGAAACTGCTGAAATTCAATAGGCTTCTTCGTTTCACTAATTTAAAGAATGCATATAAATTTCACAAAGATCAGATGATAACTTTTGGCGTTAGAGCGTTCACAAGGTTCAAAGTGAAACAAGGATCATAATTTCAGCTCCTTAATTATCAGGTGTTTCCGTAATTGCAGAAATCCGAAAGTGTTTTTTAACGTTATTTGTTACTAAAACTTTTTTTTTTTTAAATAATTCTGAAATGCGTTAATCTGAAAGTGCTTTTACTAAAACTTCTTTTTTTTTTTTTTTAAATAATTCTGAAATGCGCTACACAATAAACTAAGTAAATGATGAAATTAAACTTTTACTATAGCAATTAACGGAAACTGCTGAAATTCAATTGGCTTCTTCGTTTCAAATTTAAATGATGCATGTAAATTTCATGCAGTTCGGATGATAATTTTGGTCGTTTGAGCATTCACAAGGTCTAATAAAGATAAACAAGGGCCATAACTTTAGAAGTAATTAACAGAAATTGCTGAAATACAATTTGCTTCTTGGTTTCACTAATTTAAATGACGCATATAAATTTCATACAGATCGGATGATATCTTTTGTCGTTCAAACTTTCACAAGGTTCAACAAAGTGAAACACGGGTCACAACTCTAGACATTGTTATTACCGTACATTGTTGCAATGTAAACAACATATATAAATTTGAAAACGCTCTGATGATAAATGTAGAGTGTATATTGTCGTTGGATGGACAGAGGCGACAACAATATACACCCACATTATCATGCGGACCTATAAAAACCAAACAGTGAGGCTATCTCCCCTGTCGAAATTCGAAAATAAATAGATGACACATATTTATAAATTGCACATTTATCTTTTTCAAAAGTATCACGCTGCAATCAAACTGATTATCTATACTTAGATAGTCATAAAATGTTCACGATCAAACTCAGTCAAGGTTTTGTAGTACCTGGTAGTGAAACTATACACGTAGTTTCATCACTCTCCATCAGTTAGAATCAGAGTTATCTGTCCCAAACACTAGACTCATTAATTGGCCATGTAAAATGTTTATCCTTAAAGAGCTAAAGTTGCCTATTGTAGGTCTTTCTTTAGACCTTAAATGTTATATAATCATTAACTAGACATTTATTAAAGAGACATTATGGAAGATGATTATAGATAAAGAGAGAGGGAGAAATGGGGTTTAACATCCACTCGACACAAACCAGGTCATTTTGGGACTAACATATGGTTCAATTTTATTTTAATAATTCGCTTGCGAGGAAACTGGAGGACCTGGAGAAAACAAAAATTATTTTTTGTACAATCAGGGGCCATAATCCAGAAAGTTATGGTCTGAAATGCACAAATATCAAAAGGGACAGATTTTTTGAATATAAAGATATCTTTTAAGTTTCATCAAAATTTGATGAAAATTGTGACCTTTAGAGGGTCCATAACTTTTGTATTACATACTTATACACAATTTGCATACAAAGAGCAGCAATTTTGTTTGGCAGTTTCATTTTCGATTTTCCCGAAATTCCAATTCAACCTTCATTATGGTGGAATGATGATATATCTAAACGGTTTTTAAAATCGGAAATAACATTTTTACCTCTGGAGAATCAAAAAGCTAAAATGCGATTTTTCGACCAATCCGGGGCCAGTAATAAGCAGTAATTGTATTCCATAGAATTGTGACCTGTATATTGATATACCATATTTTTACACTATTTGCCTACAGGGGACAGCCATTATGTCGATCAGTTTTTGTCCGATTTTCACGAAATTCAAACTCAACCATCATTAGTGTATAACTGTGATATATTCACACCTTTTTGTTCTTAAATGGATAAAAATTGTGACCTCTAGAGGCACCACAAACTAAAAACGCGATTTTTCGTACAATCAGTGGCCATAATTCAGGAAGTTATGTTCCGATGTGCGCGAATATAGGAACCAAGATCTTTTGGTTATAAACATGCATTTCAAGTTTCATCACAATCGGATCAAAATTGTGACCTCTAGAGTGTCCACAACCTAAAAACGTGATTTTTCGTACAATCAGGGGCCATAATCCATGAAGTTATGGTTCGATACATGCCAATATCGAAAGGAAATGAGATTGTTGGGAGATAGACCTATATTTCAAGTTTCATAAATCGGATAAAAATTGTGACCTGTAGACAGAGGTCGCAGTCACACAAAAATCTGCGATTTTCACACATTTTTTTCAAAATAAACGCAAATATTGACGGACGCTGAGTAATTTACCCGCAGAGAATTTCCCCGTGCTTCACCTGGCATTTACACACTGCTACTGAACTGTACATAGTCTCCGTAGGTTTTTATATTTCCTCTTATTTCGTTCATAATCTTTAAGTTCATGGCAGTAAGCCTTCTATACGTAGCTATTCTGAGACCCAATATTTTGCCGCACTGGAAGCAATAAAGTGCATTTCATACAAGACTTTGGATTGGCTAGAACACAATAAACTGTTTACATTCATGAACCAATCAAACGTGTAATAATATTGCTAGAATTTTTGCTCTTGAAATTAATGATGGCAGTATATTTCATTAATTAATATCTTTGGCAAGTTGGTAGATTCCCACATATGTGGAATTGTACTAAATCAACTTAGTCTGTAATTGACATATTGTTACATAAAAAGAGCTATTTAACCAAAACAGGTGTCTATAAAATACCCTGAGAGTACACGTGAGTGGAATTATTCTAATTGCATCATTTAGCTTAAAGTAACCAATCATATCGTGAATTGCACAGGTTCAGGGCCATGAACACGCTTATTTATGCGTGATAAACGTGGGTGCTATATAAGATATCTATTTGAACCTTTCAAGTCAGACTTCCATTAGATTCCAGAGAGCTTCCATCTGAGTTCTTAGACAGCCGCGAGGCTGGCTAGGGTGGAGAAATGGGTTCTAGGTAGTATTGTAATTTGTGCTATGCTTGTATACCTCTATACAGCTATATATATATATATAAAATGTAGAAGCGTACTGTTGCATTGTTATTCCTGGTAAGGAAAACGTCTTAAGAAACTGTAAGAAGTAAATACACAATGTGAAGCAGAAGTAAAGACAGCTAGAGACAAATTCTAGACAATCACAAGGCTACAGAAATATGTAGTAAGAAAAGATGCATGGGTCGTACGTAGGATGTGGCGACCGGTTTTCCGACATATACGCCCGCTCTCCACGTCAGACAGAAGACCTATGGTGCTACAAATATTGTCTTTCATAGCGATAGTTTGCTCTTTACTTCCTGTCGAAGTGAAAGATTAAAATAAATGTGACGTCAACCATAAATATGCCGTCAACCTTCAGTCGTCATTAGACTAAATACATTATCAATGAATTAAGGACGCTTAAAATAGGGATGTTCACTTAATGAGCCAATCAAATATTGTCTTTCATAGCGATAGTTTGCTCTTTACTTCCTGTCAAAGTGAAAGATTGAAATAACTGTGCCGACAACCATAGATATGCCGTCAACCTTCAGCCGTCATTAGACTAAATACATTATCAATGAAATAAGGACGCTTAAAATAGGGATGTTCACGTAACAATGTTACTTGCTTCTATTGAGTATTTTGAGAGACCCTAAATCACGCAGATGTAGAGAGCAAAAACACAAAAGTTTTGAATGTCTGCATATTTTTACGCAACTCGAAATTGATCCACTGCGACCTCTGCCTGTAGAGTGTCCACAAACAAATTGTGGAGGGACGGACAGCGGCGACAACAATATATGTTCACATGAAAATGTGGGCGTATAAAAACTAGATAATGTAAAGTCGGTAGGATAAACAAGCCAACAGTGAGGCTGATGTCCCCCACCAAAATACCAAAATAAATAGATGACACATTAATTTATCGCACATTTATTTTTTTTAAAGTATCAAGCAATCAAACTGATTATCAACTATACACTTAAGTTTCATCACTCTCTATCAAAGTTATCTTGTCCTAAAGCATCAACCAACAAGGCATTGACCTAATCAACACATACACCAAGTTTGAACATTCTAGCTCAATTAGGAAGAGAGTTATCGTGCCCCAAAGTATCAACCAATCAAATTGCTTATCTCAGCTTACCCTAAGCGGAAAATGCTCATCTAATCAAATTGCTTATCTCTGCTTACCCTAAGCGGAAAATGCTCATCTTCGAACTCCATCAAGGCATTGACCTAATCAACACATACACCAAGTTTGAACATTCTAGCTCAATTAGGAAGAGAGTTATCGTGCCCCAAAGTATCAACCAATCAAATTGCTTATCTCTGCTTACCCTAAGCGGAAAATGCTCATCTTCGAACTCCATCAAGGCATTGACCTAATAAACACATACACCAAGTTTGAACATTCTAGCTCAATTAAAAGTTATCGTGTCCCAAAGCATCAACCAATCAAATTGCTTATCTCTGCTTACCCTAAGCGGAAAATGCTCATCTTCGAACTCCATCAAGGCATTGACCTAATAAACACATACACCAAGTTTGAACATTCTAGCCCAATTAGGAAGAGAGTTATCGTGTCCCAAAGCATCAACCAATCAAATTGCTTATCTCTGCTTACCCTAAGCGGAAAATGCTCATCTTCGAACTCCATCAAGGCATTGACCTAATAAACACATACACCAAGTTTGAACATTCTAGCTCAATTAGGAAGAGAGTTATTGTGTCCCAAAAAGTGTGACGGACAGACAGACGGACAGACAGACAGACAGACAGACGGACGAACCCATTTTAATAGTCCCCTGCTTTCTTCGAAAGGCGGGGGACAAAAAAACAATGAGTGTTGAGCAGCAAATCAGATTCAAATCCAGTGAAATTCCGACACATAAGATAGCATCGAGAGTTGAATAAGGGGAGAGAGAGAGAGAAATGGGGTTTAACGTCCACTCAACACAAACTAGTTCATTTCGGGACTAACATATTGTTCAATTTTATTTCCATAATTCGCTTGCGCGTAGGGGTCTTTAGCAGTGGGAGGAAACCAAAGGATCCAGAGAAAACCCACAAGGTTGGACAGGTGACCCTACTCCTTGTCACGTACAACCGGGAATCGAAACCACACCAGTTGACTCAATGACAGACTTTATGATACAGTGCGCATGTGCTGACCATTCCGCGATCGAACCCCCCAAGTTGAATAGGGTCTTTTCATGTTAATAAATGTCTAATTCATAGTTTATATAACATTTAAGGCCCAAAGAAAGACCTGCAATAGGTAGATTTAGCTCTTGCATAATGTATGTTTAACAAGACGTGACCACAATGAACTCTTGATGCCACTGGATGCTTGAGATTTTAACTTGATTAGAACGGTTCAACCATTTAATGACTTAATTTAAAAATGGAGAAGCAAGGCTAAGCCTCAGATATACCAGTACCGTGGTTACAATAATAAACAATTAATGCACACATCTTGTCAAAACTACAAAAGTGATAACTTGGCTCTGAATAAAGTGATTTGAATGAAATTTCCAATATATTCATTTGCATTAGCTATTTTTGAACTATTATAGCGAGAATGGCCAGCTCTTTATCTAAATCTTACATAATGTATCTTTAATATAAACTTACTTTAAATTTGGAATTGGTAATTAGGAAGTTTTTCCATGAGAGCAACAGAAGTAACGTTGGGTCATCTGTTATTTCATCTGGTGCTGTTTTGTTTTTCTTTCCTTCTGATATCAAACTGTCACGTACACACTAAAAATAAAACCATGTTGATATAATTATCAGTATTTCTTTATAAAATCTCTATTAGTATTGGTAATAATGGTATTTAAAACTAAACTGCTTTCTTTTGATGTTTTTGACCATGTCCAACCAATCCTATGACACATTATTTACATTACATATTTAAGTCTAGGAGTGCAGTTTTAAGATTTTAAAGTAACCAGCGGCTGCCAGGTAGGATACGCCCACATTTTGCAAGAGATGGATAGAGAACAAGCTAAACAAAGAACGATTTTTCGTACAATCAAGGGCCATAATTCAGGAAGTTACGAAACGATATGCGCGAATATTGACAGGAACCAAGATCTTTGGGTTATAAAGTTTCATCAAAATCAAATTAAAATTGTGACTCCTAGGGGTCCACAACCTTGATATACCATATATTTACACTATTTGCGTACGAGCCGTCATTAGGGTGTAACAGTGATATATTCAAACGTTTTTTTTCAATTGGATAAAAATTGTGACCTCTGGAGGAACCACAAGCTAAAAATGCGATTTTTCGTACAATCTGGGGCCATAATTCAGGAAGTTACAATCCTATATGCGCAAATATCGAAAGGATCCAAGATCTTTGGGTAATAAACATGTATTTCAAGTTTCATCAAAATCAGATGAAAATTGTGTAATGGTTATATATTCAAACGTTTTTTTAAATTGGATAATAATTATGACCTAGAGTGTCCACAAGCTAAAAACGTGTTTTTTTGTACAATCAGGGGCCATAATCCATGAAGTTATGGTCCGATATATACCAATATCAAGAGGAACCGAGATCCTTGGGAGATAAACCTACATTTTAAGTTTCGTCAAAATCGAATAAAAATTGTGACCTGTAGAGTGTCGACAAACAATTATATGTCTACATGGAAATGTGGGCATATAAAAACTAAAGCCTTTTTTTCAGAATTATATCTTTATGTGATATAAAAGCTTTACCTGAAGCTATTTATTTTATTGTTATATAAATTAGTATTAAAAACTCACCTCTGATATATGCTCTAATCTTTTGTCTTTAGCCAATTGTTGACAAGATTTTTTTAATCTACTGTCTAATTTATCACTGCAATAGATTATCAACATTTCCTTTCGTACATCTAACAAACTAATTTCAATTTGAATACAAATAACGTTTTAGAAAGTTCTGACAAATTTATAAACTTTATACTTAAGATATAAAAAAAATGAAAACTGAGTCCGATCTTCTTAATAAGCTTAATTTTATAAAGAGTTAATTTTGAACTAGTCAGCAAAAAGCAATACAAAATACTTTGCTAAACTCATTCCTTATCTCAATTAAAACCCAAAAAAAGACAGAATATTATACCTTGATATAACAAAGAATTCTTGAGCCAGAACTTTGAGACAATGTGCCACCGTCTTCATCTCATCGGCATCAAACTGTCATTTTAAACCAAACAAATCAAATTTAAATGTTTGCAAGACATTAACATAATATAAGTACATGTATGATGTCATTAATTTATAAAATCAAAATTTAAGCTATATTTGAAACTTTATTTTTTAGTTTAATAAATCAAAACCTCAAAAAAAATCAATGGTTTTGGAAGCTAAATATTTTTCAATGTCAGTATCCAAAAATTAATTTTACCTGGCTAGTCTCAGAAGATTTCAACAAGTTTCTCTCTAGCGGACAAAAGATACTCAACCAGAATGTCTCCCTATTAAACAAAATATAACAAGGAGTATTTATATCTTTATATTCCATTCAGACTTTGAATGAAGATCATATACTAAGGGGAATTCATCTTCACAGTGACCAAACAGTGTACAGACATTAGTCCAGTGTAAACCTATATTTTATTGCCAAGTTTTAAGGTGGAGCTCTTAAAATCCATTTTTCAGTTCTGTTTTCAAATTTTCTGCATGAGATTGGTCAAAATTACTGCATCATCCTAATAACACCTGTGGACAAACTAGTGATGGGATTTCAAAAATTTTCTTGTCGGACATTTTACCGAAAATAAAGGAGCGTAACTATTATCGTTATTTAAGCAGACGAATTCATACCATAATTAAAGATAGGTTGCCAGGCAACGAAACATACGCCCACAGCAGCTAAGTCGTCCGAGCAGTCAACAAGAGGTGTCGCATATTTTTTCTATTGTCGGTAATGAAACATTTATAATACTCTGAAATCTGATTAAGAGTAACAACTCATTAAGTAATTATCCGAAAATCATTAGAAATTGTTTGGCTTGTAGTTCTGCCCCATGATAACGTTTAGTATACGAAACATTTAATATCACAGATTTCACTGTTCAAGTTATCAAAATTCATTGAAAATCAATATACTTGTTCGTCTCTGTGTATCAATCTAAAGTCAATCGGATGATAACTTTGATCTCTAGAGCATCCACAAGATTTTTCAAAGTGATTAAGGGCCATAACTCTGGTAGTAATTTTTGGAAATCATTGAAAATCAATAGACGTCTTCGTCTCACAACCTTAAACACTGTGTATAAATTTCAAGTCAATCAGATATTAACCTTAGCCTCTAGAGCATCCACAAGATTTTCCAAAGTGATCGAGGGTCATAACTCTGGTAGTAATTATCGGAAATCATTGAAAATACTGGGCTTCTTCGTCTCACGACCTTAAACACTGTGTATAAATCTGAAGACAATCGGATATTAACTTTAGCCCCTAGAGTGTCCACAAGATATTTCAAATTGATCAAGGGCCATAACTCTGGCAGTAATTATCGGAAATCACTGAAATTCAAAGGCTTCTTTATCTCATGACCTTAAACACTGTGTATAAATTTAAAGTCAATCGGATATTAATTTAATGTCAATCAGATGGACAGGGGCGACGACAATATACAACCACATTTCAATGTGGGCGAATAAAAATCACGTCAACAAAATATTCAAATCCAGTACGTATTAAAAATAGGTGAACCTCACTATTTTTCATATCAAATTTCCGTACGGTATTCAAATTTATGTCAGTAACATTCCTACAAAATTAAGCATTTTCGTAATACATGGAATGAAAGCTTGCCGATACTGCTTTGGCATTAAATTCACAACCGTAATTACGTGTCTTCGTTTATACGACAGCAAATGAATACAGAACTTCCAAAGTAAGAATAGTTTTTAATGTCAGAACATTGTTTTCTACTTTATAAAATGTCAACAAAATATTCATATCCGTGCGTAATAAAAATATACTGAACAGTAAAAAAACGTCAGTTTGATTTCAAAATCAGAGAGGCACTTTAATATAATCATTCTAGAAAATGACGTTCTAAATGGATCAAAGCAATTTTTTGTGAAAGTATGTTGACACATTAGTGATTAATTCATCACAATTCCAAGACATTAGGAGAAGGTTTAGAGTCTGTACACAGTTCATACATCAGTATCTGGTGTGTCTAACGCAAGTGCCAATAACAGCAGCGCAGCGTCTGTACATGGAGTGGACCAGACAATTAATAAACGCCATTGACACCTGGCACCACACTCTTAGAAAAGACTGACACAATCCATCGGCTGTGTTTGGTCTCGGTACATTATTAAGTCTCCTCTGAATTTCATCCCAAAGATGTTCAATAGGGTTTAAATCTGGACTAAGGGCTGGCCAGTGCATAACGTTGACACTGTTCTGCTATAGAAAGTCCTGAGTAACTCTGGTGGTGTGGGCACGGGTGTTGTCATGCTGGAAAACGTTGTTTGGATGACGTGCGAAATGTGGTATGACGGGGGGTCTGAGAGCTTGATTGATGTAGCGAACTGCTGTGATGCCGCCTCCTCTCCCTTGACCAAGATTTTGGAACGCCACAGGACCAACTCTGTGGTTTAGGTCGATTCCACCCCAAACCATTATGCTTGGACCTCCCCATGAGTCTCATTGCATGACACATTGGTCAGAATAACGCTGGCCACGTTGACACCATATTCTGGTCCTACCATCTGCAGTTGATACGCAAATATTCCTACAAAATTACGTGTTTTCGTAATACGATAGAATGAAAGCTTGTCGATCCGTACCTGCTTCAAACTCATGCCAGTAATATTCCTCCAAAATTACATGTCTTGGTTTATACAGCAGCAAATGAAAGAAAGGCGTTCATAATAATAATACTTGTTGTGATGTCAAAACACCATTTTCTTCTTCATAAATCAGTATTTTAAAATTACATTGATAGTTAAATGACTCGTAAAAAGGCATAGCTAACTTCAGCGTATGGCGTACGTGACTTATTGCAGATAGCTTCATAGTAATCATAGTAAACACTGCCTTATATGTTAAGCTATTTTCGTGCGGCAATTGATATCGCGGGAATGTGAAACTGTGGATGAGAATATCTATATGGAGTCTTAAAAGACATAAAAGATACCGCAGACAAAATGACTGTCCATTGATTTAGGTTGTTATATACTCTGACGACTAGTTTATATATGCTGTCGGTTGATGCATGCTTTGATTAAAATGTCTGACAATGGAGAAACCACGAGGTAAACATCTAGATTAAAATTAGACCACTTTTATTGGATTGATGAATAGTCTGACAAAGGGGAAGCAGTGACTTCTGTTTAAGATAAGATTGATGAATTGTCCGATAAAGGATTAAGTCAGTCAATCATGGCAGATTAAGTAGTTTTAAGGTAGGCGTATAGACGCTATAACTTGATAAATACGTTGATCACTTAATTACCTAATCAATCCAGCCTATCACATCGATAATCAGGTTGAGTGGTAGTTATACACTATATTATTTTTTGAATTTAGAATATTATTCACCATATCTTGAGGTCCGATTGGGCATATTCCTGGTCGGACTATTTTGGACATGTCCGGAATATACAGGTGAAATCGCATCACTGGGACAAACTGTACTTCATAGTAATTTGGCATGGTACTACATGTATTGCACATCTTAATGTAGCAAAATAGTAATAGTATCCTGTCATGGGACAATTGGCAGAATCCAGACTACCAGTTCTCTAACAGATGATCCATCCCAAACAATATCAATGATTTCATTCCTATTCTGGAAATAGTATGATAACCCAATTTTAAGCCCAGGTTATGTTCTTAAGCCCCATGCAGTAAAAAATCACTGCCAAGACCCATCATATCTTTTGGATCACTGTATAGTACAATGGGTACTTATGGCTAGCCGCCGGATCCATTCACTTGAATTGATAGAGCTTTTCATCGGTGAAGTGTCAAAAGGGTGTATCTAAGAATTTCTAACGATTAAGAAATAGAACCTTTTGCATTTCAAAATTTCAACAAATCAAGATACAACATGTGGATACATAATACCCAGAACAGTTCTAATAGGCGTAGAGACCCACAGCTTAGACAGAAATGTGCATATTAATTGGGAGATTTTAAAAATGCAAAAAAGTGTATTTGACTAATTTCCAGAGATACACCCTTTTGACACTTCACCGACGTTTTATGACTTATATTGTCTGCCTTTTTGTCATGTCTGAGTGTGTCTTACAGGTTTCTAGTTGGATATTACATGGGGTGCAGTTCAACTCAATCTGATTAAATTACAGATCTATATTTCTTTTCGATTTTTATTCTTGCGATGGCCTACACTACATGAAGATCTGACCAGATGTTTTGGAAGGTCGGGCGGGTAAGAGGTCATACGAGTGGCTTTTGACCCTATGACGTCAAACATTTGATTAACCAATCAGCATTGATGTTTCTAGTGGATTATCCACAGTTCCGTGCACCTCACACCAAAAGCTCGCCGTAACAGACCGTTTTATTGGCTAATCCCTAACCTCAACCAAAATGTGGGTAATATAACAACTCTTCCAGATCCTAGTGTAGTCAAGACAAGTAAAACGAAATTTTGAACTATAAAAACCAAAACGAAATAGGATCTGTGTTTTAATCAGATTTAGTTCAACTGCACTTACTATTAGAAATATGAAGTTACTATTACAATTGTGTATCAGATTTTCAGATGACTTACTTTGCTCTTAAAACTTCCATTGCACGTTCTCTCAATCCACACCATAATGACTGCATAAAGTCTGTACAAGCACACAGAAGATCAGATGGACACTGATAGGTACTCTGAATAAAAACATCACTATGAATCAAACAAATATGGCTTACAAGGCATGTGCTCTTAAAACTATAAATAAAACATTTTTTACTAAAAAGATTGAATTTATATTCATTTCCTAAAGAAGGAAAAAGTGAATGCTAAGACAACACAAATAAAATAATGGTTTCTCGGGACCTGTCCGCACCCAAAAATGGTTGCACAAGCAGTCTTTTTATTGGTCTTGAAGAAAAAAAATAGAAAAAAAAACGAAAAAAAAAAACGCCCACCCGACCATCAATACATAGTCATAAAAAAAAAAAGGTGTCGCATGTGCTTACTTAATCTACATGATTACCCCATGGTTTCTCCTCTGTCGGACATTTTCAATCTCCTAAAGTCATATCCTAATAGTATATAACACCCCAAATCAACGGACACTGGAATCATAACGTTCAAAATACTTTGATCCTTATCTACTGCCAAGTGTGAACATGACGATGCTGAAACAACTGTGACCACTGGTTCTACTTGGGTTCTGCGCCATCACACAATATCTTTTTACCTTTAACCATTTTATTTTGTAAGAATTGCCACATGGTCCCACCAAGCAGCCCATTTGTCATTACACAATATTTTAACCATTTTCCATTCACCAACAACAAAAAGTATCCATACGAATCGTTGCCTATATCAATACATTTGATTGTAACTTATTTTAATACTCCATACATAAATTCTCATCTACAATGGCACCTTCACACGATTTCACTGTCGCATGGAATTCATCGCCTACCATTTAAGGCATTGCTTACTACGAAACTAGTAAAATGGTTGGTTTTGGAGCAAAATAGCTGTAAAATAGGTCACTTCACTTACACCAATAACAGACATGATAATACGCGGAAGTTGGCTATGCCTTTTTACAACTGAATAAACTTCCAATGTAATTTTTAAATACCATTTTATAAAGAAAACGATCCTTAGATATCATGAACTATTTTATCACGAAAGTTTCAATTTCATTTTCTGTTGTACAAAAGAAGGCAGTTAATTATTAAGGAATATTTTTGAAGTGAACTTGAATTAAATATGAAAAATAACAAGGACCACCCAATTCTTTATACTAATCGTAAATATTATTCATAATGTGATATGTTACTTAACATAAGAAATATTCCTTGTTAACTCACTTTTATGCGCATGCTTAACTGAAATCATGGTCTCGCAAGTAATTTAAGATTTACTTAGCTACAGGGATGACTTTTACGTCGTTTACATATAGTCAGTCTACAATTTACCACATAATATGTACCTTTTTTATCGTCATGTCTTTATTATTTCCGTGCACATTTCAGTCAGTGTTCAGTGCTTGAGTAGACTTGATTTTGGGGTTGGTGTTCTAAATATGTACAATAAAATGAAAGCAAAACCGTAGACGAGTGATCGCTTTCTGTAATGTTCTCATTTAAAAAAAAAAAGAAAAGAAAAAAAGACCACCCTCCCGCCCATACAATTTTCAGCAATAGCCCAATTTTATTTTGCACTATCCTCTATCCAGCAATGAAGTAAAACAAGCCAACAGTGAGGCTGATGTCCCCCGCCGAAATAGGAAAATAATTAGAGGACACATATAAATTTATCACAAAGTATCTTTTACAAAGTATTGAACAATCAAACAGTATATCTTTACTTATAGTCTAACAATCAAAGTAGGAGAGTTATTGTTTTCCAAAGTCTCGACCAATCAAATTGCGTATCGCTCTGCTTACCCTGAGCAGAAAATGCTCATTATCAAACTTAGTCAAGGTATTACTGTAATGAAACTATACACCAAGTTTCATCAATCTCACTTAATTAGAACTAAAGTTATCGTGTCCCAAAGCATCAACCAATCAAATTGCTTATCTCTGCTTACCCTAAGCGGAAAATGCTCATCTTCGAACTCCATCAAGGCATTGACCTAATCAACACATACACCAAGTTTGAACATTCTAGCTCAATTAGGAAGAGAGTTATCGTGCCCCAAAGTATCAACCAATCAAATTGCTGCTTACCCTGAGCAGAAAATGCTCATTATCAAACTTAGTCAAGGTATTACTGTAATGAAACTATACACCAAGTTTCATCAATCTCACTTAATTAGAACTAAAGTTATCGTGTCCCAAAGCATCAACCAATCAAATTGCTTATCTCTGCTTACCCTAAGCGGAAAATGCTCATCTTCGAACTCCATCAAGGCATTGACCTAATCAACACATACACCAAGTTTGAACATTCTAGCTCAATTAGGAAGAGAGTTATCGTGCCCCAAAGTATCAACCAATCAAATTGCTTATCTCTGCTTAGCCTAAGCGGAAAATGCTCATCTTCGAACTCCATCAAGGCACTGACCTAATAAACACATACACCAAGTTTGAACATTCTAGCTCAATTAAAAGTTATCGTGTCCCAAAGCATCAACCAATCAAATTGCTTATCTCTGCTTACCCTAAGCGGAAAATGCTCATCTTCGAACTCCATCAAGGCATTGACCTAATCAACACATACACCAAGTTTGAACATTCTAGCCCAATTAGGAAGAGAGTTATCGTGTCCCAAAGCATCAACCAATCAAATTGCTTATCTCTGCTTACCCTAAGCGGAAAATGCTCATCTTCGAACTCCATCAAGGCATTGACCTAATAAACACATACACCAAGTTTGAACATTCTAGCTCAATTAGGAAGAGAGTTATTGTGTCCCAAAAAGTGTGACGGACAGACAGACGGACGGACAGACGGACAGACAGACGGACAGACAGACGGACAGACAGACGGACGAACCCATTTTAATAGTCCCCTGCTTTCTTCGAAAGGAGGGGGACAAAAAAAAGAAGAAGAAGCTGCCCTTCCCTCCTACATTTTCAGCTGTCAGTTGCCCGAGAAACAAGATTTAATTTTGTGTGGCCTAAACTAATAATAATTGAACATTCAAAATATATTTCTCTGAAAGAAAAAATATATGAAATATATAAATAGATACCTGCTTTTTAATCTCCATTAAATTTAAAACTGTTTGTAGACAGCTAGTTTTACCTAGTGTTAAATCCTGCTGTAAAAAATCAAATAAACATTCAAAACATGAAAGAAAGATGAGGTTTACCAGCAATTTAACAGAACTAAATCTGGAATTAAGGGGTCTTTAGAAATGGGGGTATATAGGAGAAGCTGGGAAAAAAAACAGGATTTAATGTCACTGGTATCAGCAACACAGATCCATACGAAGGTCTTAAAACATACAATTTGTGTTCCTCATTAATTATAACTGAAATAACATTGTGATGGACAGGGCTATACTTTTACTGAGGACAGTAAAGTTTGTACAGACTGGTGTTTGCATAGTGTAGTGGCAGTCCATCATAGTCTACATGTATAAGATAGAGACTAAAGACTGTTTAGTTTTATCTCAATCTACCTATATCTCGGACCACTAAAAGAAAACATTAATATGAAATATCTCTTACTTTTTTGCCATCATTAGAGTTAGACGACTGCACATTGAGAAATATTTCAATCAAACCAGGTTGGTATTCAATACACACTGACAAAAATTCTAATATCACTACTTTCAATCTTAAATCCTTCAAAAATAACATATAAAGTATCACATATTTATAGCAAAGTAAGTATTACATGCCATGCAGTCTAGTCCAACTTTTCTTCTTAATTCTTTTTCATTTTTTATGTTGCTAACAATCATACTAAAGACTAACAAAAAGCCAATGAAAAGATGTACTGTCTCAGGCAATAACAGTTTTAACAAATCACAATATGGAAGTGGTTTGATCTTCATATGTAGACTGCCCAAATTCTAAGTCTCATCGAAATGAAAATCTAATTTCAATTAGACTTCATATCATATAGTATTACAAGGCAAGTACTTGCTGGATTTCATACATTACTTACTTCTGAAAGAGCCTGTAATCTGCAGAGAAACATATCTCTCACTGGTTCTGCTTCTGATCCTAAACATGCTAATATAGACATTGGTGATACCTGAAAATATAAAATAAATGACAAAACTTATAAGTGTGGATTTCCATTAATTACTGTGATGCTTTATATATACTCTTCCACACAACTTTACATGAAACAATATACACAAAACTTTATATGAGCCCAACTTGGCAAGCGAAGATGAGCATAGTGTGCTATAAGGGAAATTTCTGACTACTCTTCATCAAATTCTAGTAGTAAAGGATTGTTTTACATGCATGTCGATGTGTACATGCAAGGGACTTGGTTTTTTTTAGTCCCATCCGAACAACTAGACACTGTTCCTTGGCAGGAGCTGAACTCCAGAGTTCTCCCGATTCCAAAATTTGAGAAAAAATAACTTACCATAGCTAATCTCTTTAATAAGACCAAGGCTAATGTTGGCAGCTTTGGATTGTGTCTATGATAAATATACTGCGCAATTGTAGCTACAACATGTTGATGTTGTCTACCAGCTGGTTGTGAGGACAGAGCATGTTCCACAGGAGAGACCGGTAGATCTGGAGGTTTGAGTAATAAAAGACGATTCAGAACCGAGAAAGCAATCTGGATCAATTCTATCTGTTCTATACCTGCTCCTTCTGTTGCACTGTAATACAAAGCTTGATGATAATAGAAATTTTATGAAAAGGACAGGGTTTCTTGAATAGTGGTCCCTTTATACATAGCACAAGTGAGACTTGGGCACACTTAAGACCAGGGCTCACAATGGCTTTCAATTTATTTTTTTAGCCAAAATGGATCATAATTTTTATATAAAAAAAGTTCATAAATTTTTTACACTACATGTATCTTGAATATTTTATCCGCCAAAAATGTGTGATCAAAAAAATGTAGTAACAATTATATTTTTAAGGTAGGCCTATTATAAAACAAGCCAACAGTGGGGCTGATGTCCCCTGCCGAAATCCCAAAATAAATAGATGACACATTTTAATTTATCGCACATTTATTTTTTTTTTCAAAAGTATCAAGCAATCAAACTGATTATCGACTATACACTAAGTTTCAATCTGTTTCACAGAGGATTACAAAGGTCTTCTAATATCTCTGTAAAAGATGACTACCTTCAACACGTGACTTTTCATCACGCGGCATCAATCATTGGCTCAATGGTGTGTGCATTGTTTACATAAGACCTTACTGGTTTGGGCAGAATGGAGCCTTTTAATCATTTTAATACCAATTTACACCAAATAGGAAATAATTTTTACCTACAAATACGTCAAACGTCTTTATTTATTTTTCTAATACATAAAAAAAATGTTTTAGAATTTAATTTGTCGGAGGAAAAAAGTTAATATTTGTGGCTCATTAAGTGCATCGATGTCATCCTTATCAGTGAATGTCGCGGCCTAGCGAATATTCACTGCTGATCAGTGTGACTAAGTTTCATCACTCTCTATCAGATAGAATCAAAGTTATCTTGTCCTAAAGCATTGACCAATGAAATTGCTTAGCTCTGCTTAGCTTTAGCTTGAAATGTTAATCATTGAACTCAGATAAGGCATTCACCTAATAAACATCTCCATGAATTTTAAACATTCCACCTCAATTGAAAGCAGAGTTGATATATTCCAAAGTCTTGACCAATCAAATTGCTTATTTCTCCTTAGCCTAAGCAGAAATTTCTCATTATCAAACTTAGTCAAGGTAATGATATAATGAATCTATACTTGGAGTTTCATCACTCTCACTTAATTATAACCAAAGTTATCATGCCCCAAAGCATCAACCAATTTTATTGTTTATCTCTGTTTACTGTAAGCAGACATTGTTTCTTATCGAACTAGATCAAGGCATTCACCTAATGAACGCCTACACCAAGTTTGAACATTCTACCTCAATTAGCAATCAAATTGCTTATCGCTCTGCTTACCCTGAGCAGAAAGTGCTCATTATTGAACTTAGTCAAGGTATTGATGTTATAAAACTATAAACCAAATCTCATCACTCTCACTTAATTAAAATCTTCCCTATTCGGCTCATTCTTACATTTCCAACCCCGGGTGATAATATAATTTAAAATAATAACATTCAGTTAGGCAGGCTTGTATATTTTACATGTCGTGTGAAGCCGCAGTAAACGAAATTCGACTATCAAATATCTAATTCTCCTTGAAAAGAATTATCTGCTATTTGAGTATGTCTTTTTTTTTTAAGACAAAATGAAATATCAAATAATCACTGCTTGGATTAATTATTAGGTGTAAATAATGACTTGAGATAGGCTTTATTAAATATCATTGGCAATTATCAATCAACTAATTATTAATCCAAGACAAATGATTAGTATTACTCATTGACACGTTCCAGATTATCCGCTAGTTGATTAATTTACAGTATGCCGCCACTTGATTATGATTGACACTCAACGTAATGGTCAATCTAGGATAATTACAATTAGAATTTTAAGATTTTTATTCCACCACTTCTCAAAATGAATCAAAAGTACGTCAAAACTTTATCGCCAAAATAAATTTTTTTATTGCAAATTGCAACTTAGGCAACCGACGGTGGGAGCCCTGCTTAAGACATTTTACTCCACAAATCTAGAGAACTTTAATATGAATATGCACAACTTTACAGTATGCTTCTTCCAATCGTGTCAGGATATGTTCGGAAGTGGCATCTTTTTTGTTAAAGATTTTAGTTTCAATTCTGGGGGAGAATAGCTCTTACATTAATAACCATTCTTCTCAACTAACTCATGAACAGAAAACAGAAGAGAAATTACCTCCCTTGCTGTGATAGAGCCAGTTCTATATTATCAACACCAATCGCTATTATCTCTAATAGTGCTCTTCCTGCCTCAGTAAATAATAGACTATAAACACACACTTCTTGAAGTTGTAATCTGAAATTTAAATTTGATAAAATTGTGTAGAGTCAGAATTTTGTAATCTATAAATCTAAATACAGTTCATAATAATATAAATGCTTGCAATTAAATGTTCCTGCGGTTCATTAGAAATTCTAGTATGGGCAAAATGCAAGTAAAAATTTATTATGTTTCAGTAGTATAAATATATGTGTTATTTTTCACTATCTTTACTATGGTAAAACACCACAACAGAGGAATATTACTTACCCTTTTTTCTCAGCTTTTTTCTGCAGATGTAGAAAGTTGAGAATTTTGTGGAAAAGATCCAAACATTTCTGACCTGCAATAACCAATAAATAAGTCAGTGTGAGTTGATCATCAAGCTTACATTGGTTCGATTGTGGAATGAAAATTGATTCCATGAAAAAGAAATGTAATAAATACCAATGTTCAACATCACTCTAACACTTTTATGTCATTTTGAGACTGACAAGGTAATTTTTTCAAGCTTCTACAAAATTATCTGCTTTTGGCTTTCAAATACACGTCCAAATTGTAGAGTGTCATGTTAGAGTCAAGTTTACTCTTGTAGCAATTTTCTTGAACTTATGTATTGAAGTATCTAGGCTATCCCCAAAAGTTAATCTTCTAATAATATAATTGATTTTCAACCAACCCAGAGATTCTCTGCTGTTACTTTGACTAAATCTCCACTTTCTAAACACAGGAAATATTTCCCGTAGAATATATAATATAGTCGGTACTAGTTCTTCTTCTTGATCACTTCGGGTTAATGGCTGAAAGAAAAAAACAAGTGGAGCACAATGACAAATCAAACAAATCAATGTCTCTTGCATCATATTAACTGAAAAAATACTTGAAAATTGTGTCAATGGTAAAGTTGTTTTATCAGTCATTCTAAATATCATTTGGGCAGCTTTGAGTCCAACAAGTGGCTCAAGTAGAAATGAAATGAAATGGGGTTTAACGTCCTACTGTTCTGCTCCTAACCTGGGCTAATGAAGACGGGCATACGCCATACAGTGTGCTATGAGGGAAATTTTTCCCGGGCTGTGGCACTACGGCCTACTCTTATATCGAATTCCAACTGCCAAGGGATCTTTTTCGTGCATGCCAATGTGTACACGGGACCTCGGTTTTTCGTCCCATCCGAACAACTAGACAGCTGTCCTTGTCAGACCCTCCGTCTTGCATCACTGGCAAGGGGAAACCACGCCGGAAAATCGGGATGAACTTTCTCGGCCAATGCAAGGATCGAACACCCGACCTCCAGGCTAGCGAGCCAGCATCTTACCCACTTAGCCACGTGATCCCTAAGTTTTGATGGGTGTAATACATAAGGCAGGATATTTTCCCCATTATACCACTTAAAACTGTGTAGTAATATCAGACTTCCTTGTTAACTACAGGTTAATTGCTTCTGCAACTTTATTGTTAAACTGGTTGGCTTCGAAGGTCCCTCGTTCTCAATATAGCATAGATGATAGCTGCTCGTAATATCTGGGTGAGCTCTGATCAATTTCGCTCAACACCCTCTTTTATAAATCCTTATTTCTGTATGTTATAGACTAACCTTGGCATTAATTTCCTTCCCAAATATGGAATAAACATCCCCATTCTCCCATGACCAGGGGGGAGAACATTACCTTGTTTGGTCTACCAAACACATGTCAGAAACAGATAGAAATTGGTGGACATTTTGACAATTGTAAGGATTTTACCAAAATATCACAGTTTTTTATATATAAACATGTCATCCACTTTCATAAGTACGTGGGATTTGACTCTATAGACAGTATTATCCAATAATTAGTTAAAGATACACTATGGTCTTAAGGATCAAAGTACTACAACTGTTTTATCTATAAGATTTTGGGTGTGGTAAACTGTATTCTTGTACTGTCTGTTCAGTCTTCATTCCTGTACTAGCTATAAATGTCATCTCACAAAATTGACTAGGACTAATCAGTGTGTTAAGCTTTGCTCCAAGGGCTTGAGTATGAAGTGATTTCAGTGTATGCGAGTACCTACCTCTATCAAGTTAGTTATAAATTTAAGTACTGCTTCAGTAAGAGGATATCTGGCTTCAATACACTCTGTTCTAGCTAATATAGTACCATATAAACCAGCATGTAAACCACGACCACTGCAAATTAACAAAACAAAACTAGCTCACTGCCCATCTAAGCTATGTATATTTTAACAGTTTACAACCAATCTGAATAAAATTAGATATCAGTCATATTTATGGGAATTTAAAAACATAGTGTATGGCAGAATCATGTTGTGATATAAAGTAGGTTAGATCACAATGAGTGAGGTCATGTTTCGTATTGGTGTTTGTTTTTTTTAGTTCATACTGGTGTTAAAGTAGGAAATTAAAACACTTGCACAATTTGTCATTGTTTCGCTTTTGTTAGAATTGTTCAAAACTCAGTTATTTCAACATTCCTTTAAACTCTAACAGATCGTTATCTTGCTAAGTGTCATTTGTTAACTGTCCATGGAATTTCTGTTGCTGGAAAGTCAATTTCATTATCCGTTAGCTAACGGACTAATCAAAGTTAATCCAAGAGAAGACTGTTTGGTCATTCGCTGAATTTTATATGACGTTGTCAACTGAATAGTTTTGGGGAATACATGCATGACTTTGGGTGCCTCTATTACAACAAGAATGACATCGCCATTTTCATCACTGTCACTGAAATCTGAGTCAAAAGGGGCTCTACTATATACCGGAAAACACAGGAAAACACTGAAAAACACCGGAAAACAACCGGAAAACACCATGTTATACTGAATACCGGAAAACACCGGAAAAACACTAAATACCGGAAACCACCCTAAATACCGGAAACCACCCTAAATAGGTAACCCGGAGAAGGGCTATACTATAAACCGGAAACTAACCCTAACCCAGGCACACAGAGGACCAGGCTCCGGGTTACCTATTTAGGGTGCCAGTCTCCGGGTTACCTATTTAGGGTATTTTCCAGTATTTAGTGTGTTTTCCGGTATTTAGTGTTTTTCCGGTGTTTTCCGGTATTCAGTATAAAATGGTGTTTTCCGGTTGTTTTCCGGTGTTTTCCGGTATATAGTATTGCCGGTCAAAAGTTGTCATCAAATCTGAGTTAAGTTCACTGTCTTCATCCTTGAATAATGCATCCAGCCATGACATCTATCTATATATATATTTGTGACTGTCGTTTGTCTGTCTGTCTGTTCGGGATTGGCGGCTACACTAGGTCTGCCCCGAGTCTGAAATTTGGGGTATAGGGGTAGCTCGGACCGGGGAGTAACATAGGCCAGGTGGCGTTAGTCTACCACTTCCAGTTTCGGAGTTATGACCCCCGAGCGAAGCCGGTCTGTTCGGGGTTGGCGGCTACACTAAGTCTGCCCCGAGTCTGAAATTTGGGGTATAGGGGTAGCTCGGACCGGGGAGTAACATAGACTAGGTGGCGTTAGTCTACCACTTCCGGTTTCGGAGTTATGACCCCTGAGCGAAGTCTGTTTGTTCGGGGTTGGCGGCTACATCTGCCCCGGGTATCTTGTTAGCAAAGTCATGTTTTGGGTTTTTTTAACTTGTATCACCACAAACAAGTCTTCAGAAAATTAGCGAAAAAAATATAACAAAACAACAAGAATGATAGCAGACGGTACTTCATTCGTTTAGTGAAATGCCACCTATCTAACATGGGAGTTAACTCTATTAAAATGCTGGGAAATAAATAAAATCAGTAAACCAGGAATATTCCGGGTGCCATGTATTGAGGACTCATGCCGATACCAGAATAATCAGGGTAAGGATTAAAGACAAAAAGATAACTGTAGTATTTCCTACAGAAAACACTGCGCAGGTCCATCCGAGATCCTTTTTGTGCTCCGGTCCCCGACGACTATATAAAGGGAACATCCGCACAATTTCATTTAAGCCTTATGAGTTTGAAATGAACGAAACTAGTTGCTTCATGAGAGAAATCTGGGACGGCTACTCGCCACTCATAGATTTCTAAGTTTATTCACACTTACTGCGGAGTAACCTTATCAGCTAAGAATTTCATAATTCCAGTCACCTCAAACGAGAAACCGAACCCAGAGTCAAACACTACCTAGGGAGAAGTTGACTCTTTACCGAAAAGAATCAGATAGATTTTATGTCCGGAACATAATCGGAGTATATCTGCCGATCAGAAAGCAAGCGGTTGTTCTGCCTTCAGCCATTATACCAGTGTACAAATACTCCATAAAATGAACAACAAATTTATACCTTTGTACCGGAGTCAAAATTCTCTGGAATTTGAATAGCAAATTTAGACGATTTTAATTCCATGTAAATCACCACAATCGTATAGACCAAAATAATATTCTGGTCCTTATACGCCTTATAAAAATATAAAGGCTCAAAGCCGAGTGAATATTATCTTTACCTCACCGAATCGTTATATAACGGTTTATGACCCCACCTTTTCCAATTTAGTAAGCCCTCCCAAGAGAAATGGCACCTATTATCCTATTAAGAAAAATAGCCCATGCCGTGCACCTTCAAAAAAAGCCAATCAAATCATTGAGAAGGCTGATATGCAAGTAGAAATTTTACGATACAAATAATTGGGCTTTCCATGACTGATCCTGACTGAGACATAAATGATATGTCATGTTGGATAATATTTGAACCATTTTAAATCGAAATGGATTCACACTTAAGAACTTTTGCAACGAACGGCTATACAATTTCATAAGATTTAGTTCCAAAGGGTCCCCACATTCTTTATATTTATATCAACAGAAAACACTATCAAAAAATCTATAGAATACTATATAGTATTTTTCTACAGAAATTTTACCAGAAATAACATGTAGGAAAATCTATAGGATTTGTGGCCGTTATTTTCTATAAATTCTGTCTGGACAGCAGCGTTTCTGTATACTCTTCGAGTAAAATTAAGTTCACAGCAGTAATTGTTTTTTAGCTACTGTTATAGTATTAATAATTCTTTGATGAAAGTGGATCAGGAATTTTGTAGGTTTTTTTTTAACATCGTTATTTGTTTTCTCTTTGTTTTATTCAAAGTAAAACCTATCAAAGCAGAAACCTTACCTTAATATTTCTCCAAGATTATCCAAGTTTTCTGTCATATAGGGTAAAAATCCAGTCTGCTTAATACTGTGCCATACCTACATTATATATTTTATTTCAAAAAATTAAAAATATAATGTGTAGCATAAATTTCCAAGAAGTATTACTTTCTCTATCAATACACAATTTATGAATATCATTGTAAAGATTAGAACAAAAATAGCATCAGATTTTAGCTGAAAATGAGTCAGATCTCAAGGAACAAATGTTGTTCCGTATACTTCTTACAGTTATACAGTAGACTTGACTTACTGGTTTAGGATGTTTGGTAACAGTACAATTTAAACATTCCATGGTATTACTGAGTAACTCTAATGGTGGTGGATTGATAACACTAAACCTGTTAAGAAACACAAAATAATGCTTATCGCTTTCTTGGCAAAGAAGATTCAATTTAATGAACGATAATAATGAACAGCGCTGACATGGAGAGCACAATACAATTTCTTTGTTCTTTAATACAATTTCTTTGTTCTCTAATACAATTTCTTTGTTCTCTGTCATTGTATTTGTCATGAATTTTTCACATTTTGTGTATTATTCATTTTGGTCCTCAAGCAATGAAATGCAATTATGTGCAACTGAAAATGCTGATTGCTTATGTCGCATGTGCACTTACAACTGAAATCTTAGAGAGATGTTGACTGCGATTGTTCGCAACTGATCCCTCTACCACCAAACTAAGGTCAAAGGAACCACATGACTGTCACGTAATCAGTACAAAATGGTGATGCTATCATCTAAGGTTAGCAATTAATTTCTTAAAGGCTGGTTCTGCTATTACACGGTATTATTCTTTCTGTGAATACAAATACACTTCTTTTGTCTAAACACTCATCGATATGGTCATCAGACATTTTTATGTACACAAATGGCATAATGGAGACCTAAGGAAAACTATGAACATGTGCTACTAACTGCAACATCAGATCACAAGACCGATTATGTTGTCTTTTTCATGCAACTCAAAGTTGCTTTAAGTTTCATCCAGTAGCACTAACCAAATCGCATATAGTCACCACATCGCAGCGCAAGGGCGGCATGAGCCCCCCTTTAGTGTATTACACTTTTTCATTATGTTGGTGCAAAATTAAATTGATTTTTTACCGTCTGGAAAGTATCTCCAAAATTCTAAAAATAGCATATCCTTTTTAATATATCAAAAATATAAATTTATGTCTTTCAAGCACTTACCTTTGTATTAAAGTAAAACAAAGATTGATAATATCCGAAAACTCTTCAATACACTCAGGGTCAGAGGTCATAACCTCTTTAACAAGGTTCATTGTCATAGTAACTCGGTCAACCTGAGTTGGCGAAACCATTCCTAGAAAATGACACAACAGAACAAAAATGAGTGCCAATTTAGGAAAGATATAAATGTATGTACATAAAAAATAAATGTAGGCCAAACTATAAACCAGTTTGATATTACAATTTAGTATAAAGCAACTTCCACAACCACATGTATTTCTCTGTGTCATTAATGCAGTGTATGAACTATATAATATGTGATGAAATACATGTTGTGTTATTTGAGGACTAATATTGTATTTATTCTCTTTAATTCAATGACAAATTAGACAATCTAATCAAAATCAGATGTTTCTTGTTCTGTTTATACAAATGGTCACTCCATTAATATCTACATTAATATCTAAACACATGTTTATGAAAACACAATCTGCACATTAATAACAAAGATTAAGTGACGTAAACAAAGATTGGTACAGGTATATTGATTTTAATTAGACAGCAGGTTAAGAGAGAGCACAGTGAACTTATGATTTTTTCAGATAAATATAAGGAAATCTGATCCACACATGTCTGAATTGTTCCAATTTGATAGGCTTCTTTGTCTCACTAATGTAACAATAAGCATAAATTCTAAGATGATTGGATGATACTTTTTGTCACCAGATTTTTTTTTTGATTAATGGCAATAACTCTAGAAGTAATAAACAGAAATCACTGAAACTGATCAGCCTTCTTTGTCTCAGTAATGTAAACACTGCATTTTAATTTCAAACAAGACCAATGATAAATGTAGTCCCTAGATTGTTTGTAAAAAAAATAATGTGGATGATGGTCAAACAGATGGACAGATAGCTGGCAGGGAAATGGAAAATATGCCAACAATAGCTTAATTAGTTGTACAAATCTTCAAGTAAATAAAAAGCAAAATATAAATCATAAAAATCGAAACAAAAAAAAATAATTTAAAGTATATAAAATTCAACTTTTGTTGATAATGACATGTTGCTATAACTGAGAGACCACAGGGAACTCGTGATTTTTTTAAAATAAATATCGACAAAACTGATATTCGGCTTTAAGAAGCTTCTTTGTTTCACTAATTTGAAAATATATTTAACTTTCAAGCGTTCGAAAGATTCTTGTGAGTTAACTAGGGCCCTAACTATAGGCTTCTTTGTTTAACTAATCTGGACAATGCAGATCGGATGAAAACTTTTTTATATTCGAAAGATTCTACAAAGTCAACAAGAAGGGTCCAAACTCTCTACATGTAGATTTCTGCATCTCACAAATCTGAAAAATGCACATCAATTTTAATCCGATCAGATGATGACTTTGACAAAGTGATCAATGGAAGTGATCATGTCACTTCATCTAACTAATGTAAACAAAAAAGTACATAAATTTTTGAAAGGTTGGATGACAATTAATGTAGTCTGTAGAGTGCTCACAATAATGGTATACATGTATGACCAATGAACAGGGGTGACAACAATACAACCATGTTACATTTAGTGAAAGAAATACTGAATACAATGAATACAAATAGATTGTTACACTTATACCTGCCCCATGGGAAACTTGAGTGAGTAAATATTTAATTTCACACATTAAAAGTTGCCAACCATTATAAGATGTCTGCCACTGTATTATAGGACCACCCATTTCGCCCTTACCACCTGACAAGAAAATAATAGAAATCATAGAAGATACACAAGACAAAAAATATGACATAAAACTTTTGGCTCTAAGTTAAGTTTGATGTTTGAGAGAAAACCAATGTCTACAAAATATTTCTAAAAAAAATACCAAGTGTAGCTTTATAAAATAGTGTGAAAAAATCGGACAGGAAAAAAAATGAAATTATAATTAATTATGAAAATAATGAACCAGCGGCTGCCAGACAGGATACGCCCACATTTTCAAGAGATGGATAGAGAACAAAGTAAAAAGAAAGTGATTTATCCTACAATCAAGGGCCATAATTCAGGAAATTACAATTCGAAATGCGCAAATATCAAAAGGAACCGAGATCTTTGTGTTATAAACTTACATTTCAAGTTTCAACAAAATCGGATAAAAATTGTGACCTCTATAGGGTCCACAACCTTGATATACCATATTTTTTACGCTATCTGAGAACGAGGGGCGGCCATTTTGTCTGTCAGTTTTGGGCCGATTTTCACAAAATTCGGACTCAGCTGATAAAACAACGCTGATAAAACAATACGTTTTTTTAAATCGAATAAACATTATGACCTCTATAGGGTCCACAAGCTAAAAACGTGATTTTTCTTACAATCAGGGGCCATAATTCAGGAAGTTACGGTCCGATATGCACGAATATCGAAAGGAACCAAGATCTTTGGGTTATATATCTTTGGTGATATAATAATACCGTTTTATTAAATCGGATAAAAATTATGACCTCTATAGGGTCCACAAGCTAAAAACGCGATTTTTCGAACAATCAGGGGCCATAATTCAGGAAGTTACAGTCCGATGTGCGCGAATATCAAAAGGGACCGAGATCTGTGGGTTATAAGCATACATTTCAAGTTTAAACCAAATCGGATAAAAATTGTGACCTCTACAGTGTTCACAAGATAAAAACGTGATTTTTTGAACAATCAGGGCCCATAATTCAAGAAGTTACAGTCTGATGTGCGCGAATATCAAAAGGAACCGAGATCTGTGGGTTATAAGCATACATTTCAAGTTTAAACCAAATCGGATAAAAATTGTGACCTCTACAGTGTTCACAAGATAAAAACGTGATTTTTCATACAATCAGGGGCCATAATATATGAAGTTACAGTCCGATACATGCCAATATCGAAAGGAACCGAGATCTTAGGGTGATAAACCTATATTTCAAGTTTCATTAAAATCGGATAAAAATTGTGACCTGTAGACTGTTCACAAACAATTGTGGACGGACGGACGTCCGGACAGACAGGGGCGATGACAATATACGTCCACATGAAAATGTGGGCATATAAAAAAGATTCATCTAAAGAAATTTGTCAAATGACAATATTAGACACAAGATAATTAATGTTTAAAAATTTTGTTAGAATATTATTTTGACATTATCTTTACCTCCTAATGGAAGAATCTGCCCAACACTGCTTCTATTTATAATCATATCAGCTGAAAGAAATATACAAGTAAATGTACATCAGTATAAGTGTGTAAGCCCACTAACTTCCTCTGTGTTATAGGCTAGACCATTTCTTCTACTATGAAAATGGCTTCACTAGACATGCCTATCTCAACGTTAACGGTTACTAATAATTCCATATCAAATATTTAACTTGTATTCAAATGTACAATAAATGTAAAAGAAGCAGGTCCTCATTTTAACAGGGTTATTTCAAAATGCTTATCTAGATGATGATTTTTGATTACTAGAAAAATTGTGAATAGTAAACTGGATACACAATTACACAATGTTCCAAATATTCTACTCCAAATTCTGTATGTTAAAAACCTTTATTTGAAGTCCTCTGCCACAACAAATACAGAATAAATAAAGGTTAAAAATGCTTAAAGAAAGCACTATTGTTTAATTGTCTACATGTTTCGTCTGAGCTTGTCAAGACATACAATAACAATAGCAATAATAATAATGAAGAAGATGTATATAGCAAAATATTGTAATTATTTTGAAATGTTTAATTTGGGTTTAATTTTGTCAATAAAATATTATTCCTTCAGTCTCATTTTCATGGGATCTGAATATGCATTGTAAAAAAACAGGTATATTTTGAACTTAAGGTGGTCATTTAAAGGGATCTTCCTTAAATTTGGTTCCCTAATATGTTGTCTATGAACCGTTACTCTGTTTTGTACAGTTCAGCACAGACACTACATTTTATGACATGTAATACATAAGTTACTTTACAGTTCATACATTCATTAACAAAAAATTCTTTTCCACTGTTAAATATAAATGATTTACCCTCAATTAAATATCTACTTGTACCGTAATTATCCCTTCCACATTTTACAACTTCCTTAATTGGAAATGAAATGAAATAGGGTTTAACGTCTTGCTGTTCTGCTTCAAACTTGGCTAATAGAGAGAGAAATGGGGTTTAACGTCCACTCGACACAAACTAGGCCATTTCGGGACTAATATATAGTTCAATTTCATTTCAATAATTCGCTTGCGCGTAGGGGTCTTTAGCAGTGGGAGGAAACCGGAGGATCCGGGGGAAAACCCACGAGGTTGGACAGGCGACCCTACTCCTTGTCAATGACAACCGGGGATTCAAAACTATGCCAGTTGACTCAATGACAGGCCTTATCATACAGTGCGCACATGCTAACCATTCTGCCATCCAACCGAACTGGGCTAATGAAGATGGGCATATGCCATACAGTGTGTTATGAGGGAAATTCTGCCCGGACAGCAGCACTATGGCCTACTCTTATATCGAATACCAACTGTCAAGGGATCTTTTATGTGCTAATGTGTACACGGTACCTCGGTCTTTCGTACCATCTGAACGACTAGACAGCTGTCCTTGCCTGGCCTTCTGTCCTGCATCACTAACAAGGAGGAACCACGCCAGAAAATCTGGATGAACTTTCTCGGCCAATGCAGGGATCGAACACCCGATCTCCACGCTAGCGGACCAGCGTCTTACCCACTGAGCCACCGTGACCATCTTCCTTAATTGGACTGAGGGATTTAAATTCAGCCCTAGTGATTTAAGTTTATTAGGTTGTCTTTTTTTAATAAGTTTTTTCAATGTGGAAGATGTGTTTTAATTAAGCTGGAAAAATTAAGATTGTGACGATTAAAGGTGGTGACAAATGCAATTATATTGTGATTTGTACCTTTTATCTTTACCTGCCTTAATTCTGTTATCAGAATTTTACTAGCCCTTTGAATTGTGTCATTAATTAATGTGGAGGGATATTTGTGGGCTAACTAAAATACTCCCAATTCCTCTAGTTTTGAAATTTAGTTATTGTATGAAAACTGAAATGTTCAGGAAAGGAATTGGAACATCTTTAGACCACATAATACTGTGTTTCTTTCCTCAACATTTTAATTTTCATATACAGACAACTAGTTCCAACTATGACTATATATAACATTCACACAATTAGTTACAGATTCTTTCAATTTTTACAGTAATTTAAACCCTAAAATCAAATTATTAGTATCTTTAAGATTCAGCTTACCAGTATCATATGGCATTTTATTATTAACAAGTCTAAACACGGAATCTTGTTCTGTAGGTTGTAAATCTTGTGGATGATTATTATCCAAATATTCTGTATAATAATTTAATCTCTGTAAACATAGCTTCACCTGTAAATTCAAACATACAAATAGGTGATTTACTAACACTGTAACCCGGGTATCCTTTAATCTTGTGTATCTAGCATTAATTTCTTTAAGATTCATTCAATATCAAATCTTTGTTTGAAAATTCTTAAAAATCATTTAATATCACCAACAATTATCTAATTTGTACTTGTGCCCAGCAGGGTCTATAATCCATGAAGTTACGATCCCATACATGCCAGTATGGAAAGGAACTGAGATCTTTGGGATATAAACCTAAATTTCAAGTTTCAACAAAATTGGATAAAAATTGTGATCTCTAGAGTGTCCACAAACTAAATGTGAAAAGACGTCTGGACGGACAGGGGTGACGACAATATACGTCCCCATGAAAATGTGGGCGTATAAAAATGACAGACAATTAATAGTGGAAGCCCTGCTTGTATAAACTACAGATTAGAGTTTTTCAGATTTTGTTTTTCTCCCTGCTAGTTTGGCTAGTCATACAAGAGAGAGAAATGGACGCATGCCGAATTATCCCAGAAAGTTTTGGATGCTTACACAACATAGATCAACATACACAACATAGTCGACAAGAGTAGTTCATAGGTTTCATCCAATTTTGTAAACAAGCCAACAGTGAGGCTGATGTCTCCCGCCGAAATCCCAAAATAGATAGATAACACATATTAATTAATAGCACATTTATTTTTTTTCAAAAGTATCAAGCAATCAAACTGATTATCAACTATACACTAAGTTTCATCACTCTCTATCAGATAGAATCAAAGTTATCTTGTCCCAAAGCATCGACCAATGAAATTGCTTAGCTCTGCTTAGCTTTAGCTCAAAATATCAACTATTGAACTGTCAAGACATTCACCTAATGGACCATTCTACCTCAATTAAAAGCAGAGTTGTTATCTTCCAAAGTCTTGACCAGTCAAATTGCCTATCGCCTAATAATAAAATTATCATCATCAAACTTAGTCAAATTGCATATCGCTCTGCTTACCCTGAGCAGAAAATGCTCATTATCGAACTTAGTCAAGGTACTGATGTAATGAAACTATACACCAAGTTTCATCACTCATTACAAGAGCTAAATCTGCCTATTATTGCAGGTCTTTCTTTAGACCCAAAATGTTTTCTAAATTATTAATTAGACATTAATTAACTTATCCAGGCCATAATCAACTCTCGATGGCATCAGATTTCGCCGATATTAAATAGATTAGAACAGTTCAGCCATATTTTGATTTAAGCTAAAAATGGAGGAGCGAGACTTAGCATCGAATAACCAGTACGGTGGTTGAAGTTATTGCACACGTGATGGACAGATGGACAGACGGACAGACAGACAGACTACCTGCCTAATAATGTTTGCTGTTTGCTTGTACACTTTGCTGTTTGCTTGTAATAATAAACCTCTCCAATTTTAAATAATTTGTTCAAATAGTTCTTACAGTTTGCTTGTACACATTTCAAAGCTAACACTGTAAGTTTTCTTCATAAGAAGATATGACATTTTTGTTATTTGGGGTGATAAACTACACATGAATCACAAAAAACTAACCCGGGAGCCCAGTAAGATTTAATCAAAATATTGAGTCCAAAAGGTTTGAGGTCTACAACACATATTTTACCCCTAGATCATTTTGGAAAGCCAAGTCTTAAGTTTTGTAAGTTTTCTTCATAAGAAGATATGACATGGCTATAGACTATGGTTTGTCTGGTATCCATGGAAACACCAAAAGATGATGAGTTTTCTTGGAAATTCTTTAAGTTCATGCTAAAAAGGGATATCAATAATCCCTCCCATAGATCGAAAGTAGCGGTTATAAGCATCATTTCGACACCAACAACAAGATTTTGTGATTTTCGGTAAATTCTTTGAATATGTCCACAACAAGTTTTAAAATACAACAATCAGGATGTAAAAAGTAAATATTTACTTCAGTGCACTACTTCGCTTTACTTAAAATCCTTATGCATTAAAATATAGTAGTCGTAGACCATCAGAAAAAGAAATTCAGCGATATTCCAGTCGTGATAGATGGTAGACCTGATCAGTCAAGTCCAGGGCTTCCACTTCAAAATTTTCACTGCCGGTCATTTTTGATAACGCACGAAAACTTTTCAAAGTAAATTTATATTGTGAATTCACGTGTCTATACTACTTTGTCACCATGGGGTGCACACAAAAAATATATTTGACTTAAAAATGAAATATTATTAAGGCTCATGATAATTATTTAATAATTAAATATTCCGTTTTGGCTACTTAAATAACGAAATAGTTGAATTGGCCAGAGAAAAACCATTTCAGTAGCTCACACGTAATTAACACGTGCTCTATAGAAAACACACTGACCTGGATAATTTTGAGTTGTAATACAATAACTTTGAAATGAAGATAAATATATAATTATCCATGGCATACATCTCACATTTTTTGGGTTTTAGACCATCTCTTACGGAATTACGGGCCGCAAAATTGTGACGTAAATCCTAATAATGTATAACTAAATGACTAACGGATAACTAACTTCACGGCTAGCGACACTAGTGCCCCCTAGAATATGGTTGTGTATAAGAGTAACCGTATATACACATTTCTTCTACACGTGGAATTATCAATATTGCTGCACAATAGAACTGGAATACGTATTTTTCTTAATTGTTCGGTAAGCAAGTTAACTAATCTCTAGATTTTATTTCAACTATTTCCACAAGGCCGTAATACCGCTATAAACATTTTATTTTTAAATGCATTTTTCTTCCAACACGTACGTTGTTGAGGATTTACGTAATTTCTATGCTGTTTTTATTTGATATGAAAGTTGGTTGGATTCGAAGAGCAAACGGCTTTGTTGTTGAAAATTCTTATGACACGTGGACAATATGTGAATGATTAACAATGGGCCGCTTCACGCCGTTGATTAGATTCCCACTTATCAATTAACATTTATTGCTCTACTACCAGACACTCATCATTAATTATCAACACAACACTCAGTATAATCTGTTGACGACTATATATACAACTCTATAACACCAATCACGAGATTGGCTTCTGGACGACGTGCATTCTTGTATAGTTACACAGTTAAGGTCGATCGTAGTCAAGTTTGAAAATTTTTTTTTTTTAAAAAAAGACCCTCTTTCCGGCGTGCAAAATGACCGTTAGGTCAGATCTAGGAACGGTCATTTTCCATAGCTGTAGGTCTCGACCGGCATATACGGCCGACGTGGAACCCATGCTCAAGTCATAAAGGGAATTCCTTCTTGTGACATGACTTAATTCGGATACGGTCATCCTGTGTGAAACTGTTGCTGGTGACTGTTAGCCATGATTGTTTACTGCGGATCATCAACTGATATAGGTCAGGAAAACCTTTTCCTTTGCTATAAATAGTTTTTTTCTTCCGCTTGTATCTTCATTATTACACAGCAAACAGTCTGACTGTTATGTGTCCTTTGAGTTATTTTACACATGGAACAAGTATGCAAAGTCTTTATAAAAATGGTGCTGAAATGTTAGTGTGTATCCTAGGCTACTCAACACCCTTAAACCTAGTTTTAGAGGGGGGTGTATAAAACATCACCAAAACTTTGACTTGTAGGTTAGTATTAAACGACATGGTCAATAACTCCAGATAAAACTGAATGCAATATTTCTCACAAGTTTGAAATAACTCCATGCAAAATTAACGTGCAACTTTGAATTTCAATGCAGTTCCTTCTTATGACTAGCAGAACGTACCATAATTAGTAAGTTTGACCGGTAAGCAGAGCCGAATTAACCATTAGGTTAATTTTGGCACTCAAATCAGACTGAGGGTCAACTAAATTTTCTAAAGATACTGTAGAAGACACCAGCAAATCTTGAATAGTCTTATGTATCTGACACAACTCCGTCGCCAGGGATACCACTTATAGTCCATGTGACAGACCTCGGATTTCGGAGTATCATTACCAATTTGATGAATAAATTCAACCATGATTTTCAGTTAGCCTGGTGCCCGAAGTGTTCAAATTTGGCTGATGGACTTCCGGTTCACTTTGCTAAATGCCATTTTGGCGGCCATCTTTAAAAATGGCCGCCGTTTTTTCATTGCAATTGAGCGCGTCAAGGAAACCTTCATAACTCTTTCACAGATTGACCTATTGATATGAAATATGGCTCAAAATGTTCGCAATGACATTCTACAGCTGCTGTTATATGATACATGTTGGTGAATGAATCATATATTTTCCAAATCAACAGATTATTCTGAAAAAAGCAACGTTTTGGCATTTTTTTTCAAGATTTATTTTATAAGTTCACTACCAAATCATGTTCAGGGTAAATTTAGCCAAATTTTGTGTGTGGTCTTCTTAAGTTATTCATTTGGCATAAATAAATACGCTCAGTGACCCAGTCTGTACAGCTGCGGTGGTCGGAAACTCAACAAAAGTCTTGAGTAGACTGTCAATTTTAAAATGTTGAGCCTCGGCGAGTTAGGGTACTTACCATGTGAACGTTTATTTAGGGTTGTCGCAATCGCAACGATATTTGGGGACCGGTTGTTTCTGAAAAGAAATTTGTCACTGAAGACGATTTTGATATTATGTCACTTATGTGACGTCATTTTCGGTTGAATCCGTCCGATTTCCAAAATGGCCGCCAAAATTTGACGAAAAATGAATATCTTGTTAGGATGGATGAGTATCACGCAAAGCAAGACTTGTGATATATCATATATAGGGTTTCCGTAGTCATTGTACTTTGAATTGATCTATAAAATTAGTTTCCCAAAATCCAAGATGGCGAAAATTCAAAATGGCAGTCAAAATTTGATCGATGCCTCGGATAATCGTTATTTTACAGTTTGATATGCCCTGTAATATGCCGCTTAGGGGGTTTTCGATGTCACAGAACATAAATACAACCTCTAAAAAAAGGGTTTCCAAAATCCAAGATGGCGGCAAGATTTTCCCTAAAATGAATGATTTTTCAGATAATCGTCATTTTTCTGTTTTGTACGGCTTGTAATATGTCCTTTATGGGGTTTTCAGGATCACTAAACTTAAATATTACCTCAAAAATAGATTTTGGATAAGGTAGATGATTGCCTCAAAAATAGATTTTTGATATCGTAGATGATTGCTTAAGAACAAAACGGGACAATTGTCAGTCTTTCTATTGGCTTTGCTTATTATAAAATTGTGTAGTAGTTTTTTAGGGGATGATGGAATTAATTATACTAGATCTCGTAAATCAGAAAACAAGATTTAATATTATTCCAGCAAACCTGTATGGAATTTTAATATATCTTTGCAAATATATCTAGTTGTTAAGAAATACCTATTCTGTTTGTTCACAAATGGGCCGAAATAGTGGCTCAGTGGGTAAGGCTCAACAAGGTCCGGAATTCGATCCCTGTGTCTGGGCAAATTTTTCCTCATTTCACACTGTATGACAAATAGCCATCTTCATTGACCAAGTTAGAACAGTAGGACGTTAACCCACATTGCATTTCATTTCTGGTCCACAAATCGTAATCTGATAGATTTTTACTTTGAAGAGTCTGACATCATTTGTGGTATCATCTAGACAGATGGTATCATTGATTCATATTTGTAAATTGTGAAAGTGTAAAGTGTATTTCACAACAAGTTCTAAGTTTAAAAATGATAATTACAGAGATAATTTGAAATACATTTACGACTAGGTATCCCAAAAGCCATGGCTCACGATTTCCTCTTTGTTAATGTCACAACCATCCACCTCATTGGAATTACTGTGACAATCGCAACTACTGTTTTTCTTCAGCAATGTACACTAGCCAAAGTACAAGAAGAAACAGGAGATCTCGGCAGCGACAATGATGATATCATTTTAATATCATAGGCCTGCCTAAAGCGAAAGAGGAAATTGGTCGACATTATTTTTGTGATGCCTAGTCGTAAATGCATTTCAAATTATCTTCGCAACGATTCTTTTTAAACTTTCAACTTGTTGTGAAATGGATCTGTCGATACGATATCTAGACTATACCACAAAAGTTGCCAGTCATGGAGTCTTTGATGAAAAACCGGTCCAGTTGTACCATATAACGAAAAAATGCGAAAAGTACCGAGATAAAAATCTGAAAAGTACCGAGATAAAAATCTGAAAAGTACCGAAAAATGCAGACAAAATACGGAAATAGTGATAAATACCGAAAAAACTTTTTGATACTAATTACCGAAAAAATTCGAAAAACCCAAAATATCGAAAAAATCAATAAATAACGAAAAAACAACACTAATTACCGAAAAAAAACCTAAGCCACACATAAAAATTGCTAGGTGGGTCAGACTAGACCATGCATAAAAATGGGGGGAACTGTAGGTTACGCATTAAAATTATTGACACTCTTAGGTGGGTAATGGGTCAAGCAAGATCAGGCATAAATATAGTGGTACACTTTCAGTCAGGGGCGGATTGGGGCCGGGAACCGACCCGGGCTCCCGTGTCGGAGCTGCCCCTTTTACTGACCGCGGAGCACGGACGGGGGTTCCGGGGGCTCCCCCCCTGGAAAAATTTGAAAAATGAACCCCAAATATGCGATTTTGTGGCATATCTGATTATAATCTTTGTCAAATAATATATCTCATAAATCGATTAATTTAGGCCAAAAGCCCGATCTACAAGCAATTTACAACCATCAACCTGTGAAATTATCATATCGTCATATTATTAATTGACGTATTATCATTGTATCGTCGGAGTCAAGAGTCAAGAGAATTTAACTGGTTAAAAAATGGGACTAGTTGAAAAAATTTTGACCATTTGATTAACCAGTTAGGAATATTGAATAAGTAGGAGTTTTTTCATTGTAAAATGTCCCATTTTTGTTGCCGGGAGCGCTAGTTGATTCCTCCTGTGATGGGATTCGAAATCCCCATTGCATGATTCCGAATTCCGGCCCACGCCCAGCACACCCGGCCCAGAAAGTCTATTATACCAGCCCATTCCAGACTCCAGTGATGGCGTGGCGGCCCGTTAAGGCCACCGGCCACATACAACTTGATCATCGTCGCTCCATGGCCGTTTTTTTTAGACGAATTGGACAAAATTATTTTTTTCATTTTTTGTCCGACAGGCCCTTCGGGCGATCGCATGGCCCAATCAGCGCCTGCATTCAGTTGGCCATTGATCACAATATGTCCCGCATAAGACTAGTTGGGCATTGTAGGTGGGTCATGGGTCAGGCATTTAGTAATTGAAGCATAATCAAATAACACACTATTTATGGACAACAATTTCTATAGTTTATTTCACTGCGACGTTTCAACAAGATTTCACAAGTCCTTATCAAGCATATAACATTAAGAAACAAGCCAACAGTGAGGCTGATGTCCCCCGTCCAAATCCCTAAATAAATAGATGACCAATATTAATTAATCGCACATTTATTTTTTTCAAAAGTATCGAGCAATCAAACTGATTATCAACTATACACTAAGTTTCATCACTCTCTATCAGATAGAATCAAAGTTATCTTGTCTCAAAGCATCGATCAATGAAATTGCTTAGCTCTGCTTAGCTTTAGCCCGAAATGTTAATTACTGAACTGAGTCAAGACATTCACCTAATGAACATTTACATCAAGTTTCAGCATTCTACCCCAATTAAAAGCAGAGTTATTGTGTTCCAAAGTCTTGACCAATCAAATTGCTTATCGCTCTTTAGCCTAAGCAGAAAATTCTCACGATCGAACTTAGTCAAGCTAATATCGCCCTGACTTCATTATAACCAAAGTTATCGTGCCCCAAAGCATCAACCAATGAGATAGCTTATCTCTGTTTACCCTAAACAGACAATGTTCGTCATTGAACTCCATCAAGGCATTCACCTAATGAACGCCTACACCCAGTTTGAACATTCTACCTCAATTAGAATGAGAGTTATTGTGTTCTAAAGTCTCGGCCAATCAAATTGCTTATCGTTCTGCTTACCCTGAGCAGAAAATGCTCATTATCGAACTTAGTCAAGGTATTGATGTAAACAAACTATACACCAAGTTTTATCACTCTCACTTAATTAGAACTAAAGTACTATCGTGTTCCAAAACATCAACCAATCAAATTGCTTATCTCTGCTTACCCTAAGCAAAAAATTATCATCTTCGAACTCCATCAAGGCATTGGCCTAATAAACACCTACACCAAGTTTGAACATTCTAGCTCAATTAGAAAGAGAGTTATTGTGTCGCAAAAAGTGTGACAAACGGACAGACGAACCCATTTTAATAGTTCTCTGCTTTCTTCGAAAGGCGGGGGACAATAAAATGAAAAGAATATGGTTATATACAAATATACAAGAGCAGTGTGGACCCTCCAATGGGATGCAAAATCAGCTAGTATGGGCAACTGTCCCAAGCCGTTAGATAAACAAATGCACATAGACAGGTATAAACTGTAATTGGTATAGATAAGCACAAGAATAAAAGATCAAACAATTATTTAAGCGGTATAATGAACCACGAGCAATAGGCCATAACAGTAAAAACATGATAACGACTTGTGAAATCTTGTTGAAACGTCGCAGTGAAATAAACTATAGTAATTGTTATCCATAAATAGTGTGTTATTTGCTTATAAAAGACATATTACAAGCTACATCAAACAGAAAATCGATCATTTTACGGAAATTCTGGCCGCCTTTTTGAATATTCACCAGCTTGGATTTTTTTTAAACACTCTGTGTTTTGGTTCATTTTAAGTTCAGTAATCCCATTCAATTGGATATTACATGTAATATCAAACTGTGAAATAACTATTATCTGACAAATTGGCCATTTGAGCAACTTTTGGCCGCCATTTTAAATTTCTGCCATTTTGGATTTGGGGCACTCATATTAGAGATTATTTTTTATGATCAATGTTTCTGATATCTAGTAAATCACTTTAGTTGACCAAATAGATAATTTGACTTATATGGGTCTGAACAAGATTTTTTTTAGTAAACTTATGAACAGACATCATGAAAAAACCCCGAAAATATTGCTGTTTTCAGATTAATCTTTTATTTTGAAACCGAAAACATTGATTAAACAACATGAATCATATACCAGCAGATTTAGAATTGTATTATGAACATATTGAGCCATATTACATATCCGTAGGTGAACCTGTTGAGGAGTTGTGGGGGTTTCCCTGACTTACACTATTTCAAATAAAAAAATGGCGGCCATTTTTAAAGATGGCCGCCAAACTCATATTTGGCAAAGTAACCCGGATGTCCATCAACCAATTTTGGACACTTTAGACCTAAGGCTAACTGAAAATCATGGTTAAATTTATTCATCAAATTGGTAATGAAAATCTGTCTGTCACATGGACTATTATGGTCACTAACTGTAGTCACAAAAACATCTCTCTGCACTATCTCTTTTAAGCATAGAAAGTGATATTGGCAGTAAGGCTAGGAAAAAGCAATTGTGAGCATCATACAGTAATATAAACGTGTATTCTCAGTTACTTTTTGTCATTTTGTTTGCAAAATTATGTCTTTCTTTAGCAAGCAGCCTTAGGCCTACAGTACCCTTAATCCGGCCCTGCCGATAAGATGTTCAGAAGAATTATGAATAGACAGACTGACAATCGGACAATAAAATTAAATAAGGGTACATGATATTCACCTTTTTAGCACTGATAGTTGAAGCTGAAGCCAGACAAATATTAAGCTGTAGAAATCTGTTAAACTCAAGCGGAAACAATGTCATCGATGATTGGTAAAGGCTACCAACACCAACATTCAGATCCTGTAAATAGTGAAGTCATCTTAATAAAAGCTTTTGTATATTAAGAAAAATACTTCGCAACAAGCGGCTGTCATGCAAGATATGCCCACATTTTGCAACAGATGGAAAAAGAACAAGCCAAAAAAAAGAGCGATTTTTTGTACAATCAGGGGCCATAATCCAGGAAGTCACAGTCCGATATGTGGAAATATTGAAAAGAACTGAGATTTTTGGGATATAAACACATATTTTAAGTAAGAGGGTCCACAACCTTGGTATTACATACTTTTACACTATTAGTGTACGAGGAGCGGCCATTTTGTCATTTTCCCGAAATTCAAACTCATCCGCCATAATCCAGGAAGTTATGGTCCGATATGTGCTAAAGGAATCAAGATATTTGGGATAAAAACATATATTTTAAGCTTCATCAAAATCGGATAAAAATTGGGATCTCTAGAGGGTTCACAAACTTGGTATTACATACTTTTACACTATTTGCATACAGGAAGCTGCCATTAGAATAGGGTATAACGTTGATATATTTGAACGCTTTTCAAAATCCGATAAAAATTGTGACCTCTAGAGAGACCATAAGCTAAAAACTTGATTTTTTGTACAATAAGGGGCCATAATCCAGGAAGTTACGGGCTGATATGCTTGAATATCGAAAGGAACCAAGATCTGGGGGCTATAAACATATATGTGACCGGCCGCATCTAAATGAGTCGCAATGCGGGAGAATCAATAATGAGATAAAGACAAAATAAGTGAAAATATTGATTTTGAACGAAATTGAGATTTTCACAAAAATGAGTCTATAAATATACTATCTATCGACACAGAAGATCAAAATAGCAATAAAACATTTTAAAACACCCGTATTTGAACGTTTTGTAAGAGTACCGTATTCTTAAATCTCACCTATTTCTCAAAATTCTCGGCGAAATTAGTTATTTTTCTTCGCTCACAGTGGGACGACCTGTCATTCCTCTTGCATAACAATTGGCATCGTTGTAAAGCGGAGCATCTCTAGTTTATAAATATGATCAAAATATTGTCGATGAATTGATTTTGAACAGATACAATTGAGTTTTACCCCCCCCCCCAAAAAAAAATATAAATAAACTTCGCCTGTTGCCATGCTGTCCACACAACTCCTTTGCCGATTGGCCCGAACACCGCGTGCAAGACATTATCGATAAATTATTGGTTTTGGCAATGTTTTTGGGTACCTACATGCGATTCACTCTGATAAGTGGCAGAAAAAAAAATTAATTCTGATCGTATAGATTGCCGTTGAGTGTTAATCGAAACCACGTGGCTGATGATGTAAATTAATCGACAAGCGGGTGTGTGTCATTGAGTAATACTATTACTAATCAACTGTCACGGGTCAATGATAAAGCCGTCGACAACTCATTATTTACTCCGAATAATTAATCCAAGTGGTGATTGTTTGATATCTCATATCATCTTTAAAAAAATAATCTATAGGCCTTAAATGGAAATAAACAAAATGGCCAATAATGTTCTTTTCGAATTCCGTTTAACGTTGCTTCTTCATATGGCATGCAAAGTAAGGAATGCATCTGGGATATTATTGTTTAAAATTCTCTTATCACAATGGGTCGAAAAAATGAGAACGACCAACGAGCCGAAATGCGACGATTCTCGAGTCTGCCATTGAGTATCCTCTGAATAATGTTGATATTTACATCAAAGCCAAAATGCACGAAAGTGAACGTAAGCATTGACTATGAAATTGACATTTCTATAGGGACTCATATTTTGATAACGTCACGGTACTTGAAAATAATAATAGACCTATCGTACACGCAAAATCTTATTTTAATTCACGTGTTAAATGAACACACGTACAGCTGTTTCGGCTTCTTTGATGATTATCCAATCAACAATCTTAATCTCCTGACCACCTTAGCTGGCACTAAGGTGCTAATTAATTGATGAGATTAACTGAGTTAATCCCACTAAAGTTATATTATACACAACAGACTACTAATGTATAGATTGTTCTTCAGTATAACACTATCATGTGAATATTATGCCGTATGTGTTGTGGATGTTTCGTTACGAAATCCTAAATAAAAAACATTTCAAGCGACAAAATATAGCAAATAAATTGCGCAAATAGTCGGATCAAATTTTTACGATTTTCGTCTTCAGCACCCCTGAAAACCCATGGAAAGATATATTCAACGACAAAACAGCAGATAAATGGCCTTGTTGCTATGATATTTTGTTTTGGAACATACCAAATCTTTGACCTGCTTTTTCTCAAAACTTACTTTTGTGAGTTGGGTAGCTTCTAATGGACACAGCTCAGTCAATTTTTGCCCAATTCAAACAAACTATACATCAAATTGAAGGTAATGAGTTGGAGAATAACAATAACTCAATTTTCAAAATTTCCTCATTGTGACTCAGTATGCTGTGGGGGGTCACATATTTTAAGTTTTATCAAAATCAAATAAAAATTGTGACCTCTAGTAGAGGGTACACAACTTTGGTATTACATAGTTTTACACTATTTGTGTACAAGGAGCGGCCATTATGGTGTACCGGTAATATATTTAAATGTTTTTTTAAAATTTGATAAAAATTGTGACCTCTAGAGGGTCCACAAGCTAAAAACGCAATTTTTTGTAAAATCATAGGCCATAATCCAGGAAGCTATGGTCTGATATGCGCAAATAGCGAAAGGAGCCGAGATCTTTGGGCTATAAAAGTTTCATCAAGAAGCGGCCATTTTGTCCGGCAGTTTCGGTCTGATCTTCACAAAATTTGAACTCGATCTTTAGGAGATAAATCTATATTTCATGTTTCGTCAAAATTGGATAAGAATTGTGACCTGTAGAGTGTCCACAAACAAATTGTGGCGGATGAACAAGGGTGATGACAATATACGTCCACATGAACATGTGGGTATATAAAAATCATTGAAAATCAATATACTTGTTTGTCTCAAGACCTCAAACTTCAATTGAATGATAAATTTGGCCTGTAGAGCAACCACAATATTTTTCGAAGTAATCAAGGGCCATTACTCTGACAATAATTATCGTAAATCCTTTAAAATCCATAGGTGTCTTCTTCAAATGACCTTAAACACAAGCATTTACAAGATTTTGTGATCAAGGACCATAACTCTGGCAGTAATTATCGGAAATCAATAGACTTATTCGTCTGTTGACCTTAAACACTGTATAAATTTAAAGTTAATTGGATATTAACTTTAGCCTCTAGAGCGTCCACAAGCAATTGTGGCCGGCCGGCCGGCGACGACAATATATGACCACATTTCAAAGTTGTTGATAAAAATGAAACCTGTCCTTATGTCCAGATGACAACATGTAACCATACAAAATGAAAAGTTAGCGTTAGCTATTTTTTGACATTTAACTCACTTTCTGTAATATTTCTTCTGCTATAAAATCCTGTTTTATCAATTTGGATACAATTGAGTATAATATCTGGAATCAAGAAAAGATTAATTGATTTCTTAATATTTTCTTTAGTTTTCAGTTAGCATGAATAGTTTTTAAAATCATATATTATTATAAATTCATATAAATAACAATGAGATCATGTATAGATGACATCTATGGTATTTTTTAAAATCATTTCATCGGAACTTTGAAACAACATTAGAAAATCCAATGAAATCGACTGTTTTACTTTTTGCCCAAATCAAAGAGGTTTAGTCATTTTAAGAAGTAATTCCAATAAGAAATAAATGCTTTAAATGCCACCTGTCACCAGTTGCTATAATTTCAATATGCATTTTCCTTGGGACATAATCAAACAACATACAAAGTAGTTAGCCAACAAATTATTGGTATCCTCAAACTGAACACCCCTTGGAAAATAATCTAATCAATGGTGATTAAATAGATGGACAATCACTGACCTGAATTATATATTATAACAGTGATGTAATCAACTATGTAAATGTACAGTTCTTTGTTAAACTTACTAGACAGAATCCACTAGATTATGTTTTTAGAAAAGATAGGCACTTCATTAATTCCAATACCCAGTTATGTCGAGGCCCCTCAGGTCACATCTATTTCATTATGCACTGATTCCTTGTTTTCCAGTAACTTAAAGTGTGTTTACAATGTAAACTTTACATACCTCTGTAATGCCAAGTGTGTTTTCGTGGAAAGCTGATAAAACCGCATAGAATAACGTATATATAATATAATGGCTGATACTAGCTATAATCTGTTTTTAAAAATATATATATTAAAATTCTTATCAATCAAAATTAAAGTAAATATTTTATTTTAACAAAAGATAGCAAATGATAGCATTTTATGTGATCAAGGGCCATAAATCTGGCAGTAATTATAGTAAATCATTGAAAATCAAAGGCTTCCTCGTCTCATGACCTTAAACACTGGGTATAAATTTAAAGTCAGATATTAACTTTAGCCTCTAGAGCAGTGATTCTCAACCAGTGTGCCACAGCACACAGGTGTGTCGCGAGATAAAGTCAAACGGATATTAACTTTTGCCTCTAGAACATCCACAAGATTTTTCAAAGTGATCAAGGCAGATAACTCTGGCAGTAATTATCGTAAATCTTTGAAAATCAATAGGCTTCTTAATCTCATGAAGCCTCTAGACTCTAGAGCGTCTACAATTCCTTGACGTCCGAACAGACAGGGACAACGACAACATGCGACCACATTTCAATGTGAGAAACTTCCAATCAATAGAAACAGGTAACACAAATCCATTACAGATGCATTTGATATTCAGATAATATTAAAAAAACAATGTTTTATCCAATGTTTCGTCAGTAAAAATAAAAATATGAACTAAATACAAAATGACTGGAAGTCTGTGGAAGTCAGTTAGGACATCATAGGAAGTTATGACATGATAGAAATGGGGACGTAGATACATAACATGAAAGGCTAGCTTTAATAAAGGTAAAATTTTACAAGTAAGGAAAATTATGCATGATTATGAATGATTTTGAAACCCCCTGCATTTAACTCATTTAAACCATTAGGCCAAACTTAATCAAGTATATGAATCCACAGACTTTCTGCTGTGTTCAGTTTTTCCGAACTTTATCAGGAATTTTTTGTACTATGGTACACATGAAATCATGACCAGGTATATCAAAATGGGGGGCTAGATGGGGGGAATGACTAGGTTTTTAAGCTTTATATTACTTCTGTGCTTATTAAACTGAGTGCTGAACAGAGTAATGATTTGGCCTACATATTGCATTCTACAGGTTTTGACATGTTAAACAATAAACAACATAAGTACTGGCACAGTTGACAGAGTTTCTAATCTTGAATGATTTCATGTCTTTACTGGTTATTTCTTGATTTGTACACACAGTTTCACATGATTTGCACAAGTTTCTTAAACAAGATTGACCAGGGGTGCAAATGTGGGGGTGTAGGGAGGGAAAAAAATAGTCGGCCACAAAATAAATGCAGTCGGTCACAAAATAAGTGCAGTTGGTAGCAAAATAAGTGCTCACTGAATTAATAAGGTAAACAAAAAATGCTAAAATAGAAGGAAAAATTCCAAATAATATTATGTATTTGTGTGAATCCGTGCACCTAAATTGCATACGTCACGCTACTCATGCAAAACTTTAGTATAAGATAACCTTTTCAAACTATCATGTTAAAAACTAGATAATGTAAAGGGAATTAGCTGAAAATTTCAGTCAAATTGATCCACTCTGAACCAAGATTTTAGCGATTGAATTTTTGGCCAAGTCTCAATCATCATTACTAAAGTCAGTACGATAAAAAACATAGTCTCAATTATCCATTTCATGATTAAATCATGAATGAAAGTTGAGCAGCAAATCTGATCTTAATCCAGTAAATATCTCAGGCAAGCATTGACATCAAGAGTTGATTATGGTCTGGATAAGTTAATTAATGTCTAATTAATAATTTAGATAACATTTCAGGCCTAAAGCAAGACCTGCAATAGGCAGATTTAGCTCTTGCATAATGTATGTTTAATATATGTGTTTGTGTGAATCCGTGCACCTAACTTGCATACGTCACACAAAACTATAGTATAAAATAACCTTGTCAACTTGGCATGTTTGAAAAAATGTTTTTCACTCTTATTCTGTTGTGATTATGTTGGTCTTAGAAATGTTGCATATTCAATCCCAGTAGAAATTAAAAACGTATTTTACTCATGTTGTTAGTATTTTCTGATCATCAGAATCCTGCAAAATCTTCCCCCAAAGTCAAGGAAATGTCATTTCAGAGAGCAAGTAAGCGCCCCCTGAGACAAAGTCCCCAAAGGCCCAGTCCCAAAAAATTGAAAGCTCAGTTACATAATCTATGTCATCATTCTTCAACTCCTCTGTCGTATACTATCTCATCACTATCATATTCAAAGTTACAGCGAATCGCCCAGTTAGTAGTACCTCTTAGTGAGAGGGTCGTGGGGCGACAGACTGTAGAATTGTTATTTCTACTCTCACAAAACAGGTGAAATTGACAGACAGGCCTCAAGATTCAGTAACATTTCTTATCCTCTCGTTAATGAGAATTTGTTTCCATTTGTCATGGCACTGACTAAAATTTAAAAGCTCAGTTAGATATCTGAAATTTTTTCGCACCTGCGGTGGTAAATTCCATTATGACATCATTCTTCCTTTCCTCTGTGGTCTTATTCTGTCTCAGCACAATCATATTCACGTTTATAATGAACTGCCCAGTTAGTAGTACTATTGGTGTTAACGCCATGGGGCGGCAAACTATGCAAATGTTCTGTCAACTCTTGTAAAACAGGCGGAATTGACAGATACTGTCCCGATATTGATTCAATTTTCCAAAATTTTCTCAGGTTGCTCAGTGCTATAGCCACTGCCCCTGGCCTCTAGTAGACTCGCACCAGTGGTGCTCTTCTGACTGTGTCACTCACAGTGGCGGCGCCAGCCGTCGGTGATTGGAGGGGCAAAGCTGGAGCAAAGTCCAAGGTTAAGGGGGCAAAGGCACGAGCTTCAACTAGGGGTAGGGGGCCTCCCCCAGAAAATTTTGAAAAACAGGTTGCCCGAAATGCAGCCTGGCAGTATTTCAGGCACTGATCGATGAGGCAAAGTGTCAAACGAACGGACTTGCGAATCACGACGAAGCCCACTCACGAGCGTCAAAGTAGGGAGTCCTCCCCCAGCAAATTTTGAAAAATAGACTCCCGGAAATGCTGTCTTACAGTATTCTGTTAGGCACCGATCGTCGAGATAAATAGATCTGCCCAGATACCGTCCGTCGCCTGATCACTAGTTTATCCGACTTGAACAAAATGCCAAACGAATGGACTTGTGTACCTCAACGAATTCCGCTTGTGAGCGCCAAAGTAGCGAGTCCATTGGGGACCCCGCCAAGAAAATTTTGAAAAATAGACTGTCGGAAATGCTCTACAACATGCAAGTTTATGACTGAGTGGGGATGTGGGATTTATTCACTGTAGAAGGTATTGATTACCGAAACGTATCACAAATACTTTTTTTTTATTTTCTAAAATTATTGGGGGGGGCAAACAGAGGGCAGACCAGATTAATGGGGGGGCAAATGCCCCCCCCCCCTGGCACCGCCACTGGTCACTCATATTAGGGGCATGTGCATCAGTCGGTCACATTTTATTGATATTGATTCAATTTTTCAAAATTTTCTCAGGCTGCTCAGTGTTATGGCCAGTGCCCCTAAGGTTCGCATATATTTAATAACAAAATCAATAACAATCATCATATTATATGACATGAACTTTATGTCAACTTAAATTTAACTGCTTTCCGGTGAGATACTGATCGGCGAACAACTATATAGGCAATATGATCTATGTTCTATCAGGACGCTCAGTGTTTAGCCAGTATTTTGTTGCCATTCATTGTGGGGTGGGATTTTGCCACCCCCCCGACAACTACTCCCAGCTTCTAGATGAGCTATAGGCCCCTAGAAAACTTGCATCAGTGGTGCTCTTCTCCTGACTGTGTCACTCATATTAGGGGCATGGTGCATCAGTCGGTCACATTTTTGCCACCCCCCAAACAAAAAAGATATGTACGCCGCTGAGGTTGACATCCGTATGAACTTTTGTCCTTAATATTGTTATTAGTTTCAGTAGTTCTCAACTTATTTTCTTTCAAATATTGCCAATTGTGCAGTTCTTTCTCTCTGCAATTATTATTTTGCTGTTATCCATTAATTTTGTCATTGGTGAACTGGTTACTGGTGTCTAAAATACTTCGGTCTTTGGTCATTTGGTGAAGGTGAGGTTGTCGAGGGTAGTTGTCCATGGAATAATCTTCACATTAGTATCAGTCTTGGATTGGTAGGTCAATAATTCAGAACTGGTTGTCTGATCTGCTCTTTTAAACGCCTTTTGTAAAATTTTCTTTGTATATCTGGATTGTTTAAGATAGGATCCAAAATTTGTTAGGTTAATTTTACCTTTATTATAAGCTAACCTTTCATGTTATACATGTATCTAAATCCATGACAACATCATTCCTATGATGTCATAACTTTCTATGATGTCCTAACTGACTTACAGTCATTTTATATAATTTAGTTCTTCATCCCTGAAACTTTGGATAAAACGATGTTTTTTTGTTATTGTACTCTATTAATTATTGTATATCACATTTCAATGCGGGCATATAAAAACTGTGACCTCGAGAGGGTTAACAAACCAACAGTGAGGCTGATGTCCCCCGCCGAAATCCCGAAATAAATAGATGACATATTAATTAATTGCACATTTATCTTTTTCAAAAGTATCGAGCAATCAAACTGATTATCAACTATAAACTAAGTTTCGTCACTCTTTATCAGATAGATCAAAGTCAAAGAAACTGCTTAGCTCTGCTTAGCTTTAGCGGGAAATGTTAATCATTGAATTCAGTCAAGACATTCACCTAATGAACATCAACATCAAGTTTAAACATTCTGCCTCAATTAAAAGCAGAGTTGTTATGTTCCAAAGTCTTGACCAATCAAATTGCTTATTGCTCCTTAGCCTAAGCAGAAAATTCTTATCAAACTTAATCAAGGTAATGATATAATGAATCTATACTCAGAGTTTCATCACTCTCATGTAATTAAAACCAAATTTATTGTGCCCGTAAGCCTCAACCAATCAGATTGCTTATCTCTACTTACCGTAAGCAGACAATATTTATCATCAAACTCCATCAAGGCATTCACCTAATGAATGCCTACACCAAATTTGAACATTCTACCTCAGTTAAAAGGAGAGTTATTGTGTTTCAAATTCTTGACCAATCAAATGGGTTATCGCTCTGCTTACCATTAGCAGAAGATGATCATTATCGAACTTAGTCATGGTATTGATGTGATGAAACTACACACCAAGTTTCATCACTCTCACTTAATTAGAGCTAAAGTTATCGTGTCCCAAAGCATCAACCAATCAAATTGCTTACCTCTGCTCACCCTAAGCAGAAAATGCTCATCTTTGAACTTCATCAAGGCATCAACCTAATAAACACCTATACCAAATTTGAACATTCTAGCTCAATTAGAAGGAGAGTTATTGTGTCCCAAAAAGTGTGACAGACAGATGGACGAACCCATTTTAATAGTCCCCTGCTTCTTCCCCCATCCAATAACAGATATCCTGAATAAAAATATTATTTTTCGCATGTGGCCATATTTTTGTTCAAGGTGATGGTGTGATCGTTTGATACATACTGCATTAAGCATAGGCGTGACAATGACACATAAAAAACATTAGCATGGCCAAGGGATATCTGACAATTCAATACATATTTAAAACATGTTTTATTAGATGGAAATAATCATTCACGATTTGTTCAGTATCCGATATGTTTAAAGAGAACCAACCAATAATTAAATGGCAAAATTAGCCCAAGTTTCAAAATTAGTTAGTAGATAGAGGTAGTACAAGCTACAAGACTTACATTTTTTCCATTGAATGGTTCACAGCTGAGTAATTCATCAATCAATTCGAACACGCGTAACTGTAAAGCTTGATTACCAAAAGTTTTTAATTCATGAGAAGCTGATTCTTCATCAGTATATAGATGGCACATCATTGCCCATGACAACAGTAATGGACTATGAATTTGCTGATTGCCTAATTCTTTAAACACTTTCCTTAATTTCTGTTAAAATAAACGAATACACATATATTTATGACAGTCTAACGAAATTTTGTATAGAACAATATAACTCTTAAATTTCAGTCCATAACTTATTTGGACCTTCAGTTCATTATTCTGATTTTACTATTCCAATATTTCGAAGTCATTATTTGAATGCTACTAAATATTCAATTTAAACGATCACTGTTTCTGTTCGATGCCGGTGTTGGCCAAGAAAGTTTACCAGATTTTGTGCAGTGGTTCTCTCTCATCAATGGTGTAGGACGGAGGACCTGGCAAGGGATAATGTATAGTCATTTGGATGGAATGAAAAACCCTATTTCATATTTTCAGATCTCCACTGAATGATTATCAATTTTTTAAAATAAGTTGGTGGCAATGAAAAATATTACAAACAATTTTGTGGAGGAGACACAAAAAAACGTGATACCCAAAATATCAACTTGAATAATCGAATAGCTTTCAAAAAATATTTGAATGCGAATATTAAAATATTTGTGTGAGCACTCTTCATTGCTAGCAGTAATTTAATTTTCAAATTGTCTTTAAATCTTCCTTTATATATGATTAATTTCTAGTAAGTTTAAGCTATGAATATTGAGCTGGGGCTGATAAAACCAGATTTGTTCAGTCCAGAAAACAAGTAAATTAGCAGTTGGATGAATAGACTGGTTTCCAGTTATCTGAATAAGGATGAAAATTCATAAATAATTATATTGAATATACTGCCATTTCTGCCTATTATTTTTATGAGTCAAAGGAGATGCCGCAAGCTAATTAGATTGTGTGTAATGATGGAACATAACAAAAGTTTTAAAAAAAAACAACATTAATAATATATTAAGTCATCTAGAGCTGGTCTAGACTATTGAATGACTGAGCCGATTTCTTAGTTTAATGTAAGACACATTGATGTGAGCAAGATTACTCAAAACTAAATAAATTCAACTAACCTGATAAGAAGCATCATCTTTTAGAGTTGTATGTTCCGCAAAACTGTAACAAAAATTTCAAAATCAAATATTAAATTAAATAAAGTACAAAACACAAAGGCTCAAATGGGAAGTTATGTCAAGTGTTCTAACAAGATTACACATACTATGTTAGGATAATTCAATAGCTCTTCAATTACTATGTTTTTTTAAAATTAGTATCAGATTGACAAGTAATTTTTAGACCTTATAATTTTCTCCAAATATCATTTTATCTCCATAGTTTGATTCTAGTAACTGTCATCATTTTTTTTTTATTGTTTTAAAAAAAAAGAACCCGATGGACCATCTCCTTTAAGATGAGAAATGTTTTAAAAGATAAATGATATGCGCAACAAACCTTTCATCTTCTTTACATCGCACAGCATTCTCCATGTCCAATGCCTCTATCAATACCAAAACTTCTAAATATCTAAAGATTAAACAAAGAAAAACAGTGTTACCAGGAAACAAATATACACAAACCAGCACAGTGAAACAGTGCATTTACAATGTTTCTGTAACAGGGTAAATAGCTCTGCATAAACTTTTGGGTCAAAATCGAGAAAGTTCTTTTTTTCACTGTGGTGCCCCCTGCTAGTGAAAGAATTAAAATAAATACTCATCTTACCCAATTCTTTTCACATATGTCTCTGCTCCTTCATCAAGTATATGCCTGTAGTTCTGTCTCCAACCAAATCCATGTTTCTGAACAGGTAAAAAGTATCAAATTACCATGAATTTATACATAAACTTCTAATGCTAACACTTCTGGCAGAAACATAAGAACATTTTCTTGTAAATGACAGCACGAAAGTCACCTTTGTATAAGATAAAATATAAATACCCAGTGGCATCATGAAAGGATTAACAAAATGGGGGATGGGGGTTGGGGGTTAAGACTGAATCTACATGTAGCTTTATACAAGCACATTTGACAAAACAACATTTTTTTAATAATTTGCTTCCAGTAGTAGTCACCAACACGCAATTCAAGAAATTCTTTCCGAAATGTTATAATGGTAACAACATGAGTCATAAAAGTCATACCTTGAATTTTCCTATTAAATCTATAAAACCATTTGTATCTGTTTCAAAATCTTTGTAATACATCAACAACAGTTCTAGTAACTCGCACTGTAAAATCAAAAATAATTATCATGTCTTGTCTTATGACAAAAATTGGATACATGCTTATATATGGTACATACCTTCTTTTACTCAATGCTCAAGTTCTATCATAAACAAAACACAAAAAATATAAATTCAATTTTAAAGTAGCTAAGTCTCTAACTCAATATCATCCAAAATCTTCGACATTGAAAACACAAATAATTTGTCAGTTTAAATCAACACTAATGTTGTGATCTTACCGGGAAAAGATGGCCTTCTGATATCCAATATTTAAGACAAAATAAACACTTTACAATTGGTACACGAATCGTGTACCATAATGCGTTTCAGCGCTATATGCAATAAGGGACTCGAAAAACGAGGCTAGGCATATTCCACAAGTCATGTCAAACGGTGACGCTATATTCTTATCTGGAAAGCATGCGCAATAATATTATCGGCGTTGAATGGAATAACCAGACGCTAGAGATAGCCATTCGACTGAGACTTTTGGCGTATTTTGCCGAACCTAACTGATTAGAAATTACAGTAAAAACAGAAACGATTGAATGTCAATCAATTTATATACATTCATATTACATTATTGTATGCGTTTCGACCCATTTGTGCCAATTTCTAGGTCCCAAATATTAGCGATTTAAACTTTCTAGGTCAGAAGCTGTGCATGTAAAAAGTGGCTAGAAATCAGTTTTTGTTGCACAAAATGGAGTCTACCTCTTATGGTTTTATTGCACACTTACATAAATCTACTAACTAAAAATGAACTCCTACAATCAAAAAAAATGCTAAAAGGACAAAAGTTTCTTGTAATGATCAATATTTGGACATTTTCTGGAGCTTCTCAAATGACACCTAATCTACTGGTACCTAGCGAACATGAAATATTTAGTGATACTAGATAACCCAATGAAGATGTCATAAATCTAACCCCAATATGTAATATGGCAAAAGTATATTTCAACTCAAAATAAAACTGGTAGTAATATAAGTCATTGGGATGTAAAGGGAAGTAACTCTTCTGCAAGTACAGTTTTATAGGAAAACAGTTTACAACTTGCAGAACGTGTCGTTCTTTAATAGAAATTTCTGTTGCTTGAAAGGCAATTTCATTATCCATTAGCATGCGTTAGCTAACGGACTGATTAATCCAAGACTGTACATGTACATTCAATGTACATGTATAACAACTTCATAGAAGTTTTTATTAACAAGAAACTGAAGAAAGTGGGTCAACTTTGTAGTCTACTCACAAAATTTGATTAAAGACAAAAAGAAAACTGTAGAATTTCCAACAGAAAACACTATAAAAAAAAATCTATAGTATTTTCCTATAGAAATTTTATTTTAATTCTGCATGAAAAATTATAGGATTTGCACTACAAAAACTATGGAATATTTGGGGCCGTTCTTTCCTACAGGCCCACGAAATTCTGTAGAAACTGAAGAAAGTGGGTCAACTTTGTAGTCTACTCACAAAATTTGATTAAAGACAAAAAGAAAACTGTAGAATTTCCTACAGAAAACACTATAAAAAAAAATCTATAGTATTTTCCTATAGTATTTCCCTATAGAAATTTTATTATAATTCTGCATGAAAAATTATAGGATTTGCACTACAGAAACTGTAGAATATTTGGGGCCGTTCTTTCCTACAGGCCCACGAAATTCTGTAGAAATCTATAGAATTTCATCCTATAGAAAATGGGATACACCCTATTCCCAACCTCCACTCTAGAATGTTCTATAGAATTCTATAGAAAACTACACTGGTAATCTATAGGACTTTTTGCTAAGGGTATACTTTGACTGACAGCCTACTATGACATTGTTAAACCAATAACGGAGTCCAACACCTTTGTTAAATATAACGGCAAGTTAAATCCATGTTAAAGTTACAATTTCATATTTTCTAAGAAAATCAAAACATAATTATTTCTATGTCTTTTGCTCAATAGGTTATCAACTCACTATTATACGATCTTAGGTTATCTCTCTCACACTTAAAAATCTTCACACCGGAAATAATAACACAATTACCTCCCAATAACCTCCCTTGTTTTCCTATTCCCCGCCATAGAATAGCTATCTTCAAACATTTGAATTTGAAGTTGAAAATGATACTTTTGCCAATTTCTCAACTGGCAATAGTAAATTATAGGATTAATAGGACTATTTATAGATACCATCTATTTTAGGGCTTTATTTTAATACATTTAAAAAATATAACTTAAAAATATGAAATTGTAACTTTAAAGTTAAGAGGGCTTCCAGCAACAGACTTTCTCTCTGTTACAGATGAGGATCCGTTAAGTCCATGTTGACGAGTCGTTATAAGTTAACAGAGCTTTGAACCACCAACCCCTCACTGAATCCACGACAAAATAAAATCCGAAATTATATAATAATTTGGATATCTGTTAGCAGTTTTCTCGCACGTAGGAGTTAAGTTTCGGCAACTTAATTACTGTACTGAATTTTTTTAAATATTTTAGACGGATGCAACAAAACATCAGTAAAATCTCACCTCCTTGAATCCTAGCAATAGTGAACTATAAAACAGAAGAGCTAATCAAACCTGCGCCATGAGCATACTGCTTGAATGGAATGCGAGTGAGAGAGAGCGAGAGAGAAATGGGGTTTAACGTCCACTCGACACAGACTGGGTCATTTCGGGACTAATATGGTTTTTTTTTGGGGGGGGGGGTGTAAATTTTATTTCAATAATTCGCTTGCGCGTATGGGTTTTTAGCAGTGGGAGGAAACCGGAGGACCCGGAAAAAACCCACGAGGTTGGACAGGCAACCTTACTCCTTGTCACTACAACCGGGGATTCGAAACCACGCCAGTTGACTCAATGACAGGCCTCGTGATACAGCGGTGCACGTGCTAACCATTCAGCCATCCAACCCCCCCTAGATGGAATGCACGCAATACAAATATTCATTATTAATATTATTTCTACCTTACCATCAGTTGTGTTTAATTCTTTTCTGTCGCGGATAAAATGTTGATTTTAAATTGATGCAAAATCTGAGAAAAAATTTGCCAACCAATCGCTGCGATATAGATGTACTAGATTCATTACCAGTCATACATTATAGCCTGTAATGGTTTCGCTCAAATTTTGTCATTGTTCATCATTTTAATAATTAGGTATTTTGAATATGCTATTATTTAAAGCTAGGTTGCCAGGCAACGAAAAATAAGGCCATAGAAGCATTTGTCACATTATGAATCTTTTAGACAATATAAAGCAAAATATATAATTGGTAGGCCTACATTGATAAGATTCTATGACATAATCAAGGGCAATAAGTTATTATGAGAATCTGTTGTAATTTTTATCAACAGAAATTGTTTGAAGTGCTAATGAAATAGTTTACCTGTTCTTTCAAGTTCTGATTAGCCCATACTAACTTCTGACTGTCAGTCTAAGATAAAAAGTTAGACAATTATAATTTATATTACAATCAATGTTTTGCTTATGAGACTACAGTAATCAGCTAACAAATAATGTCAGTGAAGAACCATACAGTCACAATATGAACCTGGCCTCGTCATTTGAAAATCTAAGGAGAGCATAAAATACATCCCTAAAAAAGTACAGGAGAGTGAATTACACTCCTCACTATGAAAGTGATGGAATCTTAAAAGTACTGTATTGTTCTCTAGCTATGATGTAGCTATTGATGTTTCGCTTATTTAATTGAATAAACATTCCACAATCTGAGATCTTTTGTACATTTTTATTTTTTTGTCTGGTAAGAAAATAAAAACTAATATACTTTAGTAACAAGTAATAACTCCAACAGATGGATAAATGAAATGAAATGAAATGAAATGGGGTTTAACGTCCTACTGTTCTGCTCCTATGCTGGGCTAATGAAGACAGGCATACGCCATACAGTGTGCTATGAGGGAAATTTTGCCCAGGCAGCGGCACTATCGCCTACTCTTATATCGAATTCCAACTGCCAAGGGATCTTTTACGTGCATTCCAATCTATACGGGACCTCGGTTTTTCGTATTATCCGAAGGACTAGACATCTGTCCTTGTCGGGCCCTCCATGCTGCATCACTGACAAAACAGATGGATAACAAAACATTAAAAAATTAACACTTGTATAACAAACATATGAAATAAACAATTTGATTCATAACGAATATAAATATTACTCATCCATTAACCGAGCATGCACTATATTTCCTTCTTGGGCAAGATGCGAGCGTGAAAAAGGTGAAAACACGCATTTATTAAAGTACTTAAATCTAGATTTTTCGGAAGTGGTGAACACGATTACAACCCTCCTAAAAATAATTTTGTGGGCACTCTGGAGCGTGAGTGCAATCGTGCTCCTCAAAACGCAATGCCTGATGAACCAACGCAAAAAGACAGTTGGAAAATCAATTAAGTATAAAAGTTGTTCTTAACTGGATATGATATACTATCCACATTGTGGAGGCATCTGTACATTTCATTAACTTTTGTTCTAGTCCCATTTCATTAATTGTATATTAAATTGCTAACAAAGGGTAATCTTAAATGGAATAAACCTTAGAATTTATGTAAACAATTTACATACCATCAAGATACCATGTGTATCTACAGTTGGTAAATTCTCATTACATATAAAATCAAACTGCTCCAATAACTGAAACAAAAATGGCATGAAATATGAGTACTTCAGTCAATAATTGTGGCTACCATATGAATTTGCTACATTTTGATTAATTGCGGTGTGAATCCTATGAACACGTTCCAGATCCAAATTTTAGACGCGATGATTAGGGGGCTAATGAGTGTTAGTGATTAAATCTTCTGTTGAAGATAGTGGAGCGTGTTTTTAGCAGTTTAGCATTCGGATAACTGTGTGGTTTCTCAGAATTTGGACTACATTGAACAATTGCCATTGTTGACATATTTTCAGTTTGTAAATTGAATCATGTGAGTTCTTGTGTACTTTATTTGCTTCACAATATATATTGTTAATCATTTCAATAGTCGTTGTTTATTTTATTGGAATTTCTCGAGGAGCGTGTCGTTTCTCCCCGCCATTTTACGTTGACCCTCATCCGTGTGACATGATTTACAATAATCTTACATACAACAAGTTTGATCCAACTAAAATGTACTGATTGAATCGATATCATTATCTAAGAGGGCACATAAAAATGATGCTATCATAGTGTTGTAAAGGGTATTTCAAATTCAGTCAATAAATTACCTTGATGACTAGTTTTCCACCATCTAAAAGATCATCTAAAAATTCTGCATACGGCTCCTGAACAATATATTTGATTACACATTAGATTTCTAACAAAAAGTCAGCAATTAAAAACTTTCCTCAGCTTAGATTCAAACTATTAGATGGTATATATATATATCTATATATATATATAGACCTTCTGATTTCATTTTCCTATGTCACTTCCATGCAAGATATAAAGATAGGTTGTCAGGCAACGAAACATACGCCCACAGCAGCTAAATCGTCCAGGTAGTCAACAAGAGTTGTCGCATATTTTTACTTTTTTCGGTAATGAAACATTTATAACACACTAAAATCTGATTACGTGTAACAACTCATGAAGTAATTATCAGAAAACCATTAGAATTTGTTTGGTTTTTATAAAGCTCTGCCCCATGCTAACGTTTAGTATACAAAACTTTTAATATCATGGATTTAGCTGTTCAAGTCATAAAAATTCATTGAAAATCAATATACTTGTTCGTCTCAAGATCTTAAACTCGGTGTATCAATCTGACGTCAATCGGATGATAACTTTAGCCTCAAGAGCGTCACAAGATTTTTTAAAGTGATCAAGGGCCATAACTTTGGCAGTAATTATCAATAGGATTCTTAGTCTCATGACCTCAAACACTGTGTATAAATTTAAAGTCAATCAGATATTAACTTTAGCCCCTAGAGCACCCACAAGATTTTTTGAAGTGATCAAGGGCCATAACTCTGGTAGTAATTATCGCAAATCGCTGAAAATCAATAGGCTTCTTTGTCTCATGACCTTAAACACTGTATATAAATTTAAATTCAATCGGATATTAACTTTAGCCTCTAGAGCATCCACAAGCATCAATATACTTGTTCGTCTCAAGATCTTAAACTCGGTGTATCAATCTGACGTCAATCGGATGATAACTTTAGCCTCAAGAGCGTCACAAGATTTTTTAAAGTGATCAAGGGCCATAACTTTGGCAGTAATTATCAATAGGATTCTTAGTCTCATGACCTCAAACACTGTGTATAAATTTAAAGTCAATCAGATATTAACTTTAGCCCCTAGAGCACCCACAAGATTTTTTGAAGTGATCAAGGGCCATAACTCTGGTAGTAATTATCGCAAATCGCTGAAAATCAATAGGCTTCTTTGTCTCATGACCTTAAACACTGTATATAAATTTAAATTCAATCGGATATTAACTTTAGCCTCTAGCAGAGTGTCAACAAGATTTTTTGAAGTTATCAAGGGCCATAACTCTGGCAGTAATTATAGGAAATCGCTGAAAAATCAATAGGCTTCTTCCTCATGACCTTAAACACTGTGTATAAATATAAAGTCAATCAGATATTAACTTTAGCCCCTAGGGCATCCACAAGATTTTTTGAAGTGATCAAGAGGCATAACTCTGGCAATATTTATTGGAAGTCACTGAAAATCAAAGAGAGAAATGGGGTTTAACCTCCACTCGACACAAACTAGGTCATTTCGGGACTAACATACGGTTTAATTTTATTTCAATAATTCGCTTGCGCGTAGGGGTCTTTAGCGGTGGGAGGCAACTGTAGGACCCGAAGAAAACCCACGAGGTTGAACAGGCGACCCTACTCCTTGTCACGTACAACCGGGGATTTGAAACCACGGCAGTTAACTCAATGACAAGCTTTATGATACAGCGCGCACGTGCTAACCATTCGGCCATCCACACACTCCCCACTGAAAATCAATAGGCTTCTTCGTCTCATGACCTCAAGCACTGTGTATAATTTTAAAGTCAATCGGATATTAACTTCAGCCTCTAGAGCGTCCACAAGGTTTTTTGAAGTGATCAAGGGCCATAACTCTGGCAGTAATTATGGGAAATTGATGAAAATCAACAGGCTTCTTCGTCTCATGCCCTTAAACACTGTATATAAATTTAAAGTCAATCGGATATTAACTTTAGCCTCTAGAGCATCCACAAGCATCCACCGGCAGACAGACGGACCGACGACAATATACGACCACATTTCAATGTGGGCGTATAAAAAGTACATTATGTTACCCTGTATGGATGTTCAGCATCTGGCCAATAATTTAAAATATGACGAAGACATCGTAAACTATATAATCTCTCTGTGAAATAATAATCTCTGATCTTTAATATCAAAGCCTGAGCATGACGTTCATGACTTAGAACTTGCTGAAAATAAAAAAATATAAACCCATGTGACAAATGTATAATTACTATAATATCTATCAACCCGCATATATTAACACCAATAGATATTTTTCAAGACACTCTATTATTATGTACTACTAGGTACACAATCCAATTATCATTATCTGCCGAGCCAAAAGAGAATGTCAAAACAAAAGTGGCATTCATTGTATCACAAGACTTGACAGAAAAAAAACATTACATTTATTCTTGTAAACTCTGAAACTACATATACATGCAGAAACATTTTGAAATGTCTCAAAGTTTATCTTACATTATTTACACGTTAAATATGTTCTATTTAAAAAACAACAATCAGTAAATGGTTTGTGGTTTGATTTGAACATACATGTATTGTAATATCAAGACGTTTCCTCAACCTTAATTAATATCTTCACATTTTATTACCTGCAGATTTTTCTTAGAGCCACGGAATTCGTTAACAAGAAACGAACAAAATAAAGAATAACTTTGAGTTTCATCTAAATTCTGAAAGAAAGTGAACAAATAAATTGTCTGACAATCCAAAACATATATGGACACTGAAATGATTGAAATTAATATAAATTTTGAAAATCAGTGATTTTTTTTTTTAGTAATGAAACAGATATATTAAATTAGTTCTGATATACAGATTATATCCCACAAGCATTTCTAGCCAAGATCCAAAAGGTTCTTAATACTGCAACCCGAATAGTAACAAGGACACATAAGTTTGATCACATCCAGAATGTGCTGGCTTCTTTACATTGGTTACCTGCTGAGGCGCGAGTCAAATACAAAATACTAACATTAGTGTATAAATGTCGCAATAATGCAGCTCCTCAATACTTATCTGAACTCTTATATGACTACAACCCTATTAGATCACTTCGCTCTCAAAATAAACAGTCACTAGTTGTTCCAAGATATAATTTGAAGTCATATGGGTATAGGTCTTTCAGTTCAGCTGGTCCTAGATTATGGAACGAACTTCCACAACAGATCAAGAATCAACAAACTTTTAATCAATTTAAATCCGCACTAAAGACTTTCCTGTTTCAACAGTTTAACCAGTAGAGCCATTACAAAAAGCGTTTTGAGCATGTGTCAACATGGAGAAGACGCTATATAAAACTTCATTATTATTATTAGGCCTACAGATATATCTATAATTTCATATAATGTAAAACAAAAACATACCAGAAATTGGCTAAGTTTTAGAGTGAAGTCCAATTGTAATCCACTAATAGATTTGTTGTCTTTAAGTCGTTCCCCAGATGTCGCTCTGAAAATAGTTTTCAAAAATACAACATAGATAGGGGCTGACAGTTCCCTATACGCCCACCTGACCAGGGATTCTCAGACTGCCCGTGCATCAACCAGCAGCAAAGTAGTCCATGCTTAATCTAAAATCATTGTCAAGAAATATCTCAGAGCAAATTTTAAAAGATAGGTTGCCAGGCAACAAAACATACGCCCACTGCAGCTAAATCGTCCGGGCAGTCAACAAGAGTTGTCGCATATTTTTACTTTTTCAGTAATGAAACATTTATAATACACTAAAATCTGATTAAGAGTAACAACTCATTAAGTAATTATCAGAAAATCATTAGAATTTGCTTGGTTTTTATAAAGTTCTGCCCCATGCTAACGTTTAGTACACGAAATATTCAATATCCTGGATTTAGCTGTTCAAGTTATCAAAATTCATTGAAAATCAATATACTTGTTTGTTTCAAAACCTTAAAGTGATCAAGGGCAATAACTTTAGCAGTAATTATCGAAAATCGTTGAAAATCAATAGGAATCTTCGTCTCATGACCTTAAACACTGTGTATCAATTTAAAGTCAATCGGATATTAACTTCAGCCTCTAGAGCGTCCACAAGATTTTTTGAAGTGATCAAGGGCCATAACTCTGGCAGTAATTATCCGAAATCGCTGAAAATCTTAAGGCTTCTTCGTCTCATGACCTTAAACACTGTGTATAAATCTAAAGTCAATCGGATATTAACTTTGGTTTGTAGAGCATCCACAAGATTTTTCGAAGTAATCGAGGGCCATAACTCTTGACAATAATTATCGTAAATCCTTTAAAATACATAGGTGTCTTCGTCACATGACCTTAAACACAGTATATAAATCTAAAATCAATCGGATATTAACTTTGGCCTTTAGAGTGTCCACAAGATTTTTTGAAGTGATCAAAGGCCACAACTCTGACAGTAATTATCGGAAATCAATTAAACACTGTGTATAAATTTAAAGTCAATAAAATATTAACTTTAGCCCCTAGAGCCTCCACAAGATTTTTCAAAATGATCAAGGGCCATAACTCTGGCAGTAATTATCGGAAATCGCTAAAATCAATAGGCTTCTTGTCTCATGACCTTAAACACTGTGTATAAATTTAAAGTCAATTGGATATTAACGTTAGCCTCTAGAGTGTCCACAAGACTTTTTGAAGTGATCAAGGGCCATAACTCTGGCAGTATTTATTGGAAATCACTGAAAATCAATAGGATTCTTTGTCTCATGACCTTAAGCACTGTGTATAAATTTAAAGTCAATCTGATGTTAACTTTAGCCTCTAGGGCGTCCACAAGATTTTTCAAAGTGATCAAGGACCACAACTCTGGCAGTAATTATCTGAAATCGCTGAAAATCAATAGGCTTCTTTGCCTCACGACCTTAAACTCTGTATATAAATTTAAAGTCAATCAGATATTAACTTTAGCCTCTAGAGCGTCCACAAACTGAAAAAAATCAACATGGAACTTATTAGAAATTTAGATTGTGAAAATTTGGGTGGAGATTTAGATTGTGAACATTTGGGAATTCAATTCAATGGTACAATGTGCCTCTCTTGACAAATGTGAACTGGGCTTAAAAACCCCAATGCTTCTTGCTCTCCACTGCAATCCAAACCCAATAATTCCTAGATGATTTCTAGTTGCAACTAATCGCACAATTGACAATCATCATTTCAGCCATTCCACGGTGACTAGCTTGACATTTCTACTCAACACAAATATTTAAATATGAATATCATGAAACCTAATAAGCAGTTTCCATAAAAACTACTCCCAAGTAAAGCTGTTGTGTTCTGTTACATTAGGAACACTTCATATATTACTTCCTTGGGCAAAATTTTGTGCAATGTGATCATAAAGAGTTGTGACTCGCGTGACATGCATTTGCAGAGTGTTTATGGGAAATGATACTGATCCCCCATTTAGTAGAAACGTAATTAGAATATAGGAATATGATGTATATATGTATGTGAAGCTAAACTGTTCAGCCGTAGCATCATTTTGTTACAATGTTGTGTTTTATTGTTAAGTTTTGTAATGAACTGAGATTTTGTATGTGACTTGCTTGACATGAAAAGGTGACTCGCGTGACAAGTAGAAAAAACACTAAAATTTCAATATTTTCAACTAATTTTTTTATTGTATTTCATTGTCAATACAAACAAGAATTAATTTGCTCAGAAAACATTGCAATAAAAATTATAAATTCTTCAGAGTCACAAATACACACCCAAAGTTATTTTAAAAGAGTGCTACAAAATATACTCACTTTTTGTGACTAGCGTGACCATCAAAATGAGGTAGTTTTCGGATCCAGAAAAATTGGGGATCAGCTTCACTCATCGACAAATTTCTTTAACTGAGTGGACAGTGACCTTTTTGATCTCATTTGCTCAAAATTGACCCAGATTATAATAGAATGTTCCAGGGATAATCCATTTTTATTCCATATATCATGTTTATATCTAGTTACTTTAGTAACAAAGTCTTAGAGACCCCCAGTGCTCTCTCTTCGTTACTGGCGTGTCCTAATGACAACTAATATGAAAGTAAGGCTTTTCCCCCCATCTCTGTTCTCCGGCTATTTTGGAATCCTTACTGTCCATTTTTCACCGTGATTCTTCTTTGTTCGCCAAAGGAATCATTTCTTGCCACTTCCAACACAAATTTACAATAATCCAACAATCCAAAAACATAATCAGAATTCATTTGAAATGATCCGCAATTGTGAAAGTCACGTCTGCACACAGCCAATATTCCAAATTAAGGAATGGAATGTTACCGTAAACGAAAATTCTTGCTGTCAATGGTGATACCACTATAATTTATGTATTCAACATACATAAACAATCATTACATAAAATCGATTAATACGTAATTGAAGTACAGCAAGAATTTTCATTCACGGTAAAATCCCATTCCTAAATTTGGAATATTGGCTGACGCAGCTATGAACAGGTCTGCGCAGACGTCAGTTTGATAATGGCCGACCGATTCAAATGAATGTTGTTTATGTTTTTGTAGCGCACAATTCTACATGAAAATAGTATTGGATTATTATAAATTTATGTCGGATGTGGCAAGAAATGATTCCTTTTGGCGATCAAAGAAGAATCACAGTGAAAAATAGACGATAAGAATTCCAAAATAGCCTTAGAATTGAGATGAGGAAAAACCTTATTTTCATATTAGTTGTCATTAGGCACGCCAGTAACGAAGAGAGAGCATTAGGAGCCTCTAAGACTTCGTTACTAAAGTATATCATCCATTTGAGGTCAAGGATTGCATCTGGCCAATATTTATAGAAAATGTTATTATCTTAGGATGACATATTGCATAATTTTGAGATTTTAATTTTTGATTTGAAGTTCTGATGGCGTGGAATGGCTGATGGGCTCATCAAATATAACAATTCTTACCGTTGTTTTTCGTAGGCCAGTAATCCATCAAGTATTTTTGCCTTGCCTTTTTTCAATTCTATACCAATTAATTCCTGTAAAATACAATAAATATGTCACATCAAAGTTATTGAGCACTTTAACACATGCATTAAAAAAATGTCCAAAAGTTGCTAATGCTACATGAATAATGGCTAATATAATACCTTTGGTCTGACTATTCCTGATCCAGTAATAAACTGCCACAGAGCTCTATTACTGAAACTATAAATGTTATAATATAATTATAAATATCTACAATATTCTCAGGGTAAATAAGGTTATTGTTAAGTGTTACGATCAAATAATGTAATTTATCTCAAATATCAATAAAAACTAAAAGGGAAAAAAAATACTCAAAATGAAAGTGCGAATTTGATGAAATTTGATCTGCGCTATGTAGAAATTTATGCGCGTGAAATAACTTTATTTTCACAATGACGTGATATTAAAGTCTCTGATGTCTGAACAACATTTTGAGGGTTTGTTAATCCCTACATTATTGTGATGTACAGTTAAATCTCTAAAAGGGATATATCAATCCAAAAGTGGTTCAATTCCTTTCTGTATTTACAAAGATATGATGAATGGAAAATTTTTGCAACATTCTGCAACCTCTGAGTCTGAAGATGACAAAAACAGGATGATCAAAACAGACGTAAAACAAAATGGTCAAAATTAACATATTTGTAAAAACGACCAAAAATGTGGTCAAAATTTATCTGAAAATATCACAGGATTCTTCTTAAATAAAATATTTAATCAATCAGTTTAATTTTTTCTATGGCTGTTTTGGCTAATCGATGGTAATTTTGATTAGAAGTTTAAATGTCCATTTTGAACAAATTTGAGGGCTTTTGCGGTTTACGGTCGTTTTGTCTATAACATAACCCTTTATAAGAAGCCAGTGTCATTTCTTAGTTTTGCTGAACTCATAATGAATTATCTAACATTGATGTTTTCTTTATTAAATGATAAATAATCATTATGAGTACATAAATGCCGTCAAAAATGTTGTATTGTCTGAAAAATGCAAATAACGCACAGAGGCTTTCAGAACTGTACTGCAGGATAATTTTACCCACACAATAATGAATGGTAACAACCCAATATTTTAATTATTTCAAATTCAATAAAATTATTCAAATAAATGATGTGTGCTGTTGGTGTCTAAGGTAGTTTGGGCTGGTAGTTAGTAAATATTCAGTAGTAAATTTGTGTGTAGTTCAGTTCTGAACGTAGGTCTCATTACACTCGCCCTGTACGTTCAGGAACCGTCCTATTGAATCCTTGGCGAAAAAATTTCACTTCCCAGTACATTTTACTGGGCAACTTTTTACTGCTAAACGGTCGAGCGTCAGTCCCTGTGAACGTCTGAACAATGTAAATGAACATCTTAGTGAGAAAATAAGACCTTCCTTACCTGGGTAAGGTGAGCCTGGGGGGGGGGAAAATTGAAATCTTTGAAAAGTTGAGAATCTTCAGTCACTTATTGCTTTGCCTATTCCAATTATAATAATTTACTTTACAATCAAATTTTTTTCCTCCCAGGCTTACCTAAATTTCATTTCATCTTATATGGCCGAGTTCGTAAATTTGTGCGTTATCCTATCAATGGCATCGGTCAAGTCGTTTAGAAGACGGGGACTTTTTTTTTTTTTAACCGCGTGTTGTGTTGCTCATACTGGTTCTAGCGAGGTAAGCAAGGTCTTATTTTCCCACTAAGATGTATATTTACATTGTTCAGGCGTTCACAGGGACTGGCATGCGAGTGACACGACCGTTTAGCAGTAAAAAGTTGCCCAGTAAAATTTACTGGGAAGTGAAATTTTTTCGCCAAGGATATGAGACGGTTCCTGAATTACGTACAGGGCGAGTGTAAAATAATGAGTCCTACGTTCAGAGCTGAACTAATTTGTGTGATGCTAGGGTTTACTGAAGGATAAAACGTTCAGACTCCTCTGGCTAAATACTTAATATGAAGCTCAGTTATAACTTTTTAAAAGCAAAACAAACCGTTTTCAACGACAATACTATACAGTGAATACATGTAGGCCTCTCATGTAGAATGGAGGCCTAACAATACATGCAAGTTTCCAATCTGACAGTAACAGTGGAATTGATGATTCAGTCTCAAACAGAAATTCAATTATAAAATTGTGCCCCAATTCCAGAATAATCTATATAACAAGGAACTGAATATCTAATAACCACAGAAATGATTTTAAATGATTTGTTTATAAAATACCTATCACACAGGCCCGCCATGCTCAAGGAAATAGTACATTGCTACAGTAAAAATCCGCCGAGTAGACTCTGAGCTGGATAGTGTAGTTGCCTCCCTTCAGATAATAAGCGCCAATATTTATTGTCATTGAGTTTATTGATATTTGATTTTTCCACTTCATAGATAACCTACCATATGATTAACAATTTCCACTACCGAGATATTTTTTAAACTTGTTACCTGTATAATATGTAGGCTACATTTAAATGACGAATGTTCATGCTACAGTATCAACATGATCTACCGGTATCTAGTCTTTCGAATGGGACAAAACACCAAACGAAGTGTTGCGTATACTTTGGCGTGCACATAAATGAACCCTTGTCAGTTGGAATGCGATGAAAAGTAATCAGAAACGCTGCTAGCTGTCCGTTCAAATTATCCCGGCATTGTATATTCTCGTCGTCATTACGACGCGTATAATTGGTGCAGAAAACAAGGACGTTAAAACCATTTCGATTGATTATTTTAATGTAGGCCTAATTTCCAAATCACAAACTACAAAATTGGCGATTACAAGCCCTTTATCAAAAATCTGGATTTACAAGAGAATCAAAAAGAAATGAATTAGGCTATAAATCCAACAATTTTGTCACATCTTTTACAAGACTTTAATAGGAGGGTTTCAAACACCACTTATTGGTCAATTTAAATCAACATTGATGTTATTATCTTACCGTGAAAAGATAGACTTCTGATATCCAATATTTAAGAAAACATGAAAATTTTAAAATTTGCACAGAATCACGACCCAGAATGTTTTTGAGTGCAATTTGTTATGAAGCGACTAGATGAACGAGGCGAAACATACCCCATAGGAGAATACTACCGGTGTAGACTGGAATAACTGGACGCCAAAGACTGCCATTCAATTTGTACTCTTCAGGTATTGCAAACACCACTTATTGGTCAATTTAAATCAACATTGATGTTATTATCTTACCTGAAAAGATAGACTTCTGATATCCAATATTTGAGAAAACATGAAAATTTTAAAATTTGTACAGAATCACAATCCAGAATGCTTTCGAGTGCAACTTGTAATGAAGCGACTAGATGAACGAGGCGAAACATACCCCATAGGAGAATACTGCCGGTGTAGACTGGAATAACTGGACGCCAAAGACTGCCATTCAATTTGTACTCTTCACGTATTTCGCTGAACATAACTGATTAGAAATTACAGTAAAAACAGAAACAATTGAATGTAAATCAGTTCATATACATTCATAATACATTATTATATGCATTGCAACCCATTTTTGTTCATTTCTAGGTGCCAAAGAATAGAGATTTAGCTCCTTTAAATAGTGATATGGAGACAAACACTAGGAACTCTGTTTCAAAATTTGCAATGAGGGGATCTATTCTTTAAAAAAATCTAACATCATTGCCACCAAAGACGATTTTCAAAAAGTGTTTTAAGCAATAGGCTGCATGTAATCAGAATCAAGAAATTTCCATTTTAAGATACAATAACTTAGATCAAAGGCAAATCATTTTTTTATTGAGAGAGAGAGAGAGAGGGGGGGGGGGGGTCTTTAACCTGCATTCCACATAAACTTGGTCATTTCAGGACTAACATAATTATGGTACAATTTTATTTCAATAATTTGCTTGCATGTAGGGGTCTTTAGTAGCAGGAGGAAACCTGGACGACCCAGACAGAGTCTTTATTGGGATCACTGATCACCCAACCCAAAAATAAAGGGACATGATGCCAGAATAAGCAACAAATACAGACATAAACAAAAGTTGTCTTACTAAACATATTGGTCCAAACATTATTCAAAAAGATAAATTCCAAATAATGGCCACTTGAAGTCTACATTAATTTGTATTTATTACCTGCCACCATCATATGCCCCTATGTCTGAGAACTTCTGTAATATATTTGATTTGTTTTATCTGTTGCTATCTAATCTATTATGTGAACAATTCAAATAGTGGAAAATTGTATTGGTCTTCTGTCATGACACTTCTGATTTTTGGCCATAGTTTGGAATCTCAAATGTTCAAAAACATCTGAACAATTAAAATTAATGTAAATAAAATGACAAGAGGAGGGCCTTGTCTTTCTGACTTTCCTCTGAATATCAACCATTACAATAACCATCATACAGGCTAGGAAAGAGTTGAAACTTTGGATTAACTGTTATGCAAACTTGTAGAAACTTGGAGGAAGTGGATGTCAAATATTTACAGCCATGTGGGTCGTTTAGTACTAGTCCATACATGACAAGACAACTCAGCCCAATATATTAGCATGTCTATGTGCTAAAATGATTTATTTTTTTATTACTGCCTTTACTTTCCCTATATATGAAATGCCAAGCATTGATGTTGTGAAATAATTGCTACATTTATAATTGATTTGTTTTTGCATCCCTGGCGTATCAAGACTTTTAACAGAGATGTCTTGATCAGTTTTAAATAGACAATATGATTGAGACAAAATTTATATTTTTCTGTTTGGAACCTGGATCAAGGTCGAAATGTGGGTAAGAACAGCAGATTCCAGTACCCTACATCTAGCCACGGCTGTATGATGAAGTCCGCCATTGGAACTACATTCTATTTCCTGGATTACCAATGGCGTTGCCCATGATGATGCCTTTGAAGAATGTTTTATCATACAAATATTTCAAAATCTGAAGCTGTTTTTCTTTCAAGTTTATCCAATTTTCTTCAAACAAGGACAACTTTGCACTGAAAATTCTAAACACGCTTCGAACAACGCAATTTTGATAACTTCTTTTTAAAAACGGCAAGTTTTCCTAATAAGTAAACCGGTGCCGCATCGCAATTGTATAGGTGTAGGTACATATCACTTACCGTCATACATCTGAGGCTAGATGTAGAGTAACGGAATCTGCCAAGGTTTGCCAAGGTTTGCCGAGTGGGTAAGAACAACTAAAAATATTGATATACTGGGTACAAATTGTTTTTTTTAACACATGCTACTACTGATTGTGATGTGTGAAAGAAATGGACTCGTAGAACTTGTAACACCAATGTTTCTAAAAACAAGTGGTTGCCATGCAAGATACGCCCATATTTTGCAACAGATGGACAGAGAGCAAGCTAAAAAAAGGGATTTTCGTACAGTAAGGGGTCATAATCTAAGATGTTACAGTCCTGCATGTGTCGATATCAAAAGGAACCTGAGATCTTTTGGTTATATACATATATTTTAAGTTTCATCAAAATTGTGACCTCTTAAAGTGTCCACAAGCCAAAAATCAGGGGCCATAATCCATGAAGTTACAGTCCGATACATATGAAAAGGAGAGAGAGAGAGAGATGGGGTTTAACATCAACTCGACACAACTAGGTCATTTTGGGACTAACATATGGTTTAATTTTATTTCAATAATTCGCTTGCGCATAGGGGTCTTTAGCAGTGGGAGGACCCAGAGAAAACCCACGAGGTTGGACAGGCGACCCTACTCCTTGTCACGTACAACCGGGGATTCGAAACCACGCCAGTCGACTGAATGACAGACTTTATGATACAGCGCGCGCACGCTAACCATTCAGCCATCCAACCCCCCATTATGAAAAGGAACCAAGAACTTTGGGATATAAACCTATATTTCAAGTTCCGTCAAAATTGTGACCTGTAGAGTGACCACAAACAAAATGTGAACAGACAGACAGACTGGGGCGACAACAATCTACTCCACATGAAAATGTGGTCATAAAAAAATATCCAGATATAAAATAAAGAAAGAGATTTATATGTCCATCATATTCCAGTTCGTTATTTTTCCGTACAACGCAATTTCAGACACATGTTCCCATCTTAAAATGGTCACCATATACTTTTTTTTAAAATTGTCTTAAATTGTTTCTACAGCATAAAACAACTAAAAAAAAACTAAATTAGATATATAATTAATTTTATTTGCATTTTTTAATTTTTGTCTTTATTGTGGACAAATGAACCTATCACCATAGAAATATTACAAATGTACATCACAAATAATACACCACAACATATCTACTTTTTGCCACAACTGGGTGTTTTATGCTCCATAAATGAATCAAATGAAATAACATACAAGGAGTATCAATTAGACATTTACAACAAATCAATCTTTGTGATCTTAAGCACATAATATATATATATATATATACCATAAAAAATTTGACTTGTTGAGATGTAACACACAGGAAATATTTTTAATGAGAAATAGTCATGTGTTTTACAAATATTTTTCATTTCAGACTAGATTATATATATCTTAGGTAAGGATTATTTTTGGATCAAATTAGCACTAATATTAATTAGGTTTATTATGATCAAGAATAGCATAGAATATAAAACAGAACATCTTTGGAAAGATAAACCAAATATCGCAATGCACATAATAAAATGATAAACAAATGAAAATAATAGAATAGATTAATATCTACTTGTTGAATACAGCATGAAAAAACCTTTTTGATATCTATACTTTATGGGATTAATTGCAAACAAAAACTTTCAAAGAAAAATAAATTATTTTAACTAAAATATCATTTTGCTGCAAAATCTGAGCATTTACCATAACCCCTATAGAGTATAACCATATGCATTATCTACACAGTATAATATTTTCTATCAGCCATCAGCCATTTTCTATCTCCCTTTATTTTAAAGAAAATAATAAGTTGACAGCCGGTTAAGAAAACAGGCAATCCCTGAGCGTGAAATAATTTAAAATAAATTGTTTCTTGTGGCTCTTCATATTTCCTGGTACATACTATATTAATATGGAAGAAAACTAAAGTAATGCTAAGCAATTAAACATTATTGTAAAAGTTCTAAGAAACTGTCATAAATATAAAGGTAAAACTTCTACAACACATCCATATAAACCTTTTAAATGTTTAACCAGCGGCTGCCAGGCAGGATACGCCCACATTTTGCAAGAAATGGATAGAGAACAAGTTAAAAACAAACGCGATAATCCAGATAGTTATGGTCTGAAATGCGCAAATATCAAAAGGGACTGAGATCTTTCGGATATACAGATATGTTTTAATTTTCATCAAAATCGAATAAAAATTATAACCTCTAGAGGGTTCATAACCTCCTTATTAAGCATACTTTTACACAGAAGAGCGGCCATTTTGTTCGGCAGTTTTATTTCAAGTTTCCCGAAATTTGAAATTCAACCTTCATTATGGTGGAATGGTGATACATTTAAACAGTTTTTAAAATCAGAAAAAAAATTGTGACCTCTAGAGAATCTGCAAGCTAAAAATGTGATTTTTCTAACAAGCAGGGGCTATAATCCAGGAAGTTATGTTCGGATATGCGCGAATATCGAAAGGTACCAAGATCTTTAAGTTATAAACTTGAATTTCAAGTTTCATCAGAATCGGATCAAAAATGTGGCCTCTTGTGTGTCCACAAGCTAAAAATGGGATTTTTTGTATAATCAGGGGCTATAATCCATGAAGTTATGGTCCGATACATGCCAATATCGAAAGGAACCGAGATCTCTGGGAGATAGACCTATATTTTAAGTTTCAGCAAAATCTGATAAAAATTGTGACCTGTAGATTGTCCACAAACAAATTGTAGACGGACAGACAGGGGCGACGGCATAATACGTCCACATGAAAATGTGGGCGTATAAAAAATAGGACCCTAGTAACAACTACTTTCTGGGCTTTACAAATGATTTCTAGACAATTAAAAGCCAATTATCTTTTAAGGTAAAAGAATTCTTGATATTGAATCCATATTTACAATCACACCTGCCTAACAAGAACACTCTTTTTGAATAATTGACTGACCTACGTCAATAACATATCTGCCATTTTGATCGATCCATCTACCAAATGAGGTACATATTCTAAATATAGGCTCATTATTATTTTGGATGTTAAACTTAATCAGATATAAATACCTGGTTACTTTTATACTTCATTTAAATGCAGTTTTAATGAAAATCATTTGAAAGTTTGCAGTGGTCAATTAACATAATATGGCATATAATTTGGTTAATTGTAATTGATTTTAGGCTTAGTTTATATCATTATATCATAAAACATACAATTAATGAGTGTTCAGCACTAAAAAGATGTGTAAAATACATGTACATCGATCAATTTAAAGCTTTTGGCCGGCAAGCACTAAAAAGATGTGTAAAATACATGTACATCGATCAATTTAAAGCTTTTGGCCGGCAAGCCATTTTTGTCATATCAGATTCACTGAACTTGTGTGTGATAATTTTTGCAGTTATTCACTGAATTATGTGTGTGATATTTTTTGCAGTAATATTAATTTAATAATCAATAACTCAACAATTTTTGTCCAAGACTGCATTCACAAAGCAGAGGCTTCAAGTAGTAGGATTCTGGTAAAAAACTGGGAACTTTTCTTAATAAATGTTGTTGTGCGCCATACTGCAATTTCCTGTGTTTAATTTACTATAATGTCTATTGCAGCACCATCTGCTATATACAAATTTTAATCATGTCTGTAGGAACCATAATTTTGGGTAATTTGCTTTGGAAAAATGAATTTGAAGTCAGTATGATTTCTTTGTTGGAGAGACTGCACAATCAGATCAGGTATGTTCTGGATCAAAAAATCAGCCTGCAGTTGCGATTACATGCTACCCTAAAATAAATTTAGGTCAAAAGTAGAAAGGTGAAATATCAGAACTATTTATATACATAAATTGACATATCTTTGTACTACTCGCATCATATAATATATGTATATATATACTTACATGACAACTTAAATAATAATAATTAAAAAAAGATGAAAATATCATTAACTTTGGTTTAAGAGTATCACATCATTCATTCAAATTACTCATTTCTTACACATTCAGTCATTTTGAAACATTTCCATGCACTCACCCATCTGTTCATTTACTCTTGACTAAATATATACATCTTTATGTCAATTTTAACAATTCAAAACATAATTCACTTCATCATCAAAAATTTAAAACATCCATTTCCATGTGTGAAAAAAAAATCACATCAAGTCAAAGCACAAAAAAATTCATAAAAGTTCAACAAGATCAAAATTAAAAATATCGCTAATATAGCAATTATACCTTAAAATTTTCATTTATGCAAAGCAAAGATTAAGTTTTAAAAAGGATTAAAAGTTCCATAATAAAAGATATTTCCGAAAGTTTTAATTAGCACACACCATTTGTTTATTACTAAAAATAAATCTATTTTTCCAACATCATCTACTTTAAGTGGATTTTCTCTGTCAATCAGAAGCACATGAGTTCTCAATTAATCATATATTTAAAGTTACAATGATTCAAGTTAAATACAATATCAACACTAAATATAATCCAATAAAATATGCACATCGCTTTCATACACTGTCTATTTACATTATTTTATATACATCACAAGCTTGTAGTTCGAAAATAATAATATATATTTCCTTTTTTATTCATATAAAGTATTATTCTTTAAAAGGTTACCTTGGTGTCAGTATCTGTAATTTTAAAAAGACATAATCTGCTAATTATCTACTTCACATACAGACAAAAATATTTTGTATTATAAACCAAAACAAAGTCTGATATTTTTGAAAAACAAAATTTTCTAGGGACCATTCTCAAAATATATGTAATTGTATAATTCTTGGAAGAATAATTTCTTAATACTTTTATCTAATTATATAAATGTTAATCGATATGAAAAAGAATGTTCCAGAAGGTTTATTTCACAAGCAGGACCATCTTCACATTTTCAAATGTGGAAACAATGTACCACCTGATGACTAGAATAATGATAATCATACAGCACTGACTGCATCCAATCAAATTACCAATCATAGTGAAGATGAACCAGAACTATCATAATCAAATGACTTGTGTTCCACAAATGATACTGAAGTAACATGCATTTTATTGTGCAATTATTTCTATTTCACTTTTGAATAACTTACTTAATCTTTGCACAACCCAAAACTGGACTTATTTTGAGTAAATAATTATATGTACAACCATTCCTATAGTCTTGATCACTCCAGCCCAATTTGTCTCTTTGAAATTATTTATATGAATATTAACAAAATTGCGTAAATGTATATGGCAACTGACTGCCATGCGATTACTTATGGGAACTCATGTCTCAATCAATCAGTTATTGACAATTCACAATTTTTTGTCTGGCCAATATCCATTGCAGTAGAAGTGGAAAGTATATGGTTTGCATGATCTATGATTTCTAGAAAAATAAAGTAAAATTCATCAAGTTATTTTTAAAATCTTTTGTAAAATTAAGAAGAAAGACTGATTTCTTGAGAAAGTTAATTAGCAAAATTGGTATTTGCAAAAGATTTTGGTAAATGGTCATATAATCTGGATATATTTTCATAAACTTCTTTCACAGGTTACAGGTCTTTGGCATGTATATGTATAACAATATTTGACATTATTATATAATAACATCAATCATTTCTAAACCAATCACACATGGTTTTAAATATAGTCAATAAAACTGACCAATAAAAATTATGTGAATTTTTCTAGATGACCAATCATCATCAATATTACAATCACATAATTATTAACTACTAAATTTTCCTGACTAATTAAAAAGGTTTTTATACACTATATATGAGGTACCAAATCAACCAATAAATACCATTGATACATACTGCATTGGTAGCCATTTTGGCTTTGACTAAAATAACTATTCCTTGAGTTTGAACATTGAGTGGATAAATCTTGGATAAATCTGTCTTTTAATTTTCACATTTTCTATCTTGGGCGTATCTTTTCAAACATAAATCTGTTTCCTTTTTCTACAAATTCTCCATTCACTAAATCAAATGTCTGATGTTTAAGGAAGTGGAATTGCTCCACTGCGAATTCATAAAACTCATTTTCCATGGCCCAGATTTTTGATTCTCTGATTTTGTCCACAGTTTCAGGCAATGGTGTGATTTTCTTGGTAGTTTTTCTCAGGTGAGACTTCCTTCCTGTAATACACAAGACAAAATTGTGCTTAATATAAATCAGAAAGGAAAAAAAAAACAATTGTCTGGTTGACTTCCTATGGCTAGAAGATAAGTCAATAGGAATCAATACAAAGTGAGAAGGGAATAGATTTGGATCAGCAAATTTAAAAAAACAGAAGGAAATAAATCATCCAGAACAATTTTTAAAATTTAAGTCATTAAATATAAATATACTGTGAAAATTCCCCACTATAGTTCAGTTTATTCCCTTCTAATTTACCAACCTCGTGGGTTTTCTCCGGGTCCTCCGGTTTCCTCCCACTGCTAAAGACCCCTACGCGCAAGCGAATTATGTAAATAAAATTAAACCATATGTTAGTCCCGAAATGACCTAGTTTGTGTCGAGTGGACGTTAAACCCCATTTCTCTCTCTCTCTCCCCTTCTAATTTACGGTTGTCTATTCAGATTCTCATTTATCTAAAGACATTTCTTTGTCATTAACCATGTGCAGTTGGTGATTGGTTGACTTTAGATCAAACTACCAATCCAAGACTACGAAAAATTCAACAAAATCTTTTGAAAGGCTTTGATTATCAAGACATTTGTTGAATGGCTATCTAATCAAGGTGAAAGGTATTTTCCATACAACCCTCACATGCAAAGAACAAACATTTCTTAACAAGTCTCTAGATGTTAATGGAGTGACAACCTGATATACGAACAAATATAACATCTTGTTTAATTAGATTGTTTAGGACTGCAATTCATGTTAAGCAATGGATCATTTCCGATACCCTCTTGACTCCACGGCTCAATCCTTGCACATAACCATGAGCTGTTTTACAAAATAGGATGGTAGCAGATCTAAAGAGTAGCTGCAGTTAAAAAACAAAGTAAATTTTACCAGAATTATAGAGCTGAACAGCTCCTTTAAAGAAGCGAGGTAAAGTGGCTTCTAATATGGCTATAAAATCACCCAGTTCTTCTGTTACACCCACAACCAGATAATGATGAATAAGATTTTGCTTGGCTTGTTCTAGTGCCCACTGACTGCCTGGAATCCTGCGATCACAAAGAAGAAAATTATTATCATTTTAAAATACTTTTCAGGTGTCTGGAAAATATGCAAAGAGATTTCAGCAGTTCTGAGACTGTCCCTATATTAATAGCCCATATTATTATCACAGGTATCTGATACTGACAGGAACTAGAAGAGTAAATATTACTTATTAGCTTGTCACATGATCAAGAGTAAATATTACTTATTAGCTTATAATTTTATTAATTATATAAGTAATCATAAGTATGATCAAAAACTTATTTTTCCTTCAACTTAAAATCTAATATTGACTCTTTCTATATATTTATTTCGCTACATCTTCAATCAATTTAAATCAGCATACCCCATGGTTATTTTAATTTTAACCATGACAAATGACACATTTGACACCAGTACAGATTTTTCACAATCATTACAATGTTGGGGCTCTGTAGCAGTGGTATCAATATCAATACTGATGATAGGTATCAGAAATTTTTGATTGCATACAACTTATATGGAACATAATAAACAGGAATGTATAGAAACAACATACAGATATTACGTCATTGAGAAAGGAGCCCAGCCATGTTTTAGTTTTGTACAGCAATTCATTAGATTAGAAAATCACAAAATAAGCCCATACATACCAGCACTCTGCCACATGACCACAGAAGAATGGAATCTGCAACCAGAGATTATCTGCACTACAATCATCTCCAGATCTCTTGACACAATCATCAAAGGTCTGAAATTATATTAACAAATAATAATGTATCAATAGGCATTTTTGAAATGATACGATGCATATAATAAATTAACTTTGTGATCAAATGAGGAAAGCACAAAAATGCACCACCTGAACAGAAAAGAAAGGTTGCCAGACAACGAAACATATGCCCATGACCGCTATAGTCGTCCGGGCAGTCAACAAGAGTTGTCACATACTTTTTCATAAGTAATTATAACAAATCATTAGAATTTGTTTGGCTTCTAGTTCTGCCCTACACTAACATTTAGTATACAGAACATTTAATATCTAGGGTCATAACTCCAGAAGTAATTATCTGAAATCATTGAAAATGAATAGGATTCTTCGTCTCATGACCTTAAACTTTAAACACTGTGTATAAATCTGTGTATAAGTCAATCAGATATCAACTTTAGTCTCTAGAGTGTCCACAAGATTTTCAATGTGATCAAGGGCCATAAGTCTGACAAAAATTATCGGAAATCATTGAAAATCAATGGGATTCTTCGTCTGATGACCTTAAACACTGTGTATAAATTTAAAGTCAATCGGATAATAACTTAAGCCTCTATTGGTAATCAACAACCAAATACTTATGTACATATTATAAGATGTATCGTAAATAGTTGTAGTATCCAGCAGTAACTGGACATAAACTGAGTTCAATTACAAACTACATGTACCACCAACATTTCTGGACTAGGAACTGATCACAATGAATATGCATCTTGTTGTTCTTGTTGTTGTTCTTGGGGATGACACTCTTTGAAGCAGTCTGAGGCTTTGCCAAATGAAGTACAATCGACATAAAACTTGACATTCAATTTCAAGGTGGCTGTGACCATGCCACACTTGGTTCCTGGTCCATAGTAAAACTGTACATGTTCTTTTAAATTATACTATCATACTTAAAAGGTTTAGTTCTAGATGTATGAATGATATAAGTTTGAAAACAAAACCTCAAAGTTTCATAAAGATACCATGAAAGGTTTCTGAATTGAGCTCCAGAATAATAATTGCATACCAAAAACTAAGCCAAATATTTTCCAGAGATTTTAATCTGAGCCATTCAGATTGAAATAATAAACCAACTTCTAAAAATGCATCCATCAAAAGCATTATTATAATATAGTGAAGTCCCAGAATACTTTTTAAAACACACTAGATATGTGTATTTTGAGAATTTTTGGAAATACAGAATATGTCAATGAATTTCAAAAGAACCTGCGATATTTAAGATTATTACAACTATAGTAAAGGTTCAAAGTTGAAGGTAATTGATTCTCACACATGAGCAGAGAATATGGCATGATGCTTGTAGACTGGTACATTATCAACTTCTAGCAACTTATTCCTGCTCAATGTTAATGAACCTGTTAATCTGATCTGTCAAACTTCGCTATTATCAATCAACAGTCTTAATGGAACTTGGTAATCTGATCTACACAGATCACTTAGTGCCTGGGTGATCCAGTCTAAACAAGACTTATACTACTACCTTCAATAACAGAGCCACACTCTAGGTCTAGGGTCATGACCTCATCGTCAGTAATGACCCATCAAAATGAATAAATATTATGAAGACATTTCCTCCTAGATATACTTAATGATTTGGCTATATCTAATGGAGTCATCCTTTACTTCTAGATGAAACATTCTAAAACCATTGTCACAAATACTTAAATATTTCCATATAAAAACCTTCATATAACACATATTTCAAAGATTTAAAATTGCTGAATGCTTTTGTACAATTTCAACGAGCTTTTTTCAAACATATGGCCGCTTTCATTACAATTTCAGAACTTTTGCAACTTGCATATATTGCTTTCGTAAAGTTTATAGAATTGGAGTTCTATCTTTTAAAATTCAGTAGACACTACTATACTATTAAAAATGTATGCAAATTTTTGAGAAAGTTTAACTGTCTACCTTTTGATTTTAAATTCATACTTATAATGTACATACTTCCTTCCGTGGGGTAAGCTTTATTCCAGGGTGCACATGTCTAAAGAGAAAATATAAGGAGGGGAGTGGTAAATTCATCCTTCTTTAGAAAATATGCCATAGATATGACCCAGTAAGCAAGGCTCAAAGAACAATAGTATCAAGTTCTTGTTATTTAGCAACATGGATTGAATGATTTGAGTCTTAGTCCAAATATGTCAAAAAGGGTTAGAAATTAAGGGTTCATATATTCCACCAATAATACCCTAGAAGAGAACAGTGCTACCCAGTTAGCATCACCACAGCTAAATGAGATAAGTTTGATATGAATGCGTCTTATGTAAAGGTGTAAATCTAGGCTTCTCTTTGAATCAGAATATCAAATTTTTTTACCATGGAAGCGAGGGTGACATGACTAGAACATTGTCAGATTGTAGAATATTAATTACACAGAATGTCAGTATTAAACCTAAATAGCCGCTTATTAGAAACTATCCACCTTAATAATCTGGTCAGTTGTTGTCTTAATTAAAGTCAGTTACAGTGTTATATATCACCACTGGTCTTAGTTAAAGACAGGATTAATTAACTTGTCATGAGATAATGAAAAAATAAGAATAGTTCCATCATTAACTATTGACAATATTCACTACCTGTACAGTAGCTCCATAGATTAGGAGAATTATTAAGGAGTATTACTAAAGCTATTGATCTTATATCCCTTTTCACTAGATTAAATACAAGATTCTTAGAATGTAAGATGGGAATTTGCTTTTCTTTTCTCTCCTTTGTTAAAGCACATTAAAGGCACAGTAAGCCAGATTGTTCAAATGTACCAGTAAGCTTATCTCAGTTGTAAAAAAATATATACTACTAGTATTTTAATGTACAGACTGTTGTTCAAATGTACCAGTAAGCTTATCTCAGTTGTAAAAAAATATGTACTACCAGTATTTTAATGTATAGACTGTTGGTGATAAGGGATATAAACTAGAAATAAAGATAGATTGCCAAGCAACGAAATATACGCCCACAGCAGCTATATCGTCCGGGCAGTCAACAAGAGTTGTCTCATATTTTTACTTTTTTTGGTAATGAAACATTTATAATACATTAAAATTTGATTAGGAGTAACAACTCATTAAGTAATTATCCGAAAACCATTAGAATTTGTTTAGTTTTTATAAAGTTCTGCCCCATGCTAACGTTTTGTATACGAAACTTTTAACATCATGGATTTAGCTGTTCAAGTCATAAAAATTCATTGAAAATCAATATACTTGTTCGTCTCAAGACCTTAAACTCTGCGTATCAAACTGAAGTCAATCAGATGATAGATTTAGCCGCTAGAGTGTCACAAGATTTTTCAATGTAATCAAGGGCCATAATTCTGGCAGTAATTATCGGAAATCGCTGAAAATCAATAGGCTTCTTCGTCTCATGACCTTAAACACTGTCCACAAGATTTTTTGAAGTGATCAAGGGCCATAACTTTGGCAGTAATTATCGGAAATCGTTGAAAATCAACAGGGTTCTTCGTACCATGACCTCAAACACTGTGTATAAATTTAAAGTCAATCGGATATTAACTTTGAACTTTAGAGCGTCCACAATTATTGGAAATCGCTGAAAATCATGAGGCTTCTTCATATCATGACCTTAAACAATGTGTATAAATTTGAAGTCAATCAGATATTAACTTTGACTTCTACAGCATCCACAAGATTTTGTGAAGTGATCAAGGGCCATAACTCTGGCAGTAATCATTGGAATCACTGAAAATCAATAGGCTTCCTTGTCTCATTACCTTAAACATGGACGGACGGACGGAAGGATGGATGGACGTGGGCGACGACGACAATATACCACCCACATTTCAATGTGGGCGTATAAAAATCATAAGAATGGGCTGGCTTGTAGCATCAGGATAGCAGAATTGTTTTTTTATTTGTGTAAAATCAACAGAAACCTAAATAACCATAGCAATACCACTGGTATTGGTATATTGTGTATTGTCCATGGGTTTGTCTCGTGTAATTGTTTATGTGTGTGGGGTCCTTCTGCATTTACTATTAAACTCTGGCATGCACCTTTCCACTTTGAGTGAAGGAAAGATATAAACATTATAACAAAACATACGCCCACAGCAGCTAAATCGTTCGAGCAGTCGACAAGGGTTGTCGCATATTTATTCTTTTGTAGGTAATTAGGGGAATTTAATAGACAATTTCATACAGATGACATTATAATTTTCGTCGTTTGAGGGTTCACAAGGTTCTAAAAACTAAGAGAAGGGCCGTAATTCTGGAAGTAATCTACAGAAATTGTTGAAATTCGACAGGCTTTTACGTTTTACAAATTAAAATAATGCATAAAAATTTCATACATATCAGATATCATTGTGCTTGATAACGATAAGAGGATACTTGTCGAAACGTCGTGCTATTAGAATAAAACCAGCGATTGTTTCCCATAAAAATTGTGTTCTGTTATTGTGTACCCCAATCACTTAATGCCACTAAAAGATTATATCAGATGATAACTTTTGTTGTTCGAACGTTCACAAGGTTCAACAAAGTAAAACAAGGGCCATAACTCTAGAAGTAATTGACGGAAATTGCTGACAGTCAATAGGCTTCTTCATTTCACTAATTTAAATGATGCATATGAATTTCATACAGATCAAGTGATAACTTTTGTCGTTCAAGCGTTCACAAGATTCAACAAAGTTACTCTAGATGTAATTAACAGAAATTTGCTGAAATTCAATAGGCTTGTTCGTTTTTCTAATTTAAACAATACATATAAATTTCATACAGATCGGATAATAACTTTTGTGATTAGAGCATTCACAAGGTACAACAAAGTGAAACAAGGGCCATAACTCACGGCATAATTAATGGAAATTGCTGAAATTCAATAGGCTTCTTCGTTGCACTAATTTAAATGATGCATGTCAATTTCAAACAGATCGGATGATAACTGTTGTCATTAGAGTGTTCACAAGATTCAACAAAGTGAAACAAGGGCCATAACTCTAGATGTAATTA